AGAATTAATTTAAAATCTACCAAAAATTAAGTGTGAAGTTGAATTTAGAAAATATTTTTTTTGAAAATTTAAAAGAATTTATGATATTTTATAATAATTTTAAAATAATTTAAAATTATTTAAATAATGGACAAAAAATATAGTGATTCATGGCCACATCAATAGCAAGTTGTGTCAAGGATTTATGTGCCATGACATCATAACTTAGTGAATAAATTATACATTTAAATCCATTTAAACTATTTTAAAATCAATTTTGCAATCATTTTCTGAACTTCATTTTCAAGTGACAAGAAAAATGATATGGGTGTTTGAAAATTCAATTTTTATGTTTTCATTTTAATTTATTTTTTGCTTAATCATTTGACCACATGATACTATGTTCCTAAGATACAAAGGGTGAATTCATCTGTTCATTTCATTTTTCCTTAGTGGTTCTTTTTATGACTTTAATTATTTTATTTTGATGAAATTTAATTTGATTGTGATCATTCCAATTCATTTAGTTGCAAAGATTACTTGAGCTTTATAAGGATTTAGATTGATTTTTTTTTCCTATTTCACCACCAATCGAGTGACTCCATTGAAGGATAATTTCAATTTCAATTTCGTTTTTAGTAGTTCTTTTCATGAGTTTAATTTTTCTGGTGAAATTAAATTTTTTTATGATAATCTAAATCTGTTTATTTTGAAATATTATTTCTTAAAAATGAAATCGACTCAATTCCTTTTCCATTTCACTATTGGTGGAGCAACCTTAATGTCAACTTTCTCTCTCCTTCCATTATTCCCTAATTTAAGCTTTATTTATCATCCTTTATTTATTTATTTTTTTCTTGTGATTTTTTCCATCATTTTTGCTGAAAAAAGTTTCACATCTAAAGTCATCAATAATTTATGATTTTTAAAGCTGAAATATTCTAAGCTTAAGACATGGTGATGAAAACATCATTAGGCATTGAAGGATGTCAAAGTGTGAAGAAAATTATTTGATTTATTATTTTTTAATAAATTATTTGGAACAAAAAAAATTGATATTGAGATTGACTATCATCCTTGTGGAGGCTTTGATCTCACCAAAATTTAATTTGTATTATTATTTTGATCAATTTATAAATATTTAAAAGTTCATCATTTTGATGACATTGACCAACATGATATCACTTATCAATTCAAATAAGTTTGATAATAATCTGTCATCATTGAAGTTTAACTAATAATATATCTAGAAACAAGGTAATAATTTCTTTTTCAAAATTTATCCAAATCACCTCAAATAAACCACGATTGACAAATGGACAAATTAAATCACAATATAAATATGAATAGTCATAACTTCAGTGAGTCATGTATCAAGATTATTTTTCAATGATAAAATATTTTTAAAATCTTGAGTGATGTTTAAATAATTTATATTATATTGTTTAGTAGGTATTAAGAATAATAAGAAGTAATGATTCATCATCATGATAATCTATTATATTGAATAAAATTTCATATCCATATTTACTTTTATTTCTCATTGATGATGATGAAATAATGATGATGGTAGTTGTTGGAAATTGTAATAAGTTTCACATTAATAGAAACATTATTAATTTCATGTAGTAAAATATGTCAAATTCTAGAATTTAATATTGTTAGACTCGAATACATTCATTGAGTTCATATTTCATTAAATTCAAGCTTATGTCTAAAAGAATGGTTATTCATTATTCATGTAATGAGCTATGAGCATACTAGGATTCAAGAGATTAATACGATAGACTAAACATTTTTCTTGGATAATGAATTTACAAGAGAGAGTATTGATACTATTTTGTTCATCAAAGAAGCGGATCAAGTATACTCATTGTACAAGTGATATCACGATGGTTGTTGTTACCAAAATCATTAAGTTTCAAATATTTATTAAGTAAATTCAAAAAAAGAATTAAACTTAAAAATTGAGTGAATTTAGGTCATCAACATGGATAATAATCAATCTCAAAATCATTTTTTGTCATAACAAACTTATTTAAATAATAATAATAATTCTTTGTGTTTTGATCTTCTTTAATGCCTAATGATGTTGTCACATAGTTTTCAGCTTTGAGTTTACCAACTTTGATTTGTGCCCATGTTCAAGATTGTTTGATGACTCTAAATCAAATATAAAAATAAGAATAATGAATGAAAATAAGCTTAAATCGAGAAAAGTAGAGGAGAGAGAAAATATAACTACTAGTGGGTCACTCATTTTTCCTTGCATATTACCTAACAATAAAGTATCATTATGGATGTAAATCAAACTCAATATCAATTATAAAATGATACAACTACAGATTAAAAGGCTTAATCTTGCCATATGCTTGTTGCCCAAATGATGACATGTTAATCTAAAATAAAAAATAAAATCAAATAAAATATAAATCAAATTTCTAGACACCACTTGTCGCTCAGCTTGTTTGTCACTTGAAGACAATATTGAAAAATGAATGTGAAATTTGTTGAAAGTGTAGTAAAATAAATGAATTTAAAGCTTAATCTCATCATCTACCTACCACCTAAATGACAAAAACATGAAAATAAAATGTAATATAAATCAAATTAGGAAGTGTCCACTTCACTCTATTCATCTCCACTTGTCACCTAGAGATAACTAAGCCCAAAAAGCTTCAAAATTTATCAAATAATCTATTCTTATTCATCTCATAACCTCCTTCCACCTCCTTTAGAGTTTACTTCTGATCTTTGAATAAAAAATCTCAACAATCATCGTAAAATGAGAAATTATCTCTATTTGTTTGATTGTGTAAAATATAATACGAAATTAAGATGATGTATATATATATATGATATTGCATAAAATATTGATCTCTTTGTTCATTTACTTACGTTGACATGACCCATAAACTTTTGACATATCCTCCTACTAATGTGGCCATGAATTGGAACATTTTATGGGAATTATTTACTGAGAATGTATTGAAAAAAATATTCATAAATTATCTGAAAAATCCAAGAAAAATGTATTCTCAAGATTTTAATTTCACAATTAATTTTCTGCCATTTTAAAATTATTTTTCAATATTATGAAATAAATTGAAAAATAATAGTGAGCAGAGGATCCGAATATACCGAGGAGACAAAACCGTAGGACAAAACGGAGAGGTTAAGTGTACGTTGCAATGGAGGGGATTTTTTTGAGCAGGGGAATATACCAAGGGAACAACTTAGTGTACGACAAGACGTGGGCTCATTCTCGCTGCTAAACAGTTAGGTTAGGTGTGGATTGAAACGGATGAGAGTTTACTGAGTGTGGGAACCTGTGTGCCTTAATTCTTCGTCTGGCAATTGGTTCGTCCAAGGCGCCCCTCGTCTGAAGCTCCGCTTGAGAGCGGGAGCTGAGGAGAGCGCGGGAGAGGGATGGCTCCGGCGGCGTCGGCGTCGACGTCGGCCACCTCGTTGATTTGCGCCTCGGCGGCGGCGGGGAATCTCCAGTCGAGCTCGTCCTCGTGGAGACGTCGCCGGCCGCCCAGCCGCCCTGGTCCTGCTCGGGTGAGCGCTGCCTGGGTGATCCGTCCCCGGCTGGGGGTTCCGGCTGATGGAATCCGTTCTCCATTCGCCCCTGCGATGTTATTCCGATCCGGCATCTCCGCTGGCGGTGATGAGGCGTCAGTGGGCGGAGGCAGTCGTCGCGGCCGTGGTGGCGCACCGAGGTAGCCGTCATCATCTCGGGAGTGCTCCTGGAGATTTTGTTTCTTTTTCTTTTTCCCACTTTGTTTAGTTCATTCTATTGTAGAACAGGAAGTTCTTCTTTCCTCTGGCTGCATTGGTAACATGTTTCCACGGTCACGCAGTGAGGGTAATGCATGCTTCTTACCCGAGGTAGTCATCCAATGCTGAAGCTAAATATTTCATTTCTGGACAATTTATGGATCCATTTTCAAGGAAGTTATAGCATAATGAGAACGAAATATTAAAAGATTGCCGCTGTCGACTGCAGAAGCTACCCCGATAAGTCTGATATCTAGATTTTTGGTTTTGGTGGCCTTTAGCGATCCTATGAACGGAATTATTAATTGAAGAAAGTCTGCTCATGTGGAAACTCGTGCACTTTCTCTGAAGGGTGTTGATATTGACTCGTTGCCATAGCTGAATAAAGTTTGATTCAGGTTCTCCTACGTTATGAGTTTGGTTTGCTTGATAGTAAAAGCATCTGCTAGAATGAAATTCGGAGGACATCGACTTTTTTTGGACGAGATATTTTCTTGAGTGTTGGAGCGTTCCTATGAATTCAGAATCTTCTCAAAGCAAGTCAACTGTGAATTCAGCTGGTCATCATGTTGCAAGAGTGATTGATGACTTGCAAGTTACATCTCTCATCCGAATACCTTAATGACGTATGCATTCTTAAAGATTGGATAGGGATGAGATGTATGATGTTGTATCCACTGCTGCCTTTCCAACTCCAAAGTATGTTACAGTGACCTGTAGAATTTGTCTTAAGATTATTGTTTCTTGGGAAGCATGCGGTCTCATCTCTTTGCTTGGGGAGACATTTTGATAGTGCTGACCAATGAATCTGTGTATAAACAAAAAATTTCGATAGGAGGTTCAGAAAGCAGAGTAGAAGCTCCTAGTTATTTCAGAATTGTTTCTTATTGCCTTGTTATTGTAATTTCGTTAAAGTCTTCGTTCTATGTATTGATTTTCTTTAGCTGTTTGACCACTATAGCCACTAAAATATTATTTCAGAGACGGTGAGGACCTTAGAGGTCGGAAGTCAGAGAGATGAGATATGGTGTTACTGGAGTTGTCTTGGGTCCTCCCTGATCCTTGTTGGAGCCCTGTCCTCAGTAGTTGCCATGCGTCCCCTTCTCACAACCATCACTGCCTCTGTCAATTGCAGGCTGGGAGGAAGGGAAGACGGGTGTGGTTGGTACCTGGGGAGAAGGTTGCTATGGATAGTGAACCTAAAGTTTGGTGCTTGGGAGAGTGACCAGAGACAGCAAAGAATGATACTCGGGACACGTTGGTTGGCAAGTGTTTGGGGAGAGGGTCACATTCCAATGGCAATGCAGTCATTTCTTCTTCTCGTAGGTGTCGGGATGATCTTACCCATATTTAATTGATCCTGTGGGAAAAACATGTAGTTAGGAATTAGTTTATGTTGGTCAGTTTCCTATTTTGTTAGTATTCTAGTTGGTCAGTTTCCTTAACCTCGGTAGTTTCCTTTTTTGTGGCCAGGGTAATTATAACAACTAGCAATTGTTCTTTGATTGAGAAGACAAAGAGATTTTTCCCACCGTTGGTCCTTATTTGGTGTGCGTCAGATCCCTTGTGGCAGAAGCTGTTCGAAGGACCAGGAAGTAAAAGTTTGATGGTTTTAGCGAACTGATAGCCAAATAGAACAGATAGAGGTGTTTTTATAGTCACATATTTTTTCAGAACCCAAAACCAAAAAACCTTTGTTTTATGGCTGCATGTAGCCTTTTGGTATTTTATCATTAATTTCATGGAACTTTTGGCAGCATAATCTGTTCCCGGGTTTAGTGTACATTGATTTTAAGGATCATTTTTTTATTTTTGCCTTCAATATGATGAAGTGTTATGACCTATTACCAAGGCATTGCACTTTTTTAGATCTATTGTGACTTGTTATCTCAATCCAGAAAGGACTATAAAATTTTAAAACAGCTTTAATGTCGTCTTTTCTTTTGCTTTCTGATATGTTGCATTTGCCCATCTTTCATGTGACTCATTTTATGTCTGTCTTGTCACCAGCAGGAAGATGAACTTTACACTTCACAACACCGGAATTGTAAAAGCCTCATCTTCTAGAATCTCCCCTTCAAATGATGATGACGGGATCCTTAGTGATATCTTTGATGATGGAGAAGTTGAAACCAATAACCGAGGGACCTCATTTCTATCGAAACTGGCAATTGCATTGGGCATAGCTGCAACCATAACTTTATTGTCCGTATGCTTTAAGGGACCTAACTTTGGATCGTCATTGAGATTTCCGTTTTCTTTTGATGGTTCTTCACCTTTAATTTCATCTGGATCACCTGTTGGATACACTTTGTCAATTTTTGGATGTCAGGTCGTCCTTCCAGAATATACACCAGGGTATTCACTTTAATTTTCTTTGTATCGTCTTATTTTGTTTATTTGTAAATTTCTTCATTATATCATGTTCTAGTTTTCTCGTTTTTATTTTACATTTTTAAAATCTCAATTAATTGTATTCAGTTCAACTGGTATGAAATGGATGTAGTTCCTTGTTTGCACTGAGTCATTCTTTAGTCTTTTACTCAAAAGCCATTCAAGTGGTGTCAATGAACTATTTTTACCAAGTCATTAAGGCATAATTAAGTCGTATACACTTAGGAGGGCATTTATAAATGAATCACACTCTTATTCATGTATGTGAGCACGGCCCTAATGAACGGCAGCTGATTGTATTCAGACTATACCTGGCGATAAAATTGGCTCCCATTGCTGAAAATGTGTATGCGATATTTTCTTGAAAATTGCCGTGCCTTTTTATGATTAACTTTATTACATATATGCTATGTAGCTGACCAGGTAGGAGAGTGTGCCACCATCTATTTTTGGGACTACAAATAAAGTAATGATGTAATAAAATATCTACTGTTTCAACAGTATTATATTTAAAAGTTACTCTTGTACTTTATTAAATAGTGTGTGAGATAAGGAAAATAACCGTACTTTGAAAAGTAATGTTACATTAATGAGTTGTCTTGATCTCTATTGTATTGGCTAGCCACATACTTATTTCTTTCTTTTTCACACTATTTTTTTGTTTGGCTTGATTATAAAATTGCGCCATATCTTCTATTCATATCCATGAGGCCTACTTTTTTGTTTTTTTATCCTTTTCATACCCAAAAGTCACCGAATAAGATTACTATGACAGAGGAATCAGTGAAATCTGTAGCCAACTTTCAATTTTAAAAAGCAGATTTTACCTGCCCTTCCTTTGTGTGTGTAACTGAGAAAAATGGGAAATCTTATGTAGGAGGTGGTATATCTCCCACTTTAAGCTAATCCCTGGAAATGTGGAATTAGCCCACAAATGTTCCAAAATGGTCCACTGGATTGGCTATGCCGATTTTCCTCTTCCACGCCCCGAGAAAATGGAAAACCTCCAGATGCGTGTAGAAAGTAGTATGATTGCCTTAACTGCAGTGGACCCCGTGGTAGAGTGTCTCTGAGGTTAATTGAATTGTATTGGTTATTACTTGGTGCAGTGTTACTGTAGTTTTACGTTTGAATATGCATCTCTCCCTGGATCACCTGTGACTTGCTGTTGAAATAGACATCTCTTTGAGATTTGCAACATGGCACTAAAATCCAACAAGTTATTGTATAAGAGGTGCACGTTAGCAAGAATGATGCAGGATCATATAAAATATCATTATTAGGGTAGCAAATGTCATGCTTGGCAGATCAATTTGGGTGTCAAATAACTTTGATAATTGAGTCGAGTGTTAGAATAGGATCCAGGCCCCCATTCCCTGTTGGCACTTGGTGGCTGATGATGAGATTGAAGGGATAAAAATTCGTGTTGTCTGCAGAAACATATATCTAGGTGTTAGAATGGCCCTCATAAAGTTTGGGATGTTTTCCTTCTAAGAGCAAGACATGGAAAAACGGATTTTTGAAAATTTCAATTCAGAAAATTAGTTTTCTTGAGAGAATCACAACAAATGAAAATTTAAAAAGGATTACAGCATTAACGTGCTTAAATCAACATGATATAATATATTGGAAGGATTAGATTACATATTCATCAGTTTATTATGTCCAGTTAAAAATAACCAACCATAAATCATGCTTATGCAGTTGATGACCATCTTGGGCAATTTATCACGTGGTTCTTTCCGTTCTTCAGCTGTCCAATCCACGAATTGACTTATTTCCGTTGTTTGTTCTTGACGATACCTGCTGTCATTGCTTTGATTTTTTAGATATACCTTGATTTCTCTCTCGTACACCTTGCTTCTAGCCAAGGTGCCAGCATTCATTATTTTGTTTTCTTATACTGTCTAATATTGGATCTCCAAGCCTGATTTGTTGTCAGTTTTTGAATTGTTTTCCTGTTTTACTTACATAAATGACTGTTCAGATGGATCTACTTCTGGTTGCTAATGGCTGCTGGATGTGGAATTTTCATCAGTGAGGAGGCACTAAATGTCTGGGTCTGTGCTTTGAACTGGTACCTTACTGTTTTACCTTAACTGTAGTTTGTGTCATATATTCTGGCGAAATTGTGAGAATATCAATGCCGTTTTCGTTTTTATCTGTATCACATTTTTATTTAAATGATGTAGGTTGGTATATCTTTAGCTCGATCACTCTCTCTTGACGGCACTTGGAATACATTTATGATCTCGTTCTCAAAGAATGCCCCCTACATTGTTTCTACAGTTCTGTGGGTATACTGGTAATACTTTAAATTTTCTTATTTAACGTGTTCAACAGCATGCTACTCTTATACGTCAATGTTACACGTTGTTTTTAAATGCCTTGTGCGTAGAAACTAGTTCTACTTGATTGCGCCATATAGCCTGAAGGGGTGAGTCATGTAGGCTATTACCAAAAGATAAACATCTTTAAATGTTTAACAGTCTAACAGTTTTCCTTGGGTTGAATATTTCAACGTAACGTTTTCAGTTCTATAGTGACCGTACCTCCTAAAGAAGGAACGGCTTAGGTTTGCTTTATCTTTCCAATAAGTACTGCATAATATTAAAAATGCTGCAACTATAAAAGGGAACATGAGTGTCAGAAAAAAACATATATTCTCTAGTTTGCAATTGTATGAAAGCAGAAGAGAGTTTATGCTGCTAAAAAGGATGACGTATCCTACGAAATATTTTGATTTTCTCTGAGTTCTCTTTTGTTTGTTATTTAGAAACCCGGTGTAGTCCTTTCCTTTGTCACAGCCATCATAGCTAACATCGAGCATGGGTGGAAAAAGGAAGACTGTTTTCTTTTGACCGTCGAAAATTCTTTTTTTGGTCTGGGTTTCACTTATATCCATCATTTATAGAAATAGGCTTATGCCATGTAAGACAAATCAAGGATAGAGGAAACACGGCCATGAGATGAATCACTATGAAAAGGATGAGGCAATAATATTCAGTTGAGTGAATTTTCCAAGTTACAGCTGCTTTCTAAAATAGTTGCTAACGATGCTTGGCGATTTAGTCTAGGGAACACTGTTAGGTGTAATTCTTGGGTCTGACTTCATTTGCAGACAACTCGAATCAGGTCTGACCGTTTTACCTTGGGTAGATTTGACAGCATTCGAGTTCACTTTTCAGCTCTTCTCTTATGTGGCCTTAGCTTTCAGTAAAACCAGGTTGTCAAAATGTTCAATATTTAGACAAGCAAATCGGTGGTTCTGTTGGGAAGGGCCTTGGGTTGTTAATTATAGCTTTGGATCTAGATATCAAAAGCTTTTTACTTCTATGATTTATTATCATTGTATGAGTTATTAGTGTGACGAATTATGTTTCTTCATGGTTTCTGTTTATCTAAAATTGCGGATAATCATTTCACTCAGGGGGGTCTGCATCAGCGACATGATACCTTTTTACCTTGGAAGACTTTTTAGGCAGACGAAAGCATCCGTTGACATTTGTTCCAAGGTATTTAATCGCTGATTCCTTTTCCTATTTTTTGTATACTATCACTCCCCTATTTCACTCCTTTGCCCAAACTAGTTTTGTTAGGAATCTATTGACTCTGCCGTAAAATACACATGGGCTCTCTAACAAGTTGTTATTGTGTTCATTGTAGTTAGGAATTGGCAAAGACAAGGTTGTGAGCATCACCAGAGTTGTACAGAAGTATGGGAATATGATTGGCTTCGGTAAGCTTGATGTGCAAAGGCTTTTTTTTCCTTTTTTGTAACAGAGGATCATTTCTGCTATTTTAGTTTTTAACAATGATCTTTACCATGAAACATGAAACTTTATGTCTATATTTTTTCAAACTTTGTAAGATTGTTTATCCTCTACTACAAAGCACGATCAGTAAGACAAAGCCATTCCATCCATAAATTGATGTTGTCCTCCTGCTCAATATTGCTTTATTGGTTGGTAGACTTTACTACACCTGTCTTTTTTCTGATATAGTCTACTATGTTATCAGTGGCATAGTGAGTTTTTTATTCCAAAATTTAAAATGAGCTGAATGGTGAACTACGAAAATGGTACGGACTCAAGTAAGAAGCAATTAGTGAATAAATATTTTTCCTAAATGATGGAGAATATTTACCGGAATAATCCGGAATACAGAAATGCCTCTTGACTTTCATGTATCGTAATTGTAACGATCATCTATGTCAAAATTGTCTCAATCTTGACATAACCGAGTCATTTCATATTCTACTCTCATAGGAAGATATTTGTATGAGTGCCTTAGTATGCATGTAGTCACCAATAGAAGAATGTTTAACCATGAAGACTACAGGTCGCTTATGAAATAGCCAAAATGCCTCTGTAGGTCTCAGTCATGAATTGTTTCCACTGTTAAGGGCAGTGCTTTTGATGAGAGTTGTGTGAGATGACACGCCTCTATTTGGAGTAGGAGGAATCTCTCAGTGAACCAAATATACCAGACATTTGTAAAGAACATAGCCTGGCACCCTTGTCCATGGACGACCATGACACTAGACTCTCTTCCTGAATAGTCGAGAAAAAAGTCGTCCTTTGGTGACAATACTGAGGTCCCATGCCAGATAATAATAACTGTGGTATTTAAAGATGTATTCAATCTATATATTGTTCCTTTAACTAGTTAGATATAAAGGCAGTATTTTGAACTAATTTGAATGAAAATTTCAAGAGACTTACACATAATTTCAGATTACGCATTAATTATGTATTAGCATCAATTGCTCGTTATTTTCAATACCTTTCTTCATGAGAAAGTTGAATCTATCCAAGAAAGAAAGATATTATCTTTTCCTGATTTACCTGTGTGGACTTAAATGAGAATTAATTGGTCATTAATTTTATATTTTGATTGCTTATTGAAATTAATTCTTTTTTTTATTAATCTTTTATGAAGACATTTTCAAATCAGAAGTTGCCGCTTTTGGTGCAACAAAATAAAATGCAACTGGTCTGTAACTTGTCAAATGCCAGAAGTTATTTTGGAATCAAACCAGAGAACTATAAAAAATGATGCAACGCATGATGCAATTAGCTTACTGCCTTTTCTGTGACGGGTAAAAATAAATTGGGGATAGATGAAGAGGTGTGGGCCTGAATTAAGGAGCTTGAATATTCATATAAAGCAGTACATAAGTCTTTGCAGGTTTACAATGGGTGTTTCTTAACTTTACATGGTAACTTCTTTTATTCACGAATCGTGCTTTACATTACCAAGATGTCTATCTATACTCGTGAATGACCCATATGTATGCATGATTTTTTTTGGATCGCTTTTTCTTGTTTCTAACGAAATAATTACATCTGTTTCAGTGGAGCGCTTTTCTGTTGGAGCACGAAATCCAACATCTTTTCTGGCTGGTGCATGGGTTAGTAGCTCTTCCTTGGGCTTTTTTTTTGTGTTGTGGAAATTGTAACTTGTTGGTAGTCAATTAACACTGCTGCTTTAATTAGTGAATGTCTTTTTGTTAATACACTTAGGATCAAAAGTGATCCCTGTTTTTGTTCCTCCTTGGTGTACAAACCTTGGGCACGGTCACAGGTACCCGTACGTTAATTTAATAGGTAATATGAAAAGGGTCATGGTAAATGAAACAATTGCAAATCGACCAAGATTCACCCGAAACAGAGGAGTTAGTGGGATCTGTCTAGGTTGGTCGAGCATAGAATCAGAGAAAAATTAGAACACGAAACTAAATGAATAACCTTTGCATGCTTATTTTGGCTGATATTTGCCTGTTTCTCATGCTCCAACTAGTTTAGAGCCGATTCTGTGTTTGAAACTTTTAACTTCCAACCATGTACATAGTATTTTTATTTTTTTCTTCTCTGAGTATGAGTTTTAATGCGTGGTTTAGACTCGTTTATTATCTTGAAATATAATTTTTAACTTTTTACGATTCTATGAGTATCTTAATGGAACGTTATTTTGTAATGGGGTTCAAATAAGAAATGGATTAATTGGGTGATGAGCTGTCTCAACCGCTACATTCTCAATCCTCACAAGTGAAGATCAAATGTTTCTTCCAAGCGCTCTTAGGGATTGAGATACGGGGGAGCGTTATCTCCTCTATTGTTCCTTCTTGTAGGACAATATTAAGTCGTGTGGAGTAGAGCTGTGGTCAGAGAATTGATTGATGCAGCTCGAATAGGTCGAGATAACTTATCTCTTTCGATTCTGTTTGAAAAGGTAATGCACTTGAGAATCAGGTGATGAAATGTTGGCTGATATTTCTGGAAATGGTGAAAATATTGTGTGCGAATCTTAAGAAAACAGAAGCTATGGCAACTAGAATTCAGCAAGAGGAAAGGACTAACCATGCTACGACTACATTGGGTTGTAATATTGATAAATTCCCATTTAAATACCTTGGTACACCGCTGTCTTTTGGAGGAATAAAATCAAAAGAATGGAGTGAACTGGTACAAAAACTTCGTTCTGGATGGAAGGGTGACAAGAGAAGTTACATCCAGTTGAGGGCAGACTGATGGTTTCAAAAACTGTCTATTTGGATGTATATGACGTCAATCTTCAGGACACCTACATGCGTTATGGAGAAAATTGACGGCATTGGAAGGAACTTTTGGATTGGGGCGGACAGGCATAACTTCTCCAACTTATCAGTTGGGGGTGAGTATGCAGATAAGTTAAAGGAGAAGCAGTTGTAATTAAAGCATATATTTTCAATCGAGCTAAATGGTTATTGATAGGAGGACATAGTTCGTTATAGGATCATATTGCTAGAAAAAGTTTCTTTACAATTCGTCCTGAATCGATATTTGTTCTAATAAACTGCACCATAGTGTCTCAAAGCTGGAAAGATATTGTTCTTTCAACATTATTCTCAGTGATATCTGCTGATTTTGGAGGGAAATTGAAGGAAACTCTAGCTTTGGAGGCCAATTGGTTGAGTGTTATCTCTCTTGATACAAGATTGTTGCAAATCTACATGTAGCATCAGAGCATAATAAATGTATTAATGCAATGTGGCAAAATATTCCTAATTATGGATGGTATCTAGATTTCGTAAGGAGGCTTGCAACAGCTGGAATTTCCAAATATGTCGAGCTGTTTGCAATGTTCCTACACACTTTAGTAAACAGAGATCGAGGACAACAGAAAATGGAAATGGAATGCAAAAAGGACTGTTCAGCTGGTACTTCTTTCGTTGAAAGTTAAGCTGATGGTGGACGTAGAGTTTATTAGCCGGTAACAGTTTGGTAAATCAAGTTCCCTAAAAGTAAAAGTATTTCCATGTATACTGGTTGCCAAGATGTTGGCCACTTATGACTGAATTCGAATCTCCAGACCAATATTCAGAACAAGGGCATTTTCTGTCCGCTGTGAAAAGCAACTTTTGATCATATCTTTTTGAGGATACGGCTTCTAAGTTTGTTGTGGATTTCTTTTTGAAATGAGATCCATTCTGTTGCATGCATGATCATAACTTAGGTACATCCTTTTTCTATTGTGACTCTGCTTACGGTGCATGTATTTGTTTGATTTGTTCACCTGTAATCATTTATCGTTTTTGCTTTCAAACAAATGTTAATACTTATCATGTATTCATATTATTATATTATTTTGATATTCATTTGTTGCTGGTACCTTTTTGATGTTTCTGCCACTTCTTCACTATTGACATTCTCTTCGTTGTGCTTCCTATTCATATATAACGTCCTGTTTTAGGACTGTGGGAAACGTGGTAACTTGCTCAGTAGCCCAGCTTTGTCATTTCACTCTCTCCTAATACACTACGCTTTTGTGAAGTGTGAATCTTCTGTTATAATCAGGCTCTTGCCAAAAAAATTCTGGCATTCTTATCTCTTCTAGCATGGATGGAAGGAGTCTTTTTGCCCGACACTTGAATTTCCATGGATTTCTACGTGTGTTGCAAAACGTGGTCCCTTCACCTACCATTGCACCTGATGAGGACAATCAGAGACTGCTTATGCGACCTCAGATGTTGAATGGATCTGGAAGAAAAGACCAATTTGTTCAAATTTTCATGAGTCTCTGACAAGATATTTTTAACTTCGATGTCACCACCTGATATGAGTAGAACTAATAGTTTATCTCCACCATCTCCAGGTTAGACAGTCGAAGTCTTTGGATAAAAGTACCTAACATGAATATCATGCTCTATTCGACCATTGCTTTCCCAATTTTTGTGTTTGAAACTGTGTACTTAACATTAGTGTCTAGACTGGCAAGATGGAGGTCTAGTCTAGTTGGTTTAAAAATCCAGTTAACTTAGATTTCGTGTGTGACATTCAAATAGAGCTACCCATTTTGTGTGATCAGTACTTTTGAAGCTCTCTTTGTATTGTGATTATTATTTGGGTGTTTTTTTGTATATTCTTTGGACGTTCTGTCATCTGTAAAACGTATATCCCCGCGCAAGGTCGAAAACATACACTTCAACGTATACTTCTCACATGCTTTAGTTAACTATTGACCGTTTCCAATGCAGGGTATACCATCAGATTGCTTCTTTGCTGGTGTCTGTTGTGGTGGTCTTATCACTCTCCCAGTTCAGGTTAATTTAATATTGGCACGAAATGTAGCGCATCATCATTCTACTTTCTTATAATCTCCGCCCATCTTCATGTAAAGCATTGAAAGCTCTCAAAATCATGCAATGTGATGTGTTAACAGTAAGTCCCATATTGATTTTTATATGGTGGTTGTACAGACGCCTTGGTTGATTTTTTTTTTCATTAGGACTCAATAACTTTAACATATTATCACTTCTAATTTTTGACCTTGGGTTAAACATATTTTCATTAAATTTTGCTATGTGACTAAGCTCAAAAGTAGGCATACAAAAAGGGAACGTGTTGACAATAGTTCCATATTATTTATTACAATAGTAGACATGCTTACAAACATAGATCCAACGTTCTGCTATTTACTCTCCATGATGACGGATGAGATAGCTTGGGCTTAAATTCTTCTGTTAGGTTCCAACCGGGACATGAAAAAAATTGCTTAGCCTTCCTTGGGACTGGAATCCAGTTCTACAAACTGGCCAACCCGTGGGTAAACTCTTTCTTCCTTCACCCTCAGCACCAGAACTCATCAGGAAAACTTCTGCTGCATGTGACAACTAAAATCCTTGGCGTAGCGTGATATCCAAACCCTCATTTGTCTGATCCAAATCTGCTTCACTGATAATCTTCCCGGTCCAATATCTAGGATATTTTATTCTACTCAAGCCCGTGATTAAAATCTGAATTTCAGCCCACGTTCAATTTATTAACCAACTGGTGAGCATAACCCGAGAAGATTCAGACTGAACTATCATGCCTTTGGCCCAGCTCTGGACGTGCTCTGCACAGAAGACCAAGTTCCGCCTAGCCTCACCATGACATCCTGTTGAGCCAATATGACATGAGATTAATCATATCAGTATTTTGGTGAATTTAAACTGCACCGTAAGGCTAGGTGTTGATGGATTAGTTCATTTAGTTCGTCAATGACTTATCTGTTGATTTTAGAAAATACCAGATGATCAGCAGTTAAATAACGATTTAATATCCTGAAAAGATGATGGGGATCTGCACTGTTGTTACAGTCGTGCTATTTCGTAGATAGATTGCCTGCTGAATGGGCAGGGATATGGATATGCCGAACTTCTCTTTCACATCTACCCTCATTGTAGACCCTTTTTCCCCTCTTTTATACTAAACTTCATGGCACAAAATCTTGTAGATGATTAAAGTGGACAATTTTATGATGAAAGATGTTAGAAGCATCACCTGCATTGCTGCACAAAATCTGGTTCCCCAATTCCAAACTTGAAAGTCAACCAGGAAGGAAATTCAACTTAGCTTTAAGATCTTAGAGTCTGACAAACAGATAAATATAAACCGCTCAGACATCAGCTAGGAATGTGAAGGTAGTATTATATCCACTCCTGACGGTTCCTTATCTCTCTGATTCCCTGTACAGAAGTGTAGTTTTCTACTATCTTTGTCGTCAGCTTAGTGGCCACATTCTTCAATAGATGGCTTTCCTTTGGAGAAAAAAGAGGCATATTTATTTCACTTTTCCTGACCCTGTAGCAGAAAAAAAGAGGACTATTTGGTTTTACCTCCCCCACAAAATAGCATGATTGCTGCTGGGGCCTTCTCTTTTTCCACTTGCCCCTTTAGTCCCTGGGTCGGTTTCTGTAAGACAACTTATGAATCTCCCCAATATCAGCAGAGTACAATACCAAGAGTTCCCAGCTCTTGAACAAGTTAATCCTACGGTAATCTCAGTCACATCCAATGGAAACAATGAGAGTTTCGTGGTTTCCAGAAATATAAATAACCAGGTGAAATTATTGAGGGGTTTATCAGCAATTCAGACAATTGGTGGGGTTCTAAAACCAAGTAATCTTCGACGATCTGCCAGTCAATCATTAAGACAATATTCCCCGGCACTGATAAATTAATTATTTTCTTACCACGTTTTATTGATGGAAATTGTTTATGTTGTGTGACTGAAACTAAATCTGTCTTTCTTCCTTTGAATCTCAGCTGGGGATTGGTTTTTTGCTGAGAGAAAGACCGGCAGTGGCCCTTGCTGGTGTTGCGACTGTTGTGGTACCTTCTTTATTATTATTACTATTATTGTTATTTTTTCCCTTCAGGAGATCTATATGTTTCCATCATATAATAGGAATATATGAGGGTGTTGACCTTAGTAAATCCTCCCAGGGGATGTGGACTCTTCTTCCATATGCAATCGCAGCTTCTGCAGCCTTATTCATGTTCCTGCGTCAACGCCTCTCAAGCTGATGAACTGATGATGTCCTTCAATGGGTTGATCGACCCAGTGATGTTTCCAGTCGAGTTGGAGGTGAGGCTTCTAATTTGGGAGTGGTTCTTGGTTGCTCATCCCTCATTGCACCAGGAGCGACAGAGAGAGAGAGAGAGAGAGAGAGAGGCATCACTAATATATTGAAATTTTCTCTTTTTGACGTCTTTAAGTATCTCTCTCCGTGTTGTGTGTGCTTGTGTTCGTTCATTTAGATGTATCTATATATCAGTCTGTATGGAGGGAGGGAGGGAGGGAGAGAGAGAGAGAGAGAGAGAGAGAGAGAGAGAGAGAATCAGTGTGGCAGTTAAAAGGCAGTGTTGTTGCGGAATTGGCACATGAAGATATTGAAGACGTATGAACTCTCTCTCTCCCTCTCTCTCTATCGATCGACATTCCCTTGCTTTGAATGGGTCGTCATCTATCTTTGTTCCATCTCATGAAACCTGTGCTCTTGCTCTAGAGTCTTATAGGCATCACAGAGGATGTACTTGACTGAGTGACATATCCTCAAGCCAGCCTCCCTTCCCACGCCTCACACCCATTGACAACTCTTGGTGAGGCCACCTGGCAAGAGACAGACGACACAGCTTTGGGCTAGGCTAGAAAGCTTTAAGTCAGACCGTCTTCAAGGTTTCAATCTCTTGCAGTTCCTTCAAACTCCATCCCACACAGACCCTTATTATATACAGCAAAAAGGGACCCATCTAGAATCACGATTTCTCTCTCAGATCATGGTAAAATAATTGCCCAAATCTTATATAATATGTAAAATTATTACCCAGGCCTTGTGTATTATGTAAGTAATTGCTCATCAATAATCATGATTTCCCTCACAGATCACAGTAGATTCATTTTTCTGAGTAATTTCCTACTCATTTTAGCATTTTGTGCCATTGTCAACATCTTCGTTTATAGACATGCTACTTTTATGCTTTTCCCAGATAAATAACTCCAGGTTTTCAAATGCTGACCAGGACCCAAATAGTAGTTCGTCCAAGACTTTCCCCACCTTCAACACCAATTCAAGATATCTAGAATCTAACCAGTTCAGAAAAATATAATGAACTTATGTAGACAATAAATATGTAGTGTGAGCTTCGCTATCAGAAACTAGGGTTATTTCCTTCAACTTGAAAAACTGTGTCGAAGGTAGGATGTATTTTCCATAAATATCCAACAAGATTCTTGGAAATCACTAATTAATAGATCATATTTAGCCAAAGTGTAGACAATGTCAATGTGCACAAGTTTCGATAATAAGTGAGAGTATGTTTGTAAAGCATATATAGATCAATGTTAATGTGCACAAGTTAATGATCCGATATTAATGTGCAAAAGTTTGACAATTGTTCGTGTCACTCGAGAGTATGTTTGTAAAGCATTCAGGTGTGCATAATAAGTGAGACCAATGAGTTATATAGTTAATCTAAGGACAGAAAAAACAATTTATGAATTGATTTCACATTGATACTAAAAGTAAGTGTAGTTATTCTTATCTTAATATTTATATTATCATATTTAACCTTATCTTTACTAGTAATACCACCTAAAAAGTAAAAGTGCAACTTGTAAATCTTGTGTGATAAAATATGAGATGTAGGTTAACCAAATTAGATCATGAATAGTGAAATGATTGACTGCATAGAGCTTCCCATTCTCAACCATCATCATAGAACACTTTTATTATTGACCTAATGAATCATCCATCAATGTTCTTCCAAGGAAAATTGAAAATGATCGATTTGTTACTCATTTATACTACTATTGATACAACTGAAAATAATTTGGTACTTGTATTTCAATATTATATTTGAATAATCTCTTTTTCATATTTTTTGTACTCAATAAGTTAATTTTGATGACTACATATCTTATGTTTTAACTCAAACTTGTGTCAACATTTTGTATGAATTTTTTGGAAGAAAATAGAGGCTTTCTAAGCCATAGATGGAAAAATATGATGTCACTATGATAACTATTGATATCCTCAGGTTATATATAGCCATATATGTACAAAATAAGGTTTTGAGAGTGCATAAATGCAAACTAGACTGAAATATTACGTAAGAGTAAACCCCTATAGGTGTGTTTAAGATAATAATATATTTTCTATGAAGTTGACCTCAAGTTGACGTGCAAAAAAACAAGAGTATGCTTTCATAGGGGTTGACCTTTTGAGATAACTCAAGTGAAAAAGAGGACATTATTTTCATTATACTAACCCTAAACCAGGCCAATGTAACAATAATCAGAAACTTGCGATTAAGATAATCATGAATTTTTTACTCTTAAAAGTATGAGAGCCAACTCATTAAAGTGCCAGATTTCTAAAGCGTTGACCACATACTTTTGCAATTCCTTAGGTTTTTTCATGCCCATTTTCCTCAAGATAGAAAGCCAAAAAGTTTACAATGCAGCTATTTTCTAAATTTTAGAGGCAATCTTTTGCAATAACTAGTAAAAAAAGGGTCTAATTATAAAATACCAAAAAAAATCAGAGATTATCAAGCTTCCATAAATCAAAATTTTAAAGAATAAAAGCATCCTCAAGCTCACAAAATTTCTAAGGATTATAAAATTTTCAAGAGAGTGGTTACTTGTTGAACAATGAGGAGATGTAACTCTTACTCTCCATTTATCATTACTTGAGAAAGATTTAGTCCGTACCTTGGGGAAACCAATTTGCATGTATAAGTTTTTAATTAATATCTTAATAACGGGTGATTTTTATTAATTTCGGATATGTATGATAAAAAAAATCAAATGAGATACTTGAGAAATGGATTAAGTTTAATATTGAACTAATGACTATAGGTTTTGTGGATTTCATTTTTTGGCATTTTTTTTCAATACCATTCTTTTTCCTAATTAGCCCTCAATAATTTCGTATTTATTTGTTTTTTTAATGAAAAATTTAGTTATAAATCTAATAAAGAAGATGCCAATAAGTCAGCATAAGGATTAATTTATTACCTAGAACATATAATAAAATGAATATAATTTATTGGGAGTTCAAGGAACTATCATAATATACAAGAATGTAACATAAACCATTTTTTAGTATGCATAATTAAAAAGAGAACATGGGCCCTTTATTTTTCTCAAGTTCACACATAAATTATTCGGGAAAGATAAATAGGCCAGGCTTGCCTGCACTGGGCCTGGGCTTTTCTGGTTGGGCCCATTAAGGCCTTTGGTAGGCCCGGATGGTGCTCAACGGTCCACGTCCGTTTGAATTCGAAAAACACAGATCCGTCCCTTCATCTTCTTCTTCCTCCGACGCCGCCGCCGCCGCCGCCGCCGCCTCTGCCGCTGCATATGCTGTTGTTTACCTCTCACGTGGGCGTCCTCCTCTCTCTTACCTCTCACTCGTCTGCCCAAGATTTTCATGGCTCTCTGGAGCCTCTCCCTCGGAGGAAGTTATCTGATTTTTGGTGTTATCGCCGCCCATCTCCATTATATTAACCAAGCCCGCGATCCCTTTCAATTCAGATCAAATTTCTGTCGGTCTTGCTAAGTTAGTGTGGTATTTTTTTTTATTCAGTTCGGGTTTTCTGTTTGATCTGATGGGCAGCATTGGCTGGAAGTGGCCGACGTTCGATTTGCCAGCGTCGATTTTGGGTTCCTCAGCGGAGCCTGTCTTCCTTCTTCTTTCGTGTTGATATCCCACGAAGGTTCCGCTGCTTCAGAACTCCGTAGCTATCTTGTAGAGTCTGCATCAAGAAGAAACGGGCTCGGCTGCCTCTCGCAGCACCACTTTTTCGATTAGTTCCACCTGCTTATTTCTTCGATTCTTGAGATTTTTGAGGTGTGAAGTTTCCTGATGAAGGCTTCTGTGGAGATGTCTTGCCACATGATCAACAGGTGGACCTTCTCCGGCCTTGTTGGGGCATTCCTGGATCTGGCATTGGCGTGGTTCATGCTCTGCGGGGCCACAGTGGCCTTCCTTACGACGAAACTCCTGGAGCTCTTCGGCCAACGCCTCCCATGCCCCTGCCAGGGGCTCTTTGGGCGCCCCGATGAGCAGTGCCTTCAGGAGATGCTTGCTCTCTATCCACCCCGGAAGATCTCACATGTTCAGATGTCTCTACGGAGACGATTTCCCTTTAGCCCTGCTTGGCCCCTGGAAGAAGGCACCTCCTGTCATTTTGATGTGTGTAGGGATGAAGCCCAGAATGACGAGGTTCTCGAGACGGCTGGAGAGGAGGCCTCCGTCTCCAACTGGAACAATGTCAATGGGCACCGACTAAGCTATGGCGATTCTCCGTCAGTGGATAAAGGAGACGGGCTTCTCCATGGTGCTTCGGTTATTAGGAGAAGTGGTATAGTTAATCTGCACTCACTGCCAGAACTGAGGCGGCGGCGCTGCAATGTTGCTGCAGAGCCAAGGAAGTCAAAGCCCTGTGACTCGCCCTCCGAGTCGCTGTCATCTTGCCAAGGGCCTCGGCATTCTCCAGGTACCATGGCTGAGGAAACTGTGAAATCTCTGAGTTCAGCATCTGAGTGTTAATTTTTTTCCTTTTGTTTTTTATCAATCGTTCATTATCTATATTTAGATTTTAGCTGTTTTGAGTTCTATCCATGACATGAACAATTCTGACCTTTCAGGAAAGATCGAGTCCTCTGCTAGAGGCGAGGTAGATGCTCTTAGTGTGGGATCAATCAAGCAGCTGACCAGATGTGGGGCCACAGAAAATGACTCAGTAAGTGGGGTTCTTGCAGAGAATAGATGCAAAGAAGGTGGTATCAGTGCTATCAGAATCTTGGAGCAGGCGCTAGAAGAAGAGCAAGTTGCTCGTTCTTCTCTGTATCTCGAGTTGGAGAAGGAAAGGAGTGCCGCTGCCACTGCGGCAGATGAGGCCATGGCCATGATACTGCGGCTCCAAAAGGAAAAGGCATCAATAGAGATGGAAGCTCGGCAATACGAGAGGATTGTAGAGGAAAGAACTGCTTATGACGAAGAAGAGATGAACATTCTTAAAGAGATCATTGTGAGGAGGGAAAGAGAAAACCATGTCCTAGAGAAAGAAGTCGAGCTGTACAGGCAGATGATACTCTCTGGAGATGGGAGCCAACAACAGCCTTCAGATGAGCTTCATGATGTAATCAAAATGACAGGAGTAAGGCTAAATTATTCTTTTGAGTTTGACAGGGACACAGAAATACCACAGGATTCTAAGTTTGCAACAGAGGGCAGAATGGTAGACAGTGACTCTGGCCACCTGGGCAACCTCCTTCACACTGCAAATCTCACTGAAAATGATGGTGGGCCTCCGGACTGCGTCACACATGGCAGTGGAAATCGGTATATTACTCCTTTAGCCAGGGATGAAGAGGGAAAATGTAGTAGAACTGGTGATGAACAACCTTCTGGGGCTCTGGTTGAGGATATCTGCTGTCTGAGTCCTTGTTATGACACGCTCTCTCATTCCTCCGAGATTCATGGGCAAAAAAAATCAGGGGCTTCTCTCGAATTGCCTACGGATGCTCAGGAGAAGGGCATATTAGCTGGTGATCTGTGCGCGTCCTGGCAGAGCCAAGCATTTGGTTCGCATCCGTTGGACACTTCAGAAGATATTTCTCATAATGAAGCTCATGTTTCTCTTAATAAAGTTGAGAAGACTGATTTTGATGGTTCCGGCTGGCTCCCTCGTGATGAAGCAGGTCAGGATAATCAACTCGATGGAGATGGAAGAGGGTTCAACATTTGTGATGCTCATTTGGAGTCTGAACCGGCTGTTCTTGATGTCCATATTACTGACGAGGAGATGAATATAGCTGGAAATAGGCATGCAAATTGCTTTTCTCAGGTCGCTAGGGGATCTGATAACTCAATTTGTGATGCTTTTTCTAAACCTGATGGAGGTAGGAAGGTTGACCTAACAAGAAGGTACTCGGGTAGCACCTGTTTGGAAGCTGACCGAAATGTTCGTAGGAGCATCTCAGGCTCGAGAAGAGCACTTCTGCCGGTAAACATGTCATGTGACAGCTTCTCACTTTCCAATTTAAGGAGGAATTCAATGTCTGCGGTTGACAGGGAGAGATCTAAACTAGAAGCTGAAGTTGAGTTTCTGAGAGACAGGCTAAGGATTATCCAAGATGGAAGGGAGAAGCTAAACTTGTCTGAGCATAAGGAGAAAGAGAATTGCCAGTTAAAATTGTTGGAGGAAATTGTCTCTCAACTATGTGCAATCAGGAAACTTGCTAGACCTGGAAAACCAATAAGCCAGGTGTCATCAGATTCACCAACGTCCAAGGTTTGACATTAAAATTTACCTGGATTTTTTTGCCCATCTTATGATTTGCAGTAATTTATTCAGTTTTCATATATTACTATTAGTGGTCAATATTTCGTAGTTGTACTATGCAACATTCTATATTTTGGTCATTTCAGCCCTCTTCTGCACTGCCTTAAGTATGGTAATTTTGGGGACAGTTGCTTGATACCTTCTTGTAAGGAGGGACATGGCATACCCAGGAAGTTGTTAATTGGTCAAAAACTGATATGATATGTGAATATGAAGCATCTTGTTGATATGATAACCTTAAACACCCATCTAAGAATCGTATTTTGGGTTGCAAAATGTCTAAATTATTTGGCTGTCTTTTCTGAATTGAAACTTTAATGCCATTGACTTCATAATCTGTTCCAAATAAGGTGATAGTGTATAATGGATGCCTTTTCAGGGATCAAACCCATAAAAACGTGAATATAATCCCAAGATTCTTTTTCTGGTGTTTTATTGAACTACATCATGGAATCTATCATACTGCAAATCGAATACTAAAAAATTGTTCACTGTAGTCCATCAACAGATCCTAAAATAAGCAAGCTGTCAGGAATATGAAAGCTGGGATCATTGGTAATGAGTGATGAAAATGATATCATATAACATTTCTCAGTCATGATCTAATGCAAAGATATCTAAGTGATCTCGAGAGCCATTAAGTTTGTTTATGCATCTGTTAAAATGAAGATTTTTTTCAAAAAAAATATGAGAGTTGCACCCTTGCAGAAGGGAATTCTCCCAGTTAGGTCAACTTTCCCTCCATTTGGGAAACAGTAGCTGATTTTTCTATGTGGTGAAATAATGGCGTATAGACAATCTCTAAACATGAACATCTGCTTGTTGACATGATTTAAAAAATAATAATTTGACGCTACATATGCAGGACAAGAATCAAGTATAATTTTTAAATAAACATGATACTGCCCAATCATGAGCCCCTTGGGATGATTTCTACAGCTTTTATTCAGCTATAGAATCACAATATTTTTCCCTTCTGTTCTACTTATAGGATTTTCCCTCCTGATTCCAACATTTTTTCGATTATCAGATTATTTTCAGTTCATTCTTGAACCCTCCTTGCGATTTCCAAACATTCCCCCGAATCAATCAGCAAAGACCCAAATTATTCTCCTTTTGGCTTGCCCCATTTCCTATTTTTGGCTCATAATTAATTCCATATTTTGCTCATCCTGATTCCAACATTTTTTGATGGAAGAGGGTTGGAGGGAGGCTTACAAGGTGATATGGGTTGATGCTGTCTCTATTGGTTAGATCCTGTTCAACGAGGGCTCTAATATTCTCCCCCGAATTCGGTGGCTGCTGATTTGCCCTTCTTCCTTCCTTGTTCATCTTCCGTCTCACTCTATCTTACTTTCATTCCTCTCACTTCTTATCCTTCTCTCTCTCTCTCTCTCTCTCTCTCTCTCTCTCTCTCTCTCTCTCTCTCTCTCCCTTTCCCGTTTTATGTAGAGAGAAGTACTCCATTCAACACTCGAGACCCAATAAATAGATGACCAGTACCATGTGAATGCCCAAACTATAACTAGTGAGCATGTCATTTTTGTAGATCGCTACTGTCTCATAATCTGGTTTTGGGAGGCCATAATTCCTATTTTTAATCATTATCCGATCAATTAACAGATGCCTATCCAATTGCAGGCTGATTGGAAGAGAAGACGATGCCAAAGTGACTCTTGGGGAGCTCATAGCTAAGCTCTCATCCTTCTGACGTGGATAGGCAAACTGACTCTCTCTCTTCCTCTCTCCCTCTCTCCCTCCCTCCCTCCCCATAAGCAGGTGTTGGGCAAATTCCTTGTCGATTATAGTTCATTGCTTATCATTTGGACAATGAGTGATAAAGTAATAATGTTAGTTGATAAAGATAAAATTAAACCAAGAATACCCTTTTTACTATTAACTATTTTAAAGTTGTGAAAATAAAAATACCGCATAATTTCGAGAACTTATCCACATGCCCATCCCACTGATTCCCATTTTTAATTAAATATAGGCAGCAATCTGAACCAAAAAAATTATAAAACTATAAAAAATATATATATGGGACATCCGAAAGGTTGTCATATCATCGCATGCATGGCCCATGTGTGATGGATAAACTCAGACCAATACAAATATGGCTTGCTGACAAGTGTGCGTGCATGCAATCATCCATATCACTCCATTCTTCAAAATCTAACACAGAAAACCCTCGAAATTAATTAATTAATGATATGCAACGAGTGAAGGAAGCTTTAACCTTGTATCAAACCATTTATTCCTCTGATTCTTGCGTACTCATCTCTAAACCAATACTGGGTTCGGTCTTCTCATTTTACAGGTACTTTTTTGTAAAATCAGTACGCACGCCGATAGGGCACGAGGAGCATATGCAGACTGGGCATTGAATAATAAATTAATAAATAATAGGGACAAAAAAAAATATCGAGGGTGGCCCATCTGATCGCAGCGTTCTTGGATTCTTGCATGGTGTTGGCGGAAAACATGGGCAGCTCCTCGTCGGTGAAGCTGGAGAAGGGAGAACGAGTCCCCAAGATAACAACAAACGCCGCGCTTGTCTCTCCTCCCCCACCAACCAGGAACCGATAGAGACCGGAAGAAGAATAAGAAGCAGAAGATGGAGGAGGGGCGGTCAAGGAAAGGAGACGTCTCTGGTTCGCTCGCTGGGTCGCGCCTTATGTCTCTTCCCCATCTGGCGGCCGCCGGCGAGACCGGAATATTCTGAAGGTTGAGATGGACAGACGAAGGGGAGATCCGGAGGGGGGAGGGGGAACGCCGGCTCATTCACGGCAGCCGTCTCCATTTTCATCCTCGTCTTCTCCTTCTCCGGCAAGGGACTGGTCCTCTCCCTGAGATCCCCTCCCCCCGCGCCGCCGCCGTCATGAAGCTGCGACGTCTCCGTCAAGTCTTCTCCTCCGACGCCGACGAGGTCACGAAGCACCACTACCGCCGCGCCGCATCGGTCCGCCGCCCATGGCTCCCCCAATTCAGCTGCTGCGAGTTGCCCCTCCAGGACTTGCCGCAGTTCTTTGACACGGCGGGGGTCGCCGTTGCCGCCGCTGCTGGGGGGACGGACGGCGCTGCCGCCGCCGGCAACCCCCGGGTGTTCAGCTACGCCGAACTCTACGTGGGCTCCAACGGGTTCAGCGAGAGGGAGCTGCTTGGCAGCGGCGGCTACGGCCGCGTGTACCGCACTGTGCTGCCCAGCGACGGCAGCCTCGCCGCCGTGAAGCGCGTGGCCTCCTCCGGCGACCACTCCGAGAAGACCTTCGCGGCGGAGCTGGCGGCGGTGGCGCAGCTCCGCCACCGCAACCTCGTCCGCCTCCGCGGCTGGTGCAACCATGACTCCCAGCTTCTCCTCGTCTACGACTACATGCCCAACGGCAGCCTCGATCGCCTCCTCTTCTCCCCGCCGCGCACGGCGGCGCCGCCGCTCGTATGGCCCCGTCGCCGGCGAGTCCTCCAGGACCTCGCGGCGGCGCTCTTCTACCTCCACGACCAGCTCGACACGCAGATCATCCACCGTGACGTCAAGTCCAGCAACGTCCTCCTCGACTCCGCCTTCCGCGCCCGTCTCGGGGACTTCGGCCTCGCCCGGTGGCGCGAGCACGACAACGACGCCGACGGCGCCGGCACCGCCCCTGGCCCCTCCGCCATCGGCAATAAGCAGTTCCGGCTGACGGAGACGAGCAGGACCAGCGGCACCATCGGGTACCTCCCGCCGGAGGGCTTCCAAAGCCAGCCGCCGCAGGCGGTGACGGCTAAATCTGACGTCTTCAGCTTCGGCGTCGTCGTGCTGGAGGTCGCCGCCGGCCGACGAGCCGTGGACCTATCCGTATCCGACGAGGAGATCATCCTCCTCGACTGGGTCCGCCGCCTCGCTGACGACGGGAGATGCCTCGCCGCCAGCGACAGGAGGCTGCCGGAGGGCTCCTTCTCGCCGGCGGAGATGGAGCGGCTCATCCACCTCGGCCTGCTCTGTACCCTCCATGACCCGACTTCCCGGCCCACCATGAAATGGGTCATGGAGATGCTCTCCGGCAACTACTCCGGCGACCTCCCTGTCCTTCCTTCCTTCCGAGCCCACCCACAGTACATTTCCCTGTCATCCTCCTCCGCCGCCTCCACCTCCGATGGAGCATCCGGCCACTTCACCAACTGCAACAGCGGCGGCGCCGCCGGGGGCCAGCACCAGCCCGCCTCCCTCACAATGGACATGCCGAGGGAGATCCCCTTCAGGGAGATTGTGGAGGTGACCAAGAACTTCTCACGGGCGCAGGTGGCGGCGGAGATGGACTTCGGCAAAGCCTACCATGGCTACCTCGACCACCGTTTCCATGTCTTGGTGAAGCGGCTGAGCATGAAGACCTGCCCCGTCCTGCGGCGGCGCTTCTCCGACGAGCTCCATAATCTCGGGAGGCTCCGTCACCGCCACCTGGTGCAGCTCCGAGGATGGTGCGACGAGCAGGGGGAGATGCTAGTGGTCTACGACTACCCCTCCGGCGGCCTCCTCAGTCGCCATCTCTTCCTCGGCGGTGGCACCACCACCACGCTTCCCTGGCGGCGCCGCTGCTCCATCCTCAGATCGCTAGCCTCCGCAGTCCTCTACCTGCATGAGGAGTGGGAAGAGCAAGTCATCCACCGGAACATCACCTCCTCCGCCGTCTTCCTCGATCCGGACAAGAACCCCCGCTTGGGTTGCTTCTCCCTTGCAGAATTCCTCACCAGGGACCACCATGGCGGCGGCGCCACCACTGCCACCAGCTCCTCCGCCCGGGGCATCTTCGGCTACATGGCCCCAGAATACATCGACGGCGGAGAGGTGACCCCCATGGCCGACGTCTACAGCTTCGGGGTGGTGATCATGGAGGTGGCGACCGGGCGGCGGGCAGTGGATTTCAGTTGCCCAGATGTGCTCCTGGTGAAGAAGATGAGGAAATTCATGGAAAAGAAGAAGCCATTGGAGCAGATGGTGGACAGGAAGCTGGGAGAAGATTATGAACCTGGGCAGCTATGGCAGCTACTCCAGCTGGGTCTTGCCTGCACACATTCAGATCCACAGCGGCGGCCGACGATGAGACAGGTGGCGAGCATCCTTGGCGGTAATGACAAGCTCCTGAGAGCCGTCGGCTGGAAGAAGGAAGGAAGGGAATTGTGGTGGCAGCGGAACGCCGCCGCCCTTTCACTGGTGAGGAGACTCCAAGCTCTGGGCATTCATTGAATTCCCTCCCACAGCCATGGAAAGTTCTCTCTCTCTCTCCTTGAAGAAATGAAACTCCCAGTATAAACAGAAAAGTAAGCAATCTGAAGCGCAGAAGAAATAGTTCTAGGAGAAGAGTAGACCGATCAAATGACGTTCTTCCTCATCGTCAGCATCGAAGTCAACGCACTTTGTCAGCGTCAACAGGAGCCCTATGAAGCTCATTTTTTCCAATTCTCTCCCCTCCCCAAAAACTACACATTTATTGTAGGCACGGAAATTGTAATTGTGAACAGAAACTGAGTACATATGATAGGGTTTTTCGGGGCTGTTTTAATTTTTTTTTTTATAACAGTTCACCCATCCTTTTGCTGTTCACTGTTTCTCAGAAAGCAAATCATCGATTACCCAGATTCCCGACCATTTCCTTGATGATTGGCCATCCATAAACTATGATTTATCATGCTCATCTGTGATGTAGAGAGAGATGCAGAATCAGTCTCCAATTATCTTGTTGTCTGAACCACATTATTCCTTGTCTGAACCCCACGAATCTTCCCCTTAATGTTTTCATCCAGGGAAAGAGGAAAAGGCAAAATCCCAAGGTATCTGCCAATTCTGAAACAATCTTAGCTTTCTGGAAGGAAAAAACAGAAAGATGCCTGCCAGACGAATATCTAGATGGATTAATATCTTTTTAACAAGAGATTAGATGCAATTTTTTAACAAAGTTTTTATGATAAACAAAAGCATACTTCATCTCGTCTTATAACTCAATACCCTGGTGAGATTTAGTCCAGAAAGAAGTTAATGGCCATTAAAGAACTTACGAACTGCAAAAATAGGAAATCATTAGACAGATTTACCAATTTCGTATCATGGACTTTGATTAATGCAATAAAAGCGGTAAGATAACGATGTGAATATAGTTCATAAATACTTTTGATAACAACAACGTAAAACACAGTGATAATAAAGTATCTGATGGTGCTTCAGATATGGAGACTTTTCTAGTCATCATGTATGTCTGTGTGTATGTGAGATCGCTTTTGATTACTCATGAGATCATAAGATTAAATCAACTCGGGAGATAAAATTGAGATACACTGTAAAGTATAAACCTGTAAATCATCACTTTCATTAAAGCATTTAGAAAGAAAAAAAAAAACTAGATTCCTGAGCAATTATTTCTTCATCAAGTCCAACATAGCCTAGAATGATAGATAAAATGCGAAAATACGATACTATAGGTAAAAAGAATACCCGCATTAAACAATCCAGAACTGTTCAACAGAGGGAATAAAGATGTAGAAATTTCTGCTTCTATAATCTCTGTTTCGTTCTCAAGCAAACAACTGATAGAGAAGAAAGGCATGGCGGGGACAGCCGGCAGAGCACAAAATATCCCTATCTCTGGTTATGTTAATGGCAGAGCTTCCCTCCGCTTTGACTCTATCGGAACACTGCAAACGACATTGGTCGCAGGATTATTCCTAAGACAGGCTCAAAGAATTCGGGACTGTCAATGTGGAATCCTTCAGGAAATTAAGAACAGCACTCCTATGATTTTTACACAGAGAATACAACCCCCAGAAATGTTCATTACGACTGAAGCGAAGGAAAGACGCAGAGGGGAACTGGAGGAGTTGCACCTGGAGTTGTCCCCCCTCATTCGGCAACTCTCAGATGGATGACACGGGCAGCGGATGGGGCCGGCAGAAGGATTCGTTGTCGATGCGATAAGGGCGGCGCAGAGGATATATAAATGGAGTCATCTCGCAATCCCTTCCTCCGTGGCTTTGAAGAACTTGCGCTCACCTTCAGTGTCGCTATTAATCGTTCGCTTCTGAACGAAGCACGCCATGAGCAAGGAGGACCGGTTCTCCCCGACCTTCGGGGAGGAAAGCTCCCCCCGTAATCTTTGAGGAACACGACGAGCCGAGAGCCAGATTAGCCCCCGCCGCATTTCTTCATTATTTTCCCCTCCTTTTTGTTCCCTCTGGCAAATATTGATTGCAAAATTATATATATATATAAATGTCCATTAAATCATTTTTCTCTGTGCACCACATCCATGAAGTGGGCATAAGATAGAGGTTAAAAGTCAAACACATTCTAAAAAAGTCAAATAAACATTAAAACGAATATTAGCGTTATCTTGTTAATTTAATTCTGGGAAAAATTATCGTAAATGAAGTCAAGAATATGCGTACGCAGTTCTAGTTATAGAGTAGACATGCGGAGGGATTGTCCCTCTCTCTCTCTATTTCTCTCTCTTTCTCTCTCTTTCTCTCTCTTTCTCTCTCTTTCTCTCTCTTTCTCTCTCTTTCTCTCTCTTTCTCTCTCTCTCTCTCTCTCTCCCTCTCCCTCTCTCTCTCTTTCTCTCTCTCCTGTCTCTCTATATCTATCTCTTTCTCTTTCTCTTTCTCTTTCTCTCTCTCCCTCTCTCCCTCTCTCCCTCTCTCTCTCTTTCTCTTTCTCTTTCTCTCTCTCCCTCTCTCCCTCTCTCCCTCTCTCTCTCTTTCTCTTTCTATCTCTTTCTCTCTCTCTCTTTATCTCTTTCTCTTTCTATCTCTTTCTCTCTCTCTTTATCTCTTTCTCTATCTATCTCTCTCTCTCTCTCTCTCTCTCTCTTATTCTTCGTGTGGAGGAGGCATAAGGTGGAGAGATCATCTGCTGATATCTAGATGAACAAACTTCTTGATTTCTATATCAAACAGGCTGAATTAATCAATCGAACTTCATCAAGTTTGACAATAACTGCTACTTTTTTGGCCACTGTTGACGTGCTTTGTATTCACGCCCGTCAAGAGACGAACGGCGACTTCCTTTGAAAGAAGACTTCCGATTAATATAAGCATGAATTAAGTCAACCATGATGTTTCATCTACGGTAAAATACTCCATTGTCCGGAAGTCAACACACCAAGATTCGACTCGTCATGATGATATCCTCTGGCAGTGGACTGCGAGTGTAAAAGTCAACGTTCTTTTACTACGGACATGCACATGCATTGGGCAGGTCGGGAAAGGAGACGACGAGAGTAGGGTGCTGTCTGCAACAGCAGACTGCCATGGCGGCAGTCTATTTAGCTTCCCGACAAGATGACTTCTGCCAGGTCAAACACACCACCACCTGTCGAGAATGTAGGTGAATCGCTGACTTCTTACTTACCACGCGCTCCGACGAGTCCACATTTCTCTCTGTCTCTCTCTCTCTCGGTCGTATTAATGTGTGTGTGTGCGTGCCTCTCTCTCTCTCTCTCTCTCTCTCTCTCTCTCTCTATGTGACCGACGTTTTTGTGGTCATGCGCCTATCTGCATATGCAGAAGCACCCAGCTTCCCGACAAGACGACTTCTGCGAGTCAAAGAGCACCCCTCCTGATGAGACACGCGTGCATCGTTGACTTTCCGCTCCGGCACGTTCTGTCGACAGCGCCCTGCGGCCCATTTGACTGCCGTGCGGATATGTATTCATTGATCTGGTGGTCTAGAAGCCCCTCTCTCTCTCTCATGCATGTGATTGCCTTGCGTATGTTCATCTCTCTCTCTCTCTCTGGTCCTATCCGACTCCACTGTGCGTGACGCGCTCATCTCCCTCTATCTCTATCTTTCCGTTTCTCTTTCCATCTCTCTCTCTCTCTCTGTTCATCTGTCCATCTCTCTCTAAATCTATATGTACCCTATGTCTATCTCTGTCTCTGTGTCTACATCTCTCGATCTTGGTCCGCTTTCACATTCCACCCCTATCCATGTGTGCGCCCCTCTCCTCATCTCTCTCTCTCTCTCTCTCTCTCTCTCTCTCTCTCTCTCTCTCTCTTTCTCTCTCACTCACTCACTCACTCACTCACTCTAGACACGACAATCACAGCGTCAGGACTGATGCACCAAATATAGCAGCTTTGTTTGGATTACTATCACGACCTTATGAATACAGTGTAATGATGATTGCATTCTTCCGGATTATCTTCCGGATTTTTATGAAAAAATTTGAGATAATCTGATGAGCCCTCCGTAGTAAAACATCAGATGGCGCCAGCGTTGATGAAGCTGAAGATCTGCTGGATCGAGCTTGCTATGTCCTCTGCGCTGAACCTCACTTCGCCTGCAATCTGCTCGCATTGAAGACGTGGGGGATACCATGAGCCTATGCCATTTTGCTCTGAAAACAGCCTCTTTCTCTCTCTCATAAGCATCATCCCTCCCTCTTTTACATAGCTTTCTATCTGAGAATCTCTCTCTCTCCCTCTCTCTCTCTCATATCATAAACAGTATCCTCTCACATTAGCAGTATCCCTCTCTCACGTAAACAGCATCTGTCTCTTTCTCTCTCATAAGCATCATCCCTCCCTCTTTTACACAGCTTTCTATCTGAGAATCAGTCTCTCTCTCTCTCTCTCTCACACACACACACACACGCACACAAGCATTAACCTATCTCTGAGAACCGGTTTCCATCTTTCCCTGTGTCTCTCTCTCCTATGAGCAAACTTCCTATCACACAATCTCCCTCTCTGAAAGCTAGAATTTTAAAAGAAATGCGGTTTTGTGTCGTGAATGTTTTGATTTACCTTGACGTTGAAGGAGTAGAGAACGGTCTGCTCGATGGTGGTGATGTTTGTGTGGAGAATGTTGAGCTGCAGGTCCTCCAGGGCGGCAATAGTCCGCAGCAGCTGCCCAGGTCGCCGCCGGGACAAGATCTTGATCATGGCGTCAAACCCCAGAAGCTTCACCTCCACGTCGGCCAGGCAAGACTTGCTCTCAGCCGCCTCCTCCCCGGCGGCGGCGGCGCCGCCGCCGATGGCCGCCTCGTACTCCAGAGCCTTCATCTGGTCAACCCCCGGAAAGAAGGGAGGAGGAAGATGGGCCTGAGCCTCCGCCGGCGGCGCCCTCAGAGCTTCACCGCCCACCATCCTCCGCCTTTTCTGGGACTCCAGGCACTGTAGGAGCTGCTCCAGCTCCCTCACGAACTCTATAGCGCCGCCGATGATAGACGCTTGGTCTCCCTGCACCAACCCAGAAGACCCCGCTGTCAGATTCGAAGTCGAAGAAGAAAAGGAAGAAGAAGGAGAAGAAGAAGAAGAAGAAGCATCTTCTGTTCTTACCCTCTGAACGTAGGAGCTGGGCATGAGAGACCTGAGTACACGGAGGTGCTCGTTCATCTGCTTCCTTCTATTCCTCTCGACGGCGATATGGGTCATCCTCTGAATTTCCACCTCCTCGGTCGTCTTCGACGACCTCGGTCTCTTCCTCTTGTTCTTCGCCTCGGGGGCATCCGTTCTCTGGTGTTGAACCGACGAGTTGTTCTCCGATTCTCTCGGCCCTTCATCCACCGGGTATCTGTCGACGCCCTCGTCGTGGTTTCCGATCGCCGCCGCCGGCGGGAGCTTGAGGAAATAGTTCTCCTCGTCTGAGATCTTCGACTGGTTCAAGGCGAGCTTGGGCCCAAAGTCCGCGAAGTGCATGACGTCGGCGAAGCTGATCCTATCGAGTGAGAGCTGCCGCTGCGGTGGCGGTGGAGGCGGTGGCGGCGGCGGCGGGTGGTGGTGGTGGTGGGTGAGCATGTAGTCCACCATCTCCATGCTCTCGTCCAGATTCTCTCTGGGCCTCAGAAGCTGATGAATTTGCTGATGATCCAAGGAGTACTCCAACGCAGCAAAATTATTCGGCGATTGATCCACCTGCAGCTGAATTAACCGAGGGTGAGAGAGAGAGAGAGAGAGAGGGAGGGAGAGAGAGAGGGAGTACTACCGAGTAGTTTCGTTCTGCTTCCTTCTCCATGATGCGTGTAGGAGTTTATATTAGCGCTAGAGAGAGAGTGAGAGAGAGTGGATGGGGCAGCTGACAAGGGGCAGCTGGTTCTTCCTCCGGCACTTCAGCTAAAATGGAAGCATTAGTTGACCTTGTGTGGATCCCTCCCCTACGAGGCGGCCAGTCCAGAGATGGTAAGAACAGCGGGTAGAAACTCTGACCACCAACGGTTTTACCGAGATCCAGACAGATGCTGTGTAGGATCTTGGAGAGAAGAACCTGACAAGCGCTGTCTAGGGAAGGAGAGAGAGAGAGAGAAGGGAGGAAACGACAGAGATAGAGAGGGGGAAGGGGGGGGAGAGAGAGAGAGGAGGAAACGACAGAGAGAAAGAGGTGGAAGGGAGAGAGAGAGAGAGAGAGAGAGGAGGGGGGAGGGAGGGAGGAAGGAAGGAAGGAAGGAAGCGACAGAGAGGGAAGGAGGGGGCGTGAGAGAGAGCGAGGAAGGAGCATGAAGAGAGGTCGCTGGTGGTGAAAAGGTAGAGCCGAACTCGGGGTTTCTGGATTTGAAGTGGAGGCGGTGAAGGAGCCTGAAAGCATTGATGAGGAGTTGCGGTGAAATCCCCCACCTCTCTCTCTCTCTCTCTCTCCTCCCTTCCCTCACTATCTCAGATCTCTTTTTATTTATGCTATTCACATGCACCTTCAACGCTCCCCCCTCTTTCCTTTTCAACCATCACATGATCTCCACCGTCATCTCTCTAAGCAATCACATCATTAAATAAATAAATCCAATAATTTTTACTACATAATAAATTGTGTTAAATATAGCACCCCCCCTATTACTGTAAAAAAGTAAATATTTTATCACGAAAATACTTTTCAAAAAAATTAAAAAGTTATCCTCAAAACATTTGGGGGGTTTAAATCCCACGCTCTATTTATTATTATTTTGTAAAATATTTTTTTTTGTAAAGAAATGGATTTTTGCAAGATCACATCTAATAGCAAGCATTTTGTTTCAAGAGGGTTGAAGCTTTTGGCATTGCACGTATTCAACCTAGCCTAAGAGGGGGACAGACGGAGAGAGAGAGAGAGAGAGAGAGAGAGAGAGAGAGAGAATAGATGTCTAGACATTCAAATTGAACCCTATTGAATCTGTGACCAGGGTAATCTAGCAATAAACGTCAGGCTTGCATGGGCCAATATATGAACGCTATCAAGATATCATTCTTCATCTAAAAGATAACTTAAAAATGACTGACGAGTGGCCAACTCGAAGCTCATTAGAGGCAATACTCGTCCCTTGAAGTCATCAAGAACTCATCCCAAGAGCAGTTATATTTACTCCTAGGGTTTAACAACGGCGGCCGACGGAGTCCAACAAAGGCGTGAAAAATCTCCCAAATATTCGTAAAACCTTCCCGAGTCAACGCGATGAGATAAAATTCGTCGAAATGGACCGAGCCCAGAAGAAATCCGGTCGGAGAACCTCGTCAGCTCCCCGCTCACGATGAGCAGGATTGGCACGGCTCTCCGGGCCCTTGAATGAGGTCCTCCCATGCAGAAGAAACCCGTAGAGGAAGATCCCGTCCAGAAGAAACCACCAGTCCATCTCGCCGCCTCGGCCATCCTCCCTGATTGGCGATAGATACGACCGGGTTCCGGGGAACTACGTCGCTCTGTTTTTCCACGCCGCTCCTTCCGAGCTTCTGCAGTTTCTTAGGGCCGACGAAAGCCAGAGGCACGCCGGAGAGCTTCGCCGGAGGAGGAGGAGGAAGAGGAAGAGGAAGAGGCTGGCGGCGGCGGCGATGTCCCTTATAGGAGGCGATAGAAAGGTTGACGGCGGCACACCGCAGGGAGAGGACGAAGTCCGAGAGCATGACGTGTCCTTCTTCCTTCAGCAGGACGTCCTCTGGCTGTGGTCTCTGTAGACGACGCCGAGCATGTGTAGGTACGCCACCGTTAGGAGGACCACCACCCCACTGAACTTGCGATCTCATGCTACGGAGGGATCAAAGACCGTATATTTTTCGCAATTTAATTTGCCGTTAATTTTCCAATTAATGTATTATAATAAAAACATGCATAAACCCATGTCGAAAATCACAAGTCAGAACATTCCATCGATGGAATAATAAAGGGTACAAGGAATGAAGAAGGGTTGAGGAAAACCGAAGGAGAGGGGGAGGACTGTCAGTTTGACAAGAAAGGAGCATATCTGATCGATCCCCCAAGGTTTTAAATAAGATGCCAAAGTTTTTCGCTATATTATTCTTCAGCCATTGTAGTACCAAGCCGAGAAGTGTGATTGAGAATAAAGCTGGGGATGATCAAATCAACATTTTTTTTCTTATCATGGAAAGGATTTAGCATTCTCATCAAGCCAAAGCACCCTCCCTGATCGGAAGGAAGACGTTGATTCAACCCAAAAAAAAGTACTGAAAAGACCAGATTTGCAAGTTTTACAATTTCATTTGTATTTTTGAAAAGTAATATCCAAGAAGCTTTACATAAATATTTTTACCCAATGAATTTACTATCTTATTACCATCCATGTGAATCAATCCTATATCTCATCACTTTCGTGGGTTCCCAGCACAAGGAACAAGGAAAAAAAAGGCAAGGTGTTTTTCTCTTTCCTTCCATATTCTTGTTCCACCTAGATTCCACTCTGTTTTTCATTAAAAAATTCTGACCTAGAATCATAATCCCCTCTCTATTAATCATTGGGATAGACCCATTTTGAGTCAGATGCTCAAACTTCATGAGAAAATTTACAAATCAACAATGGATAATGCTCTACTCTTGTTGACTAGAAAATTCATAGAATTATTGAATGAATAATGTGCAATAAAACTGAATCAAACCAAGAAAATTTTGCACCAAAATGAGTGGTAGTACCATGCAACCTTGCTTTGAGAATGATTCTCTAGATGTCTCTTGTGAACCATTCGAAGATCTTCACTAGAGCACAACTCCATGACTTTGTACGAGAACTTCTTGGTCTCAACGTGATTGTAGAGGCTGAGGAAGTCTTGATCAAGAACTAAAATATCTCATTCTTGGGTTGGGCCCTCATCAGCTTCTTCCTTCTACTAGGGACCTCCATCTCACTAATCTTCACAGCAAAGCAACTCCCCATGCACCATACTTCAAAGAGATAAATACTCTGACACAGAACAGATGAGAAAGGGGTCGATGACCCCAACTACCTCGCACAAAGGACTGCAGACTCCAGAAGAACACGTACCCCATGGGTCAGTCATTAGGACTTCTGCATACTAGGATAAGGAAGATATCAAGGTGATTAAGAAACCATCATTGTTTGGGGAAATCCACAATTAATGTTCAGTCTATGTCAATCAAGTGGGCCAGTCTCTTAACATTCCCCATAGATATTTACAGGACTAATTAAGATCCACATAGTGGCAAGACAAGATCTAACATAAGGATTTGCTTCCTTCCTAAGACGTGACTTCTTTGCTAAGACATGTTGTCTTCAGTCTACTAGCTCTTTGATAAGACTCATTTCATGATCCTACTATGCTGAGGTGAAGTGTGAGTCAACTTATGTGAAACAATGGGCTGATTTAGGTGAACTCGTTTGATCAACAGTGGTATTGTGAGAAGAAAGGAGTTAACAATCTTTTGAGGCACTCACCTGCACCCCACTCACATGAGAAGAGATCATAATTAGCATGTGGAGCAAACCACATGACATTGACTTGTTAGGCCTAATGAAGGGCAACACAAAAGATAATCTATTAAAGTTCAAAATAGGCAACTAATTGTAGAATTGGTCAAATAGTAATGTGACCTAATTGTTGTATAATAAATCACTCAAATTGAAAATTTATAAAACTGACAAATATAATTTTTTAGATTAAAAAAAATAAATTAATTATAATTCACCAAAAAGTTATAAAAATAGTGATAAATTTTTAAGTTGATCACAAGGATATAAGATATCTGATAATATTTTTTTAAAAATCAAATAATATGATTTTTTATGATTTTTAAGTTAAATGATGAAGATAAAATATATTTAAAAGTTTATGAAAAAGAAAATTTTCAATCCGAATGTTAAGATGATGTCATCACCTTGATGAACGTGATTTGGGCATAAACAAAATTCCCTCTGATAATTTTTACGTAAATGATTACATATAATTTAATTAACCAAATTAAGATCTATAAAAGTCAAAATAGTTATAATTAAATAAAAAAGTATTTTTAAAACTTGATATTATATAACATCTTACTAAATTAAGTAAAGAATAAATTTAAAGTATGAAAAACATAGTTCTAACTTTATCAAAAAGATTGTCATAGTTCTATGTGTTCAGAAAGATTATTACATGATGTCCACAACCTCAATGTCTCTTCTTAAATATAGATGATATAGACAATCTTTAGATCTTCTTGTGAAGTTTGAAAATCAATAAAATGAGTCAAAGAATCATCTCCAACGATTGTCATCTGACAAAGTATATCATTTAATATGTTCTCGAAGGTGACAACTTGACTCTTAGTATATCATTTTCTAACCAACGATAACTTATTCGTCAATCAACTAGAGATCATTTTCTCGATAGATTTATGTTCTTTTTATCTATAATTATTTGATAGTTAATAATAATGCTCCACCAATCACATTACTGACATTTTCACTGATGATTAAGTGATTATGACCACTTAATCATTGACCAACACTTTGTAGGAAAATCATGATTTAATCAAATAAAAATATAAATTTTTGCTCTAGTGTGATTCGAACACTTGCAAATCACTTAGATGCATGTGAGATATTTTTTTTTTACCTACATACCCTTTTTAAATGATGTTATGAAGTCATTTTCTTCTTATAAAAAAAGATATTTTAAGTATATAAATATTAAAAACATATGACAAGTGTCCCGAGTTTAGTCCCACATAGACTATTTATTAAGTTTTGAGATAACTATATATTAATGCCTCTTCAGCAATATAGTTCTCTTATGTGTGTACAACCACTCATTGTCTCATGTTCGATTGGCCACTGATGATGTGAAAGAAGAATGATGTATAGGTGCCCCCAATTGATCATTACCTACTTGAGCCCTCTACTCGTGGCTTCGTCTGATTGTGCCTTTAACTTATTTGTAGGCTTAATTAGCCAACAAGTTCCCCCTTTTTATAATTTATTTTATTTCTCTTCATTTTATCTGAAAATATGATTATGAAAAATTATATCAAATTATATAATTAATAAAAAATCTTATTAATCAATTAAAAACTTTTTCTCACTTTAACATAAATATAAATATATTTATCATAAGTTAAAACTTAAAGATTATTAATTAATTATCAACTCATGATGATGAAGATTTCTCAGTTAAATATAACACTATCGTAAACTTATGAATTTAATTTTTTTTTCTAATGAAAGGTCAAATCACTTGGGTTAGCCTTTTTGTTTTTCTAGAGTTAACTAATTTAATTTACATAGACTCAAGCTTAGTTAACTAATTCATATTAATAGCATTGAATGCATAATTCATCTCACTACATTTGTTTTTTTGACACTCACAAGATTAACAAGAGAGATATGTTTTGTATTGATTTGACTTATGGCCCTTACCTCATATTTGATTCTTACAAATGTCAAAACATTGGGGTCATGTATCGAAATTAAGAGATAATGGTTACTTCTCTTAATATATTAAATATATTTTAATCACCTTAAATAAAGTCAAAGGTGCATTCAAAGATATTTTGGTGGGATATTTACTAAAAAGTTGAAAGAAGCAAAATCGTTCAATCCAAGTATGTTCAATCGGTATAGAGATAACATGAATGCTGTTGATTTTTTTTTTTATATTTTTTTTGCTATTGTCTTGGAGTTCAAATTAACTTCTATTAACCTAAAAGAGAAATGTGAAAAGGGATTATGCATTACTATAATAGGAATGCCTTGTTACTATTAGTGGTGGAGGAAATGACAATCTATAAGATGAAAGGGATGACTTAATAAAGACAATGTTGATTCAAAGGTGAAATTTTCTCTACAAACTATCTTCATGACCTCAAAATATCATATCGTTCTATTAAGGGGAAGTTTAAAAGAGAAGAAGGTTTTGACCTTAATTAATTTGAGAGGTACAAATAACTAGAGTCCAAGTTGATTGGCCATTACCTTATCAAGTAATCTACATGACATAATGATTAATAGAAGTGAAAACATTTGTGAAAAGACTTGCTTCTATGTAGAAATGTGCATTCAAGATTTTAACTATTTTTGATAGTCTCAATATGTATTGCCACTTGTAAGTTACAAAGAGGTGTTACATAGAAGTTGGGCCAAGAAATGTATTCAAAGACATTTTAAAAGGGCAATTGACCTTCAAGTTGTGTAGAAAGGATTGATTGTTCAATGGAGTTGACCTCGAGAAATTAAAGACATATCTGCCATAAAATGTTCAAATAATGAAGGGATATAATGCAACTAGTTACAATATAAATTACAAGAATAAGGGTGTTTGGGAAAACGAACTAATTCTGCAAAAGTGAAGACGATATTTAACACATATGATGAGACATTTGTGAAACCCCACAAGTTGTGTATATATCTTAGCCTAATTATGGGATTATACTGTACCTCTCACAAGATGATTAAATCATATTGGCATTTACTCATGTTATTATTTACATATTGAGAAAGAAATCATTCAATGCCTTGCTTTAGAAGTAATTAAGCAACTACATAAGAGTCTAATCCCATTCTTTTGTTGTCTTCTTTGTTAGAAATGAACATCATACTACAATCTTTTAAATGAGATGATAATAAAGATAAATTCCCCATTCCCCCAATATTTGAGTTGCTAAATAGATTTGGGGTATGGTAACCACAAAGTCAAGGCAAGGGAGGGATTTTCCTATAACAATCCTTTGTATTTATGAAGCTTAATTCCATTGAGTGACCTTCTTTAGGCTAACCAATACACACTATCATTTTTTTTTTTCATGTTATGAACTCCATATTCCTCTTAAGAGCTTTGTGCTAATAGTTTTTAATGACATAAAGCAAGATCTAGATTGCATTTTTTCTATGCTTATAAGCTATCTTCAAAATAATAAAATAAAATTATTTTTTTATGAGATATTTATTGTTTGAGACATTTGACTCTAAAAGGGATTTAATGTAGCAGCTTGCTTACGCCAAAAACCCATAAGTCTCTTACGAAATTTCTTGAGTCAACAAGCTCTTGTGGAAATGTTTTTAATAGATATAGTAAAATATATAATTTTATTTTTTAATAAGGTGAATGACACAATATATATATTTTTCAAGGATTTTAATCTCTCCATAGAATCAGGCCTCTGTTTATGTACGACCTTTAGAAGACTATGGTTGACTCTTATTCACAGTGCGTCATCAGTTGGGACTTATTATTAGTTTTCAGTCCCGAATAGGATTTGTTATAAGCTTAAATGTACAATTTAGTATCTTATAGGAGTTTTTGTTAATTCAAACTGTGACGTGGTCGTCGACTGCCGTAAGTAAAGTTTCTTGGATAGTTTGTTAAAAATCCTCATATTTAATAAATTTACTCTTGTACTCCCCTACCCAAAGTAAATTGCGTTGGAGTTCTATCGATGTCATGCTATAAATTTAATGGTCATCGCACTCATGTTGCTTCGAAACCCTAGTTTTCCCGGCCCTCTTTCGCCGGTTCCGGGAAGCCGCCGGCAAGGGAATTTCTGCAAGTTCCGTCGATGTGGAGCGAGTCGGCGGGCGGGACGGAGGATGTCCCACTATCCCCAAGGTCCAGAGGCATCCGCAGGTACTTCTGCGACTTCTGCGGCATCTGCCGGTCGAAGAAGTCCCTGATAACCGCTCACATCGTCGCCCATCATCAGGTGCCGTAGAAGCTCTAATGGTTTCATGTATCATCAAGCAATATCGGAGTCTTATCTGACTCGTTTCGTATTGTTTGATTTTCACTGGCAGGAAGAGGCTGGCGGTATGAAATATGACGTGGGGGGGGGAAATGTGAACAAGCATCCCGAGTACACGTGTAGAGAATGCGGCGTGAGCTTCAGGAAGCCGGCTTATCTGAGACAGCATATGCAGGGCCATTCCCTTGAGGTCTTCTTCAGTCTTTTCTAATTATTCTCCGTTCACCGTCACTAGTATTAATCGTCTGTAACTTTCGAATCTTGCCTTCTCATGATGTTTGATATTTGGCCAATGAAAAGATGTAAGAACTCACATTGGCTCGTGTTTGGTATATATTTTCCATGTGGGGTATGTCTCGCGTCTTCTGTGTCTGACTAAATCAGTTTTGCAGGAAGATTTTTTTCATGATGAAAATTATGAAAAAATTGATTTATGGCGTGAAGCATTGGATCCCATGTAAAGAACTCCAAAATGCGAGAGGCAACAAATCTGACCTTGAATGGATTAGTAGCAGGGTGGGGGACCTCCTGCGAAGATCCATCAAGTGAGCCTCATTCACGTGTTACTTTGTAAGTCAAGGTTTGTGTACTGCCACCCTTGGTGGCTCTTATTCACATCAATCGTTTTGAAGGTTTTTGAGTTTCATTGATCGATGTCTAACATTTATTTCAAATGTCTGATTTCTTGGCATGGATACTCCAATGAAGCCTTCTTTTCCTCTGGAATCTAACTGTTATATTGGATTTAAAGTCAATTTTATCTTATGAGTGATTTGTTTTTCTTACTCTATGAAAGATTATTTATTCTACTAAATAAATAGTTAATTTTGTCAGTATTTTTGTCATATAAAATCTAAACTTGGGACTAACCTCATTGGGCTCTATTTGAATGATGCTCATCAAACTGTTAGGAATGGTTTGTGGTCACTGAATTTATTTTTTTAGAGAAATGAAGATAATAGGTTGTTTCCACTTGAGGAAGGATTGCTTTATGGGCCAAGAAATCTTGATCTTGAAAGCCAGCCCTATCTACAGAGTCCTCATTAATATTTCATCCTTGTTAAAGCATTTTATTCAACCGTCGTACCTTGTTTTGTCACCCTTTCGATATTCCAAAGCCTTTTTTGTCTGCATACTCAGCGACAAGAACATGTTAAGGTACCTAAATATTGATTTTTGGTAGGATTTATCTCATTTCAATTCCATGTCAATAGAGTGCAAGTTTTGACAACGACAATCTGGTAGAGAGGGTGTAAATTTCAGATAAGATGTTCTTGAGCCTTCCAAATGGAAGAATCAGACGGATGAAATCATTATACTCATACGTACCTTCATTTGTGGGAGAAAAGGGCTCGCATCGCCTGCAGAGATATCATGCCTTTAAATTGTTTCCATGTATAATATATTTTTCGGATGAAATAAGGAAAATGGATAGCTTATTACGTATTCTGTGACTTTTACAGAGGCCATTTGTTTGCCCTGTGGATGATTGCCACCATAGCTACAGGAGAAAAGATCACTTGACCCGGCATTTGCTGCAACATGAAGGGAAGATTTTCGTGTGCTCAGTGGGTAGTTGTGGTCGGCGATTTGCCTTACAGGGCAACATGCGGAGGCATGTGAAGGAATTTCATAATGAAGAAGGCTCTTCGGATGGTCATAGTCAGCAGCAGCATATTTGTCCAGAGGAAGGATGCGGAAAGGCTTTCAGATATCTATCGAAGCTAAAGAAGCACATGGAGTCTCATGGTAAGGCTTTCAGATATTATGATCAGCTTCTTTAAACTCTATTTTACCTGAATCAAAAGTTTCTCATCATTACCTTGTATCGGGCTGGTTGACTTCGCTCTCACACTTTCTTCATTCACCAAAATTTTATGGCCTTGTTGACTTTGCTCTCACACTTTCTTCATTCTAACTGTCTGCAGTCAAACTGGATTATGTTGATGTCATCTGCTGCGAGCCCGGCTGTATGAAACACTTCACCAATGCCGATTGTCTGAAGGCGCATGTCCGAACCTGCCATCGGCACGTTCAGTGCCCCATTTGCGGGACTCAACAACTGAGGAAAAACCTCAAGCGGCATCTGCGCATCCACGAAAGTCAACCTGCTGTGGAGAAGATCAAGTGCCACTTTCCCGGTTGTCTCCACACCTTCAGCAGAGTAAGATCAGTAGCGACGTCTTCCGATTTTCCCCTGAATCATAGTCCCTGGATGAAGCTTTGTTATTTATGTTGAAATGGTTTGTTCTTGACATTGTTCTTCGCAGAAGTCAAACCTCAATAAGCATATACGGGCTGTTCATCTCGAGCTCCGGCCGTTTATGTGCCGATTCGCCGGATGCGGCCTGAGATTCCCCTACAGGCATGTCAGAGACAATCACGAGAAGTCCGGAGCTCATACCTACGTCGAGGTACTTAAATATTTATACACATTATTGTTTCAAAAAATGGAATTAAAAAATTATATCGGATTTTTTTGGCCCATTTTTCGTTTGGAAATTATGATTTTTATGATTGAGGAGGAGTTTTTGCCCCCCTCATTTCGGTTGCAGGGGGACTTCCTGGTCGCGGACGAGCAGTTCCGGTCGAGGCCGCGGGGCGGGAGGAAGAGGAAGGAGGTGGGGTCGGTGGAGTCGCTGCTGAGGAAGAGGATCGCCGCCGCCCCCAACGAGATCAGCCCCTTCCGGAACGTCACTTACCACCACCTTCACCGCCTTCTCAGTGGCGACGGCCCCGATTAGCGGATCGGCCGTCCGTAGTCGGAGGGAAGGCGGCGCCGCCACCCCCCGCAACCGTTTCTTCTGATAGATGTAAAGGCTGGCCCTTCAGCAAGTGGCACCAGGGGCTTTATATGTAGTAATCCCATCCCCGAGTTGCTTTTTGAGTCCATATAAAATGGTGTCTATGCCTCATTGCTCTGGACCGTGTGAGGCGGCGGCGCCACCATGCCGTTGCTGCGCTGGCTGAGGCTCCACGAATGGGGCTGTGCCGTGTGGCATCTTCCTCGTGATAAGCCATCCGTAGGAAAATCTCTTGGGTTCAGGCAGGAACAGCCCGGCCGGTTGGGATGGATACTGTCACTGGGTCCGGGCTTCATCCTACAACCTTCAAACGGCCCGGCCCGGCCCGGAATCAATGTCGCCGCCGTGGGACCCACCGAATCTGCGAATCGCGGAGGTGCCTCTTCCTGAGTTTATAGAAAAGAAGCATAGACAACGAGGGAGGGAAGAGCGGGGGGGTAGTGTTGGTATTCGCAGGGAGGGAGAGGGAGAGGAGATGGGCTCTTCCGCCTTCTCCTGGCTTCTTCGCCGCGGCGGGGGTTCCGCGGTGGGGGAGAAGAGCGGTAAAGGGGAAGGAAAACGCGGAGAGGTGGTGTCCAGGGAAGAATTGGAGGAATTTGGGCTGACGGAGCAGCTGCGGGAATTCGTGAGGGGCTTGACCGTCGAAACCTTTAAGGAGTTTCGCCTCGCCAATGGTGATAAATGTATTCTTTACCTTATTCCCTGGATCTTATGTTCCTTCGTCGGATACCTTCGTCTCATGGGTGATCTGATCTTGGGGAATAATCCTTTGAAATGAAAACATATTCCTTCCAAGTACAAGCATCGATGGTTCTATTATATCGGTTTTGATCTTGCTTCAATCTAGAGAATTGAGATGATTGGTCATCGAGAGAGGCCGTTAGGATGTACGAGCACAATGTTGGAGACAGCTTTTGTGGCTGTTGTTGTCTTCTCGTTCATTCACTTAGATTGTGTGCAGGGGGGACCACGCGCTGAGTACTTGATCACCTATGGATCAAGTCAAACCTAAAAGCTAAAACTAATGTCGTTTCATTATTTAAGGACGAATTCATATGGAAATTAAGTTTCGGGAGATATAAATTCTTGATGATCCAGACAGCATTCTAAGACTACAGCCATCTACATAACAATGGATGTTTGTACTTTTGTGTCTACGTATATACCTTCTGTCTTGCCTGTTATTCTTTCTACTGTTTATTATGTCTAAATGATGGACAGATAATTCGCCAATCAGTGGAGACTCTAATATAATGAACCAGAAGTATGAAGCCAATGTCCAGAAGGATCTTACTGAGTGGCAGGAACAACATGCCCTGCTCATTCTTTCCAGAGTGAAGGTAGATTACCTGAAGAAACACCCTCCCCCAAACAGTCAAGTATCGGGGGAAATGAACGACTCATGCGATTTGTTTCAAATATTCTTCTTTATTGGTACTCAAATGGTGTAAGAAATGACAGTAATTTTCCAATTATACAACTGAGAATGTTAGTCTGTTCTTTCACCTTTCTTAAAATCTTAACCTCTTCTCTGCAATCTTTTTGTATATCTTCTCTGAAATTTACTGATTAATTGCCTTCATTATCACTTATTTTCTGTTCCAGGAAATTTCAGAGATTAGATACGTTTTGTGTCCTAGACATTTGAAAGACAAAGATTTCTGGGCAATATACTTCCTACTTGTCAAGAAATTTGTTGCTCCGTAAGCTTTTTGTCCCTTCCCTTGACAATTGTCTCTAATCAGCATTAGTTGATGAACAAAGAGAGGATAATGAATTTTTTGTTTATCCGCTGGATCAGGAAAGTTTATGTATGATAGAGATATATGTAGATTTTGCATGGAGATCACATCAGCTGCATACTCAGTTCTTAAAACCGTTATGTTTTTATTTAAGGTGCTTATTTCAGCGACATTACTTAATTAAAACTGTGCCATTTGTATTCAGTAGAACCTCAAACATGAACATCAACTGTTTCTTGCTTTTTGTTTTATTTCCTATCGTCAGTGCTACGTGTGGGATTCCTATATTGTGAATTTATATATTTTTCTTCAATTTAACCTGTCCTACAGGTCACTTTTCTCTACAGAGTTTATTCACCCATGAATGGTTGTCAGTAGATATATCACTTAGCTATTGAGATGTATAACTTTTAGCCGAGTTCATTGACTTCAAGTAAAATCTAATCTGGAAAAGTTCTGAAAGCAGCAGACTTCGGATCAAGGCAATGTCTTCAACCAATCCCAGTATTTGATTATTCTCTGGATTTTTTTCAACAGCATCCACTCTTCATGTGAAAATCATAGTATAAGGAATGCCTGCATGTATTAGGTTAGTGATTTTACATCGGGAAAATTCGAGAGTGATTTTAGTTTGTTCACACTCATGAGAATTAATATGGTCGCTGCTTATGATTGGATTTCATATCTGTGTGCACAGAATGGGTGCAATCAAACCTGGCACAGTTTTTCCAACTTGCTCTTAAACAAACTTATCCTTTTCCCCCAGGTTCTCTCTCTCTCGCTCTTCCCCCCTCTTGTAAGCCTCGCTCAGGGTCTATGCTAATCTTCTATCTATCGTTGAAATTTTATCAGACATCTTTGGAGAGTCTTAATCATTAAGCTCCACTACCTGACTTTTTGTAGTTATCTCATTCTGTCCCACTCAGTCTCAGTTACTTACTCTCTTTCATCCATGGAACGGAAATTGGACATTTCTGTTCTAAATTAGCTTCTTTCGAGCAGAACCTGCTCGGACAACCTGACATGGCTGATCTCATTTGATGGGTCGAGCTTAGTACCACATGGCATGCTTCGTGACATTGTATGGTTAGCTGCCCTATTATGTGGTTCATGACCTCTGGCGGTAAGCTGGAAGAGAGGAGATGGAGGGTTGATTTTGGTACTATTCTCTGCGGTGAAGACAGTTGTGAACTTGTCGTTTCGAAATTGGTCATGATAGGTTCAGTTTTTTTTCCTAGTTGTATCAAAAACCTATGCTATCCATTGTTGATGTTCCATACATAATTCTGAAGTTGGACGTTTTGCAATATGCCTTTTTGAATATCTGGGGACATTTTTTTCGAATGCTGCAAATATTACCCAGAATATAATTAGAGGATCTATCTGCAGATGACCCATTGCCTAGTCCGTTAATATTTTTTGCTGTCTTGGATGATAATGGATTGCCTTCAAAATAAACTAAATATCATGATGAAATGTTTATTCTTCCTTCGCCCTATTTAGTGTTTTACTTGATGTGGAGGTAACATGTCTTCAATCTATTTCTCAGGTATGAGCTACGTGCAATACAGAAAGCAAAATTAAAGATGATGGCAATGCAGGTTCAAGAATCGACAGACAATGGCGCCATTGAAGTGGAGATGACAATGGCAAAGCCAGTTGAAAGCACCCGTGCCCCTCCTGCTGAGGGGGAATAAATGCCAGATGCTTGTTGATTGATGCAGATAGGATGAGATGAGCACTTTCCACTTTACAGGCGAATGTCAGCATATTTATCTCACAGATCGCAGCACCTAAAGTTCTTTTTGAATCACTATCTTCATGTGATATAGCTAACAATTCGTGAAGAATTTCTGCTTATATCTGCTTATGATCGGAATCGTGTTTTAAAGGTGAGTAGCACAAGCTTATCGAGAAAATAAAGTTGACCAATATTGCACAAGAACATAGGAAGGATTTATTTTTCTTCTAATATAGTATTCATGCAATACAACTTTGGAAACCGGGACATGAGAGCTTGTTACCGTTGACCCAGAACCACCCAAATAATTACCATCTGAAAAATGGATAGGAGATAACTCTTTGCAGGGTCAGTAAGGAAAACCGAAAATATTGAAGGACCTGTATAAGCTCTTCAATTGTGGGAAATGCGGGTGTGGATGCAAAACGTCTTCTTGTTTGTTAAATTAATTTTATCCGATTTGAAAACTCAGGGGAAAGGCCTGGAAAATACCCCGGGACTTTGATTCATTGTATTATATCTTGTTTGTTCTATAGGTTTCGAAGTGGATGAAAGCGAAATGCCAAGATTTGGGAAAACAGATGTTTGGAAAGTTTGACATAATGGAAAGATTCTATATAAATCATTTTAGTTTTTTGTAGGCAAGAAACCAAGCCATTGGCTGCGTTGGAGAGATCTGAGATTTCCTTTTTTCATGGGGCAGATAATCAAAAAGTCAAGATGAACCTTGAAGAAGAGGGATACTGCAGAGTGGAGGTAGGATTACAGACACCAACTCTCAGTTAGTTCCTTTTTGAAGAAGTCTAATGATGATCGATGAAGATTTTGGAGGGAAATCTAGTGCAGGGGCAGCCCTTTTGTACCACTTTAGAGACATTTCTGTGGGAATTGCTTAGCAGGCTCCTCATGGGAGATATTGTCAAGAAATTCGATGAAGACAAAGGTTCTCTTCCTTCTTCCTCGCTTCCCCAGACAGAAACTATTGAACCCCCCCTTTTTATCTAGACTGATGAGGGGGAAGAACTCGGGACCAAGAGAATACAGTAAAGACTAACAGGCGATGATGATTGCTCCTGATATCTTGTGAGCATTCTTTCTGAGAAGAAATAGTATCTTAAGGTTTGCATCTCATTTTTTTACTTTTCCTTTAAATTAAAAAAATTATATATAAATATTAGATCATGAAAAAAATTATATAGCATCAATTTTATTAATTTCTCTAGACGGCCTGTTATGATTCTATTTTTTTTGGAAATGTGGTTATTAAATATTTTAATTCTTGTGATATTAAATAATGTTATGTCTGGCAAAAAAAAATTTATTCGCCCTTTTGTTCTATTTTTCTTCTCCAAACTTGAACAGCTGACTCATCAAACAAAAGCTGCCATGACCAGATCTGACGCTGCTGGAGACAATCTGCCCCCTGCCCCTTCCATTGGATCTAGGCCACAACCTAGTAACCACCTGTGCGTATGTAGCTTTCCATGAGATTTATGATTCTCTTTGGATTCTTATCTAGAAAATCATGTTCCAATAATCTTACCGCCAGTTGATCTTCATAATCTGTCTGGGACTACTCATCTGGTAGCTGAGATTCTGCCGGACTAATATGCATTCCATTTATTATTCCCAATTCATCGCAGAAATTTTTGCATCTCCTCTCATATTCTTCCTGGGTGATTGCATTATAATTAGTACTATCAAAAGATGATACCCATTGAATCAAAATTCTTTTTTTGTATCATATGATGTGGGGGATTCAAAGACTAAATCAGTCTGAAAAGGGAAGATTTTCTCATAGCTCATTGAAAGCATTGCATATTTCTTCCATCTATGGTGAAAATGACGTCAGCAATAAAATGCTTGTATTTAGATGTGAGAGAAACTTGTTCTGCTTGAAATTCTTTGCTATCTCTCAGGTGCATAAAAATTTATTGACTAAATAGTAATATTTAATTCTGATATTTTTATGAGAAAGACCTCACGAACAAGGATATCGGTTTAGTTTTCAGTGAGCATAACTCAGAATAAAATAAAATAAAAAATTTGGAAAATATTTCATCTTTGTAGGGCACGGACTCCTACTTAAATCAGCCATATTTAGGAGCTTGAATAAGTGAGAGATGTTATGGTGAACTCATATGAGGATATTTAAATTAGACATGGTGCTATTTAGTTTATGGCCTATTTTTGAGCCACTAATGGAATAGAACACGAATCTCTACGAAAATATTTATTTATTTATTTATTTCTCATAATAATTACTCGGTGCCTATGCATAGATGCCTTATTCTTGTAAAAGGACAGAAAAGAGGGTTATAGATGAATTTATCTGGACGGGGCTAGGGTTCAAATGCATGGGAGACATTATGGATAACTCATAGGAGGCTATTTAAATTACATTTTGCACTATTTATGTTATGGCTCATTTTTTATCCACTAATGGAAGAAATGTAAATATCACTTAAATTTTATTTATTTATTTATCATAATAAATATTTATCCCCTAGAGAAAAAATCTTTAAAAAAAAAACAAGGGGTTATAGATGGATTTATCTAGAGTGTTATTTATTTAATGAATGTTTAGCCCCTATATCCAAATTCCTTTTTTGGTAAAAAAAATGGTTATAGATGTATTTATCTGGACCGGACCATGGGTCCAATAGGGTTATCTATGTTCTGGCCCATTTTTTATCCACTAATTCAAGAAAATGTAAATATCCATTAAACATGTGTTATATGTTTATTACAATAAATATTTTTTCCCTAGATATAAATTCTTTTTTGAAAAAAAAAGGGTTATAGATGGATTTATCTCGACCAAGCCAAGGGTCCAATAGGGTTATCTATGTTTTGGCTCATTTTTATCAACTAATGGATAAGTTAGAAATATCCATAAAAATGTGTTATTTATTTCTCATAATAATTATTTAGTCCCTATATACAAATTCCTTTTTTCTGTAAAAAAAAAGGGTTATAGATGGATTTATCTGGACCGGACCAGGGGTCGAATAGGGTTATTTATGTTCTGGCCCATTTTATCGACTAATGTAAAAAAAAAAAATCCATTAAAATTGTGTTATTTATTTATTTATCATGATAAATGTTTATCCCCTAGATATAAATTCCTTTTTTTGTAAAAAAAGGGTTATAGATGGATTTATCTTGACTGGGCCAGCGGTCCAATAGGGTTATTTATGTTCTGGCCCATTTTATCGACTAATGTAAAAAAATTAAATATCCATAAAAATGTGTTATTTATTTTTCATAATAAAATATTTATCCCCTAGATATAAATTCCTATTTTTGTATAAAAAAAAGGTCATAGGTGGATTTATCTGGGCCGGACCAGAGGTCCAATAGGGTTCGGCCTGTGAGCCCAAGGACTGATTTTTTTCTTAGACACGCGAAGGGCAAGGCGAAGGGCGACGGAAGGCGGGGCGGGGAGGTGACGGCGGGGGAGAGCTTCTGTACGGCCGCCGCTTCCTCCATTCGCCGCAGCGACGGTCGGAGGGAGGAGGAAAAGCCTTGCCGGCGAGGCGCTGCAGCTCGGGGAAGGAGGTGAAGCGTCTTCTCATGGAGGGGGGTAGCCCTGGGTGAGTTCAACATGCTCGGTTCATCTTGGTACCCTTCTCGTTAGGAGCCATGGCTGCCAGTTCGTTCTCATATGCTTCCATGGATGGATCCAAGGATGATGATACGGGACCATATTTTGTTCGCATGTTTAATATTCCTGTGATTGATGAGCCTCATGTAGTCCCCTTCCTACTCTTCTGATGCTTTTTCAGGAAGATTTTCGTCGGGGGTCTTCCCAAGGACACGACCAACGGTGGGAATTCTTCGCTCATTTCTCCTCCTCGATCTGAGGATCGTCCTAGGTACCTGATTTTACTATTATATCTGCTGTTTTTTGGCTGATTTCAGGGACCTTCTTGAAGCATTTTGAGAAATACGGGGAGATCACCGATTCCGTGGTGATGAGGGATAGGAAAACTGGGAAGCCGCGAGGGTTTGGATTCATCACCTACGCCGATCCTTCGGTCGTCGACAGAGTCATCGAGGACGATCACATCTTCAGTGGGAAGCAGGTCTTCCTTCGGATTTCCTTCGCTTAGATGGTGATCCTTCCCCCCTTGACGGGTGATGAAATGTTCTTAGTTCCATTCATTGCCGGCTCTTTTCAGGTGGAAATCAAGCGGACTATTCCGAGGGAGGCGATTCCCGGGGCAAGGGATTTCAAGACGAGAAAGATATTTGTCGGCGGTATTCCAACTTCTGTGACCGAAGGTGAAGTGCTTATTGAAGGCTTTCTCCTCTTTTAAGCTGGTTGATGCGTTGACCAGCTCTTCTAATAAATTCCTTCTTCGGGCAGATGAATTCAGAGATTTCTTTGCCACATTCGGGGAGATTAAAGAACATCAGATAATGCGTGATCACTCCAACAATCGTTCTCGAGGTTTCGGATTCATCACCTTCCATTCAGAGCAAGCTGTGGATGATTTGCTAGCTCAGGGGAACAGGGTGGACTTTGCTGGAGCTCAGGTGAGTTATGATAATAGGAAAGAATCAACCATTTACAAAGATTTTATAATTAAATCATCCAAGCGACCCGATATTTTTTGATCTTCATGTTGCCATGATTCATACGATTTTCCGTTATTATCCCCACATCTTTAGGTTCATCATTCCACCAATGATCAAAGAATTAGAGCGAGATTTGATCTTCATATCACTTTAAAATCTGTTATCCTGCAGCCAGAGAGTAATTTTCTTTCCTGTTTGCAGGTTGAGATCAAGAAGGCTGAACCGAAAAAGCCCGCTGCTTCACCATCACGCCCGCCAAAACATTTTAGGAATCTAACACCTACTTTTGGCGGCCGATACGATGATCCCTATGGTGATTATGAAAGCGAGGTCTTTCGTCCTGGCTATGAACGGGTCGGTGGGCCTCTCCCCAGCAGGGCAGGGCTGTATGAGAGATATGGTGGAAGTGATCTTGGTGGTGGCTACAAGGGATATGGTCGCAGTGGCGGTGGTGGCGGCGGCAGCAGCAGCAGCATGGGTCCTTATCAGGGGGAGTCGGCGTTAGGGTTTTCCGGGTACTATGGCAGAGGCTATGATCCTGGGAGTTACAGAGCAGGCGAGAGCTTCAGAGGCTATGGTGTTGGCTCTGATCCTGGCATCTATGGAGGAGGTGAGGGCTACAGAGGCTATGGCGGGCCAGATGTTGCTGGTTATGAAGGGGGTGTTCAGTTTGGCTTGGGCTCTGGCTATGGCAGCCTTGGTGGGTACGGTGCACCCAGCGGCGGCAGCTTCTATGGAAATAGAGGGGGATATGGCGGCGCCGCCGGTGGCCGCTACCATCCATATGGAAGGTAGAAGGTCGTTGACAGAGCTTTATTTGTTAGTCTGCTCTTATCTGTAAGTTATGACTCCTACTTCTGTTGCTTCATCTTCATGTAGACAGTAATATGTGGATTATCTCACATTGTTCTGAACTTTTTTCCCTATTTAGAGCTAATGTGGATTATTTTTAGATTTTTAGTTCAAATCTCCGTTCTTGCCCCTGACAATCTTAGAACATCTGTTGCCTGCTCTTTACCCAATCAGGAGAGATTTAGTCTATCTGTTGTGGTAATTTCTTCAGCTTGGATGTCTTACTTACTCGTCCCATCAATGCCATTCAAATGGAGCCCTCTGCCCCATAGTTTTTTTTTTTCTTTTTTCTTTTTCTTGAGAACTTCATCAAAGTGAATATAAAAGATTATGCCCTTGATATATACTATATACTTTTCGAATAATTTCTCCATTTGATGAAATAATCCCATGTTGAAAAACAGGCCAATTGAAGCAATTAAATGAAATGCATCAACCTATTCCACTCATCATGAATTTTTGTTTTAGAAAGGTTTAGGAATGCGAGGCTGAGCAGCATGAAAAAAATAAGTTTTCTTTTCCACTTTTGGGGGTATTTTCCACTTCTGCAATGAGGGCATGGCTTGGAATTTCGGTATTAATATAAGTTTCAGGTGCATGAAATATGTCATAATGCCTTCAACCATGGTTCATTATTTCACAGGAATTTTGGTAGTGGATCCAGGGTAAACAGTTGACCATCTTCTCTCAAGATGGTATGACGATTCTCTCCTTGGAAATGGAGCTTGCAGCAATTGACAATCCAACAAAATGCTTATAATATTTTCCTTTTAAAAAAATTATACTGCAAAAATCTCGGATTAATGTGGTGGGGGGGATCTGTCTATGACCAGAGACCAGTCCTCATTTCTTTCCAAAAATGGTTAAGAAACGTGGGTTTTCTGGCTACCTTGCACCACCTGAAACCTGATTGATATTCTCATTTATCTCACTAGCTGATCTCCGAGGTCGCCTCCGGTAATTTACTAATCATCTGAAATAAATGGAAAAAATAGGCTACTTATGCCTTAAGCTTATATTCAATACATTCAAGTCAACTCTATAATTAGGGCTTTCCATTTTTATTTTTTATTTTTTTTATTTTTCACATTTATCAGAATAGCCCAGGAACGCTGCCTGACCCGGTACTTATCTGTGCTGTACACGGGCTATGAGGAGTGATCTGCGAGTTCCGAAGGTCAACGCTGGATTTTTGACTACCTTGGTCAGCCGTTGACTTATAGAGGGCCTGGGTTCATAAATATGACGGATCCATGAGGGTATTTCTCGTACAATTCTCATCTTTTCCGGGGTGTTTGTTAAATTTTGAAGCGACGATATACCTGGGCGATTTGGCCTTACATCCGGTAAATACCGTCGCTCAGTCACTCTTGGAACGTTTCCTTTCTTTTGCAAACTCGTTCGATTTCGAGGGTTTTCATTAAAAAAAACAAATCGATCCCCAGTTCTTAAACGGCGTATACGACTCATATGTACATTTTATTTACGTTAGAATGATTTTGGGTTTCTAAGAAAATTTACAAGGTTCTTTATGGAAATATTCCCAATCCAGGGTTTATCTGCGATATTTTCAATATTTTTCGGTATACGTGAAATATATGAGGCTTACGGTATTGGATAATAATGGAAACATTGTTTTCCGCTAAAGTGAATGGTTTATTGAAGAACGAATCCCGTTAGAAAGAAGATCCCCGGCCGGCAGACTACGATCGATCGTCGGCTGGCGGCGCCGCCGGTGTCTCCGCCGGTGTCTCCGCTGACGGTTGCAGTGTTCGTTCCTGCCGTGGAAGACGGAAGACGAGCGTAGAGAGTTTCTCGTCTGCGGAAGTAATGGGGTCTACGCCTGGGAGTTAGCTCGAACCGAAACGAGAAGACCCGTTGCTTCCCTCTACCTCTCTACCCTGAGTGTTGAAGGTTGGGTCTTCTGAGGGATTTGCCCTCTAGGGTTAGCCAATTCGTCGGTTGAGGAGGAAGGTGGGGAGGGTGGCGTGGGGCGCGGTCGAGAGGGGAGTTTTCCTACAGAGTGGAGGATGTCAGGGGTAGAATTGACAGGCCTCTTTGAGAAGGCTAAGGAACTGGACCAACTGAAGAAGGATCAGGAGGAGGTCCTGGGCGAGATCAACAAAATTCACAAGAAGCTCCAAAACAGTAAGCTAGTTTCTTCCCTCCCCCGCCTCTCTCTCTCTCTCTCTCTCTCTCTCTCTCTCTTACTCCCTTTTCATGGGACTGACTTTTTGTGGAAAACTGTTACATTCCCGTAGGGACATCTTGAAATCCCCAAAGCTTTGTCCACCTTCAACAAGGCGCTCTGAATCTCTTCTAAAACCTCTTTATTGAATTCAGAAAAAACTTTTTGGGCTAGGGATAATGGCCATAGGAATATCCCGGTGCAGGGTTTGAAATGGAGTTAGATCAACCAAGCTAGCATTTCTTACTCTCAAGTTTCAGTTAACCTTGCCGAAGATCAGCCATTTTAGTGAGAAAGCTAATTTTTTTTCTGAATGGTGAAAACAACTCAATGAAACAGAGTCCCGGAAAAGAAGCGATAGACCAGTTAAATTAGAAAGAATCCACTTGAAAACGGGATAGATGACTATGTAACTTTTGATTGACACTCGACTAGCTTTCACACGATGGCTAGTCTTAAGATGTGGAAAGCTCGGATGATAAAGTCACAATTGAGGAAAGTTTTCTTGGAGGGTAATCTGGGAAGGAAAAATTTATAAGGCACAGATGAAGTGATCAAGCAGAAGCAGATTGGCTTATAATTCTCTTCTTGGGGAGTGCACGGAGATTATAAATTTTATGTAGATGCACTGAGATCTCTGGGAGGAAATGTCTCGTCCTGGGGCTTATCAATTTTGGGAGATAGCTTAGGAATATTTTATGGTTAACAGTTTTGGGCTACCACTATTTGACTAAGCCTTGCTAGTGCATATGTGGAGTATTTGGTGAGTAAATTTCATAAGAAATGAAGGAGCGGACAATCAAAGCACTCTAAGTTGGTGGAAGAGGGGGTCTATCCAAGAATATTGTATCATTCTTGGCTACCCACTTCCTCTTTGTCTTTGATACCCTAGAATAATAGGAAAATAGTTGAGGTAATAAAAAAATCGTCCTTCTAGAAAGCAGGAGGTAAGGAGCGGAAATTGTGCATCTACTAAATGGGGATAGGATTGGGCTGTATCGGTGTTTTACACAGCTTCGGTAGCAATGTGTCTGTGTGTTTGGGGGAGTGGTAGATGCCACATAGTCAAAGATTATGAAGCTACCCTACTGGACGGGGAGAATATCATTGTAAGATTCAATTTCTAGTCACTTCTGTCACCGTTGTGTTGAAACAGTTTTTGGGAATTCGATTGCCCCAACAATCAGACAATAAATTTTGCTCGTCTAAAAATTACTTGTATTAAAATGACAACTTGCAAGCTTTTACTTTTTGTTGTTATAGATGGAGGGAAAATTTGATGTTTGCCTATTTCTCTGAAAAATTTTATCAGCTGTGACGGAAAGTGGAAGAACAATATACCATGTGCAATTGAAAATCCTGTTGAAGTAAGATGGCTAGTATAGTTTAGGAGAGGGCGTGGATTTGGTGCAATATGAGAATCCGTTTAAGGACAGCTGAAATATTCCGAGCTTAGAACTGAACCTTGGGGGAGAGGGGACGAAAAAATGAAGATGGGAGTCCTGAACATTGAATCTCTGTTTTCTGTTGGCTCCTTGATGAAGAAATACAATTGCGGAGTATCCACAGTTTGGTGGTAAACAATGTGTGGGTTCAGCCTTGCTGATGAAATCGAATATGTCCTCCAAAGTTGTGATGTCCAATCATGAAAATGATCTTATGCATTAGAAGGAACTGTGGACCTCTGATTTGTAGTCTTTGACCTTATTTAGTTAATATAGAGGTCATAATTTTTTTTGATTTTGAACATCCAATAGGAGAACGAAGACGTTGCTTTTAAACAAGTTAAAATGATGTAAGTGTCCCATATGTTCTACCTGCATTCCTAGGGATAAATTGATTGCAAAGGAATAAGAAATTCATGGACTATGCAACGAATTTGGGTTTTCTGGGAGAATGGTCAAGGCGATGATTGACTAGTCGAATGAAGCTTTTGTTACCAGCTCATGTTTAGCTTTTGCCTTTCCACGTAAGCTTTGGGTTTCTCATTTAATTGTTTATTAAATGCTGCTCGATTATGTTGCTGGATAGGAGAGGAAATGATTTTCTGGGGATACGAATTCATTCTGTCCTGTATCTCTAGTTATATTTTGTAATTGCTTTTCCAGTGGGGGTAAAGCAAATGATATTATTCATATTATTCTTTAAAAAGATAATGGGTTGTTATTGTCTTCAGAAGGAACGGAATTCTAGTTTTTTGGCTGAAAAAATGAAACAGTATTGTTTCGGGCAGGCAGGAGCACCAGTGTGGAATGCTTTGTCTTGCTTTTGTTAAAGGACTGTGATCATCATACAAACTGTCACTAAGTCTGTTTGCTTTCGCACTAGTGGTGTTACCTCTAACTAAGAACCTCCTGGAATGATTTCTTGGAGAGAGTCATTGCTGTTAATAAAAATTATACAAGGTAGAAGAAAAAGTGGCCCTCTTTCAGTGAGTAGGTGACAAGGAACTTTGAAGGGAAATTGGATGCTCAGTCAATAGGCGAGGTGAGCTCCTATGATCATCGAATTGCTGTCAATAAGAGGTTTATCAGAGGACGATAGTGAAGTTGTGGTTCATGCTATTCCTCTCAATGAGGCCTCTAGTTTTCTAACCCATTCAACTTTGGACATGTGGCACTACCGGATTACCTGGCTAATTTATGTGGGAACTGAAGTGCTGCATTAAGATTCATGTAATGATTGCTAATCTTACCAATTTCCTTTTAATATAAATTTTATTGTTTGTATCTTCGTTCTTCTATGCAATCCTATCCTAATTTGGAGGTACCTCCCAATGTGGCCATTAAATTTTAAAAGACACAATTTATCTGTTTCATATGATCCTCTTAGGAGATTCCACCTGTGTTTTTTCGTTTCTTAGTATTTGTCCTGTTTACTTCACTTCTTGTAATGATCATGTTCCATGAACTCAATGTTGCATATGTGTACTAGCATTAGTTTTCTGTTTAATTCTTATTAAAAATCCTGACTATCTGTGTTGCTCCTTTATTTTGGTCCTCCCATGTTTTTTTTACTAAATATGTGATTTTCTGGTTATTCTCATATGGTAATCCAGCTCAGGACGTGAGTGAAAAGTCAGGTGACACCATGTTACTGAAATTACGGGCCTTGTATACTCGTGCCAAAGAGCTGTCAGATAGCGAAATAAAGTATGCCTTCCTTCATTTCTGACTATTGCTGATGAGATGCATATTGTGTTGTCATTGGTTCTTGAGCGCTTAATTTTTCGTAACTGTACAACTCAATGTCCTACTAAGACTCTTCTATCTTTCAATGGTGTAGAAATATTTTTGATGTGTGCCTAAGAATGTAACATTTATAGAAGATGCTCGTGTACATTTAGCTTAGTTATTGTGTCCTTCCCGTCTAATTTTTTGAAGAACAAAGGAACTAGGCATTTTGGCTAGTTTCGAATGAAGCTTCAAAATTTACTCTTGGATGGAACTTCTTCCTGGGCCATAAAGAAATGCTTGATTTTTACTCCAAATCTATTCAGCTGTGGTGTAAATTAAAATTTTAGCGGCTGTAAGATTATAACCAAAATGTAACCAATGGGACGAATATAATGGGATGCCATTTGTGGAAGTTAGCTTTGTAGATTGGAGCAACATTACGTTTTTCTACCACCTTTTGCTACACTATGTTTATCTCTATAAATTGGACTCTTGTCTACCACCTGCCGCTAATCATATGCAAAAATGTATGGGTTGTTTTTCTGGTGTAACTTTTTTCCTTTATTTGTGATCTATTGTTTGTATGGATCTGTGCTGGGCCAATGCTCTCTACACCTGAAAACAATTCCCTTTCAAAGAATATTATTCTCTGCCTTGTATTGTTACTAATTTTGACAGTACACCTCACTGTGTTTGTTTCTGAATATCATGCTTAATTTTTGATTATTCAAATGAGTACTTGAAATATTGAAAGAACTCCGCAAAAATATGAAACGAGGGAATTTTGTTGTCACGGTGATATTTGAATAATATCCATTTGCTGACTTGATTCATATCACCAGCTGTCTGGAAAATTCCCCACAAGGTGCTCTGGTAATGACTCATGTTGCAGATGGCTTATGTCTCTAGAATAAGTGAATCAACTAAATATGTATAATCATTCCATTTCTATAACTGAGCTAGAATATGGTTATTATATGTAGATAATTTATTTTAAAGGCCGCGAATATTCTTAAATTTGGAAGTTATTTTATATTTGGTGTTATATTTTTCATCTGTTTCATCATTAACGTTCGTTCATTTGGTGTCTGCGTTATTTGGTTTTCCCAAAAGTGCAGTTATAGAAGATATCCCTAAGTTCTTATTATGTTTTTTTATAACAGTGCTTCGGGAGTATTAATTGAGAGATTGGATTCTCTGCTACACACTGGGATGACCGCAGCACAAAGAAAGAAGATAGGTAGCTTTAAATAGACGTTTTGTTATATATTTTTGTGTTGACCTGTCATACAACTTATGTGGTGGAGATTGCTGTAATTTAGTACTTGTCTATGGTGCAGTTAGGAACTTCTTTCAACATCTTCATAATAATACGTCTATTTATTTGTTTGCTACTATCCTACAGATTCTCTTGTCCTTGATTGATTCTTTCTTAAAAGGGTGAACTTACTATTGTTTCAAGGCTTCTTTTTTTGTACTTCTTCAGGCTTCCTAATTACTCTCTCTTCCCTTCTCATTTAAGAGCCCTGACGCTCTTTGAGATTTACTCTATTTCTTATCTCCCTGACGTTGCAGCAGTTAACCAGTTTTTCGTGCTTTGGTTTGTTGTTGAGATGTACCCATGAATATTCAATGAGGTGTACATGAGAAGGATGAAATGATTTGGTGTCGGCGTATTCAATATATGTGACCTGTCCAGCATTTTTGTGCTCTTTTCCCAATTATCCCTGATATTTCTTCCTGGGGGATGATCCCGTGCATTGCTGCCTTTCACGTACACAGAGATAATAAAACTTGTTGATTTTTCTTTCAAGCCGACAGCAAAAAAGCATTATTTATGGTATCACTTAAGATGATTTGTTTGTATGATACTCCAAGGATATTAAAGGAGTAGAATTCCATATGATAGGCATGCTATCATTAGTTCATTGAGAAGTATTTGAGCATTGTAGTCGCTTTTGGTTGTTTCTCTCTTTTTCTTCATAGGAGTAATTCTATCCCGGATTTCTCTTGTTACATTTCATTAAGATGAAAATGGTGACGGTGGTGCTTCAGTATTTGATAACTTTAAAATACATGATGGAACTTGGCTATTTAGTACAATATCACAAAGAAGCTGTCATCTTCTAGATTGTAAATTAATCACATGCTAAGGTTTATCCAGGTCTGAGTCCATGTCTCATGCTTTCCTTTAAATCGTCACAATGCTCTGGTCAAAATTTTGGAAGAACTGTGAAAACCCTTGTTAAAAATTTACTACTTTCGGTATCATTTAGAGTAATCCTGAAGGGATTAAAAGTTATCTAGGTTTAGGAGATATACTTCTTGTTTTGAAGAAAAAGTAGCAATGATTTGAGTATCATTTTCTCTCAGCAAAAAGGATGATGCCACCTACCTTTGTTGTTTTTATAACCTTGAGAGCGAAAGACAGCTGAAAGGTATTTTGCAGAAAGTTGTACCATATGTATCTAGAGATACATGAGATCTAGCACAATGTCAGGATGCATTTAGATAACTGGAGGTAAAGATAGATCTGGCGGACACGAAGGGAAGAGGTATCATCCTATATGTCGTAGTTATCAATACATTTGACGAGTTCTGCTCTAAAAGCTTTAGGGATGCATTGGTGCTATGAGACTGAAGGAGATGATACCAGGTTTATGGTACTCACAGGATGGGAGAGGAATGAGCTGTCAAAAAAACCAGATCTCTGCCAGGTAGTCTCCATCCCCTACCTCAATACAATGGATGACTGAATTTTTCTCAACCTATTGAAGTATCTATGGTTGAGAGGATGAACTTGAACAACGTTATGCATGCTCAGTGCAGCATTCTCTTTTTTCTTCTTAGACAAAGGTGGAAAGAACAAGTCCTAGGATGGGTGCAACAAGCTGCATGATGATTCCATACTTGCCTGGAGAAACAAATGCATTCAACTTGAGTCAAGTGTTGAAGGTGTTCATCTGTTAAACGTTTGATAGCAGATGCAGCCTTTTACAGGTCTTGCCAGGGTCTCTTGACTTGGCCAAGGTTACTTGGTATTCCCTTGCTTATATAAATTACCAGCAATTTCCACCATATCTCTTCCAAGTTTGGGTAGCAATAGTAATCGAAGAGCAAAGCATATAGGAATGAAGAATACTCGTGAAAACGCATGGTAGATTGAAGAATGAGGTTGAAAATACTCGTGAATTTTGGAGAATACTCGTAAAGAAGACAGTCTGATGTGGAGATTGTAATTATTAGATACACAGCAAATATGTCTATCTATTGGCCAATCTAGATTGAATTGCTGGGGGGGGCGGGGGAGGGGGGTGGGCTTCATTCTAAACCAACTTTAACTCGGATCCGTGGATCTCCAGTAAAACTAGATGGAAATTCAGTGAAACTAGACTGGTAATCAAAATTAGAGAAGGATTTGTGAAAATGTGTCTTACCTACTTGATATGCTATTTGATAGTGGAAAAAGCAAATGAGATAAATGTGTGGTGTGAAAAAAGTTGGACAAGTAGATACTAGTGGATAATCAACGTCTATGAGCTATTATTTACTTTGAATCTAAAACGACCCAAAGAGATCACAGCTCCAGAAGAAGTTACAGCATCAAGGCTGTAACTTCTGTAAAATAAATTGTTGTTGCAAGTTGCTCTTGTGACGATGGCAGCTGTTACCGTATGAGCTACATAAATCAAAGCACTTACTGGAGTAGGGTCCTCGATAGCATCAGGTTAGTTGTTAAACCTGTTGCAGGTTCAAAGCAGACAAAGTCCTAAAAGTGAAGCATGATGGTGCTTGGAGGTTGACTCGTGTAGTTTTCAATCACTGTCCAGAAGAATGGTGGATCAACCATTATTCAGAGCGAATCATGGTTAATTTTTCTCTGTCTGCGTTCTACCTCATTTGAATTCTGTAGCCTCCTCTTTTCTATTTCTTGTCGTTTATTCTCCTTCTTCGGTTGTCCTCCAACTTTCAACAGGACAGTCCAGGAGTCCTTTTCAAGAGTCTGGGCAGGGTGGGCTTACTTGAGTATGATATGACAATTCCTAGTTGTTTACCGTTTTTCTTCCATTTTTAATGTTGAAAATGAATAAATGGAACTGTTCTAATGAACAATTAACACTGTATTTATACAAACGTAAGGATGGGCTGTTGAGGCTTTTCCGTGAGAGTTTCTCATGAATGCAATCTATGTACAAAGGGAAGGATCAACCATTAAGGCTTTTCGTAGGCAATGAACCTCCTAATCTATCTTGCAAACGGAATAAATCAGGAAGCCTTGTTCGTCACAGTTTTCTCATCTTCTATTTATTTATCTTAACATTCGTCTACGGATCCTACAATCTATATAAAATATCTTAGGCTGTTTGACATTAATCGGCACTGAAATCGCCTTTCTGAAAAAAATTCTTGACCCTAACCCTCAAAACAGTTTGCATTCATCTTTCTCTATCTTCGAGCTACACTTCTGTTGTTTTGATCCTTCCATTCCTGTTCCACTGCAGAAGTTAATGAGCAGAAAAAGAAGCGCATTAAGCAAGACACAGATGTTTCAAGAACTCAGTCTGCCACTATCAGAAGCCAAATAGATCCTAATACTTTGATGGGTGAACAGGTATTGATTTTAGCGACGTACATTAATGTTTTCCAGGATTCTCCAAAATGGCTATTTATATGTTCACTGACAAATGTAGTTATTTTAAGACCCCTTTGCTTATGTAATTTTCTTCGTTAAAATTTTGTATATTTTCTCCTGTTTTTCTCTGACGCTTGAATTTTTCATGAAATTTTTTGTTATCATGAACTTCTATTCACTAGAATTAATGTATTAGGAAACAAAAACAATCAGTTTACTGAGAGGTAGCTTGCAATTATGATGGTATTGTTGTCTTTAAAGTGTTGTTTATGTAATGGGGTAGCCAAGTTTCCCAAGGCATCTAGCCTGCGAAGGACATTCTCCAGCGAAACAAAAAGAATGTCTTGATATATCTGGATTTCTAACTTTTTTGGCAGTGAAAGTGATTTATTTACAAGATGCTGAGTTGTACATGTTTTGCTGTGCGTTACTGTCGAAACTGAGAAGATCCAGAAATTGTATTGCCCAAGTGGCGCTGGTCTTGTCTATATGTGAAGTGATGTGTGCAGCTGGGACATCGTAGTATGCTTCTCAGCATGCTCTTTTATGTTTGATGAAATTTAATCAATTTTTTTCCTAGTTCTGGTGGTGGTAATTTTAAATGATGCCGCTTTATTTCCTTTCTTATCATGGTGTATGTAATAAAGGATTGTGACGAACCATATTCATTGCTTCAATGATCCCAGGTTGCAGCTAAGGTTACTGAAGATGCTGAAAAATCTGAGTGGTTCATTGTAAAAGTAATGCATTTTGATAGGGAGGCAAAAGAGTAAGTAATGTGTCATGTTGCAAACATATAGTGTTCATATTTCATATAGAGATATTCTCTGTTTCTTTTGACGTCATTTTCTAGTTCTAGGTAACTTATTTTTTATGGATTTCATCTCATCCTCTTGGTTGTTCAGTATGAATATTTTAGCCTCATGATACAGTGCAAATTATAGAATAACACATTGAGAGAACCTAGAGACTAAGTTCCGTGATTCACATTCTAAGAGAGAAAAATAAGGGAATCTGATCTCTAAATACTTATTTTCTGAAAGATTCTCATGACGTGATGGTTGGTTTTATATTGTTTGATGGGCCAACGCTTTGAGAATCGCCATGCACTGATATCATCTTTTCTACTTATGGAATCATATTGCCTTCTGTTCGTATCCTCATGAATTGAAAAGCTTCATAGTTTTGTGTTGTTTGTCGTACAGTTTTGGAAAAACTATTACTTGAGTTATTATTATACAGGTTTCACTTTAGCCAAAGAAATATGAAATTATTTTAAATTATTTTCATTTCGATACAAAAAATTAGGGTCATTGGTTTTCATTTTGCATACGCATGCCATGTCGATTATTAGAATTTTATAAGAGGTCCGAGAAAGATTAGGAGTTTTTTTGTGTCTAGAAACATAGGAAGCAGTTTTTATGTTATCTAACTCTTTTTGATGCATACTTGCAGATTCGAAGTTCTTGATGAGGAGCCTGGGGATGATGAAGAGCCAAAGTACCTTCTAACACACTTTATTAGCATTAGTGTACTTTCATGAAACTTTCTCCTCATATGACACTGACGTTTTATAAGTGATTTTTACCTCCATGAAACTGATAAGAACCTAGATCAAAGAACTACGAATAATTCGTATTAGATGAAAGAAACAATCTCTACAACAGAAATACCAAAGATAAAGTACAGTAAAAGAACCCAGAACAGATGGAGGGTTGCATACAACCCTAGAAGCCAGAACAGATGGAGGGTCGCATACAACCCTTCCAACCCTTTCTCGTAGATGCACGAGATACTAACACCGATTTTCCTCCCCCTTCCTTCCTGATCCACCCATCCTTATATCCTCTCTTTTCCCTCTCTTATTTAGGCAGTTAGTCTCCTGTCATAACTGCTCCTGCCATAACCGCTCTTTGCCATAATTGTTCCTTGTCATATTGTTCATTGCCATAACTGTGCCTTCCCTCAATCATGCTAACCGTTATTGACTTATTGGGGGCTTTGGGCCTTCTTCCTTCTAGCATATGTGCGTGAAGCCTTATCAGAAACTTTTCGTCATTAACTTTATTGCCATCTATTTTTACTTCTTTATTGGCCAAATATCCAATACCTCTGAATGGTGGCTTGTTATGCCCATGCAATGCTTGTTGACGGCAGGCCAGGAGGAAATTTTATGGGTTCAATAGGTATGGGGATCCTGAAGCAAAGGTTCAAAGGCTTGCTAGTTGGGCTTGCTTGTCCTAAGGTTCAATCATGCCTGTGAGGAAATAGAAGCCCTCAGGTCCTGTTTAAAAAAATCACATTCGAGTCACTTTCTAGAAAATTACATCACAAAATTGTAGATGATGAGACTACCCTTCCAAGAAAATACCAGGATACCGAATGTAGCATGTTCATCTTTCAGGGTTATGGTTTCCAGATGGATGGATAATAGCTGCAGCTCCTGTCCCAGTGGATCTAACAGAAGCCAAAAAGCTGCTTAATCTTTCTAAATGATGATTTTTTTAACGAAATAACTCTTCTAAAGAATAATAAGAATGTAGCAAGTATTTCGGTGCATAAATGTGTAGATAATCTTACCTGTGAGTCTTTCTTGTGCAATGAAATCTTGTTTCTAGGATCCAAATGATAAGGGAGATCCCATGCTTGGAGGAGGATACTAATTACATTTTAGTTAATAATGATGGATAAGGGTCCTGACGTTCCTTCCCAGTCTGATCTTCTGATTGTTTTGTCAATGATTGTGCTATCAAATTAGGTTAATTTTAATATGACTCGTCATCGCCTATACGCTATTGAAGTCGTGGGAGTAACCAGATCTTGGGTTTCTTCTCTGCCCTCAGTAAAAACTATGATTGAGTTCTGTCTTCTCCTGGTGTACTCCCTAATATAGTTTGCTGACGATGCGCATCAATCATTTTGTTCTGCTGGATACTTAATATAGCTCTCAGCTCTTAATGATTTTCGGTAGAAAATATTGTGTAACTAAGATCAACCTGTTTGTTCGAGCACCTCCCCATTGACTAGAGAATTTCTTCATTTGATTATGTTTTTTTTCAATTTTTCAGGAGATATAAGCTACATATGTCACGCATTATTCCATTTCCTAAGAGAGGGGACATCTCTAACATTCCTGATTATCCCTCTGGAAAGCATGTTCTGGCGGTCTACCCTGGTACTACAGCTTTGTATAAGGCAACTGTGGTACCAAATCCCCATCGGAAGGTAGACACTTACATCTCATTTTTCTTTGTTATCTGTTTAGATATCTAGACGCCCTTGATTGAAAATGCATGTGTGGGTGTAAACCTGTTATATTGTGACTAGATTAGTATCCACATGTTATGGTTTCCTTGGGATTGCCACACTTTCTGGTATGAACAGTGGTAATATTTCTTTGAGCAAAGGTGGTGAGCTATAGCGTGTACTTTTCTTCTGACAGAATATTTACCATTCTTGATATTTGTGTTTGGCCACCTTATTTCTGTTGTATATATTTCTCCATGCCTGTGCCTTCGGCTATATTTCCCCCAAGCCTTTGTTATCCAGTGTCTTCTTCTTAACTAGACTGTACAATATATTCGACTTTTCAATTTTTCCTTCCGAACCCACTGTAGCCAAGAAGTTCCTGAGCTGATCTTCGTCTTGATCTCAGTATACCTAGAGCCATGGTAATAGTGGCAAACATATTTTTTTATCTAGAAAAAAAGATGTAAAAGTCTGCATTGTATGTCTGACTTTTCTGCTTCTAGAAACAGTTTTCCAAAGATCTAGATTCTGAGGCATGGACCTGGTCAAAATAATTTTTATCTTTCTTTCCCCGACACTGAACGGCCTTGACTCTGGTCAACAGATTCTACAGAATTCACCTTTTGTTGCTAAACCTTGTGCCTGCTGTGGACTCAACACCTTCAGCATGCATTCTCTGCATGATGTTACTGGGAGGAAAGATACACCAGCTGAAGAGCATAAAGACCTGTGGGCAAATTGCTTTTTTGAATAGAGTCATTAGCCTTTGTCGTTCTAAGATTCAAAGGACTAAAACTGACAGCAGAAGGGTTTCCAACCAGGGCAGGGCTCCTGTTGTGAGAGCTTTTATGGAAGGCTTGTGTTATCACATTTCTGGAACTGGAGGGATGAATATTCACCCACCCTTTGATTCATGATATGGGTGTCATCTGATTATTATCCATAATAAAAAGGAATAACCCCGGGCTTTGACATTTTTCTGGAGAAGTGATGTTACGTTGACATCTTAAATTGGTAGTGCCCATTTACTTTAATGAAGTTATAGTTGACATCTGCATCTGGTTTCTTTCCCATTTGGCTGAATTCCCATTGTGTTTACATTTGAAATTCATCTTTACTTGATATGCACTTTACGATGCTCCACTTGCCGTATTGGCACAACTAGAAACAGTTCACCATACTAATCAACATGCTCTCCACATGTTGCGGGGCTTCTCCAACTGCTGCTCAAAATTTCAGAAGAAAACTGATGAGTAAGTATATTCTTTTTTCTCACGGTACAATAATTCCTAGTTTCGGAGATTTTAAATTCTGGCCAGAAATTATCACTTAAATGTATCTCTCAAGATTATTTAGTTGTCTACGGTGCATATATTGCTCAATACTTCCTCTTTTTTTAGGGTTTTTATTTTATTAAATTTACTATAAACATAACCCTGAATAATGTATGATCCAACTTCGGTTGAGAAGTCGCGAAAAGAAACACAAATATGAACCAGCTTGAGAGGAGAGGAAGAAAAAGGGCCCTTTCCTAGTTCTCAGAATCCTGAGAAAGCTTAATGCATGTAAACAAATCGGTGAGCAAGCTATGACAAACTTGGTACATTAGCATTGGATCCGAGTTATATGCGTCTGGAGATGCCTTTAGAAAAATATACTTCGACATTCACCTTTGTGTTGACACTTGTCGCCTATTTCTTGTTGTTTTTGGAACCACTCACTACCTACCGTTACTGCTCCTCCCATTGCAACCACCACCCCTCTCAACTTGCATATCCACGTGTACAAAGTTGAAGTCCGGCTAACATTCTGGCGTCTTCATCAGAAACACGAAAATATTTATTGATGAAACCACACTTTAGAGGTTAAACCAAAAATCTGATGGCATGATTATCCTTTTAGGTTATGATTTTTCTTCAAGGATGTAACTAATAGGAGAGGCTTTTAGGCAGTTAACTTGTGTATAGCATGTCTTTTTCTCGTTTCGTTTTCCTTCAGTATCTTCAAAGTTCAGTAAGGAAGAGTGGAAAACTATATTGTGACAGCTGTCTATCAAAAGATGTTTGCCATCATCATCATTATCATCATCATCCTCCAAATCCCAACTTGTAGTGGTCTCCATGTTGATCTTGTAGATACCAAGCTCCACAACGTTTACCAGTCCTCCAGCATAGTCATCTCATATGTGACTTCCTCACAGACCATTTAGTATGCTCATTTTATCTACTTCTTATGACTAGTTGTGGAATGGGTATTTTCTCACTATTTTTTTCTGAGTAGTTTATTGATTTTTTTCCGTGATCCTTGTACCCATCATGGTGTTTATGGCACCTCCACTTCATGTTCTAGATATCCTTCTCTTTATATCAATCTCCAGATATTGTCAATCTTTGAATAAATCTAGCAGAGTAGTTTACTGTTTTTTACCTTGATCCTTGTACCCATCTGGGTGTTTATGGCACCTCCACGTCATGTTCTAGATATCCTTCTCTTTATATCAATCTCCAGATATTGTCAATCTTTGAACAAATCTAGCAGAGTAGTTTACTGATTTTTACCGTGATCCTTGTACCCATCATGGTGTTTATGGCACCTCCACTTCATGTTCTAGATATCCTTCTCTTTATGTCAATCTCCAGATATTGTCAATCTTTGAATAAATCTAGCAGAGTAGTTTACTGATTTTTTTCCGTGATCCTTGTACCCATCACGGTGTTTATGGCACCTCCACTTCGTGTTCTAGATATCCTTCTCTTTATATCAATCTCCAGATATTGTCTATCTTTGAATAAAATTTGAAAAATAATTCATTCTTCTTACGTTTTGCAGTTACCTGCTTGAATTTGATGACGACGAGGAAGAAGATGGGTCCCTACCTCAACGCAATGTGCCATTCTACAGAGTCGTCCCGTTTCCAGAAGGGCATCGGCAGTGACCATCTGCTCTTGGCACGGAATATCTGAACTAGTCTTCGCCAGTACGGCCTATTTGAAGGTGTACCTATCACTACAGGACTACGAGTTAGAGCCACCGCATCGGCCGTGATCCATGCATTGGGCTTTTGTATATATATGTCAGAATAGCTTCCATCAGGCCACCACTTCAATATGATCTCTCCAGCTTCTATCAAGCTGTTCTATTGATCATTGCCATATTTTGGGGAAATTCATAGCAAGATAATATAATCACAAGGAATCCTAGTTCATTCAGGGATTAACATGGTCTTTGGCATGATTCATTCATGCCATTGACTGCATAAAATCCTACTGGTCGGCAGGAGGTTGGGTCAGATTTTTCCTGGACTTCATATGATGGCCAGCCAATTGATTCCTCACAGGTTTAGCAAGGGTTTTTGAATTGGAATTAGTCTTGAAAATTCTCGCTGCTTTGACTAGACAGCAGATGAACCCCTACTGGTTTTGACTTGATTTTCCCTTTTTGATTTTATCGTAAAATTTTTGGAGTTTTTTTTTCTGATAGAAATTTGATTGTAGGCAAAAAAATTGGTGATAGAAGACATTCATTGCAGATCATTCAACTAGTTCATGAAGCTGTTGTAACTAGGGTTTTCAAATTAAGTCACCTTCTCTGGAGAAGTACTTTCTCAAGAATAAGATCTTGATGCTACGACCATATGGATATTATGAAGGCATTAATTTCCTATATATTTAATGAATCTCAGACTCAATTCTCAGAGAAGGAAATGATGATGCCGAATCGTTTTAATGCTGTTTCAAAGATCATGTTCTATAATCTATTTTTATTCCAGTTAAAGGTTTCTTTCCAAAGAAGGGAATTAACAGGTCAACTAAGATCAGCTCCAACTCATGGATAATCTTCCAGGCATATTCTAACAAGAAAAATCTCCGTAAAGAGTAACAATACTGATTATAGAAAATCTTGGTCAATCCACCAAGAGCTGCATGGTATAGAAAATTAATGCAGTGTGAAGCAGGAGGCTCAGACCAAATATGAACATACCAAAATTGGCACTTACACATTTTTACGAAAGAACCCAGATAGCAATTATTTACATTAGATGGGACATTCTAACTAACCTGTGGGTTCACCTACCTCCATGGGACATTCTAGCTAGGGACACTGAAAAAAATAATCATACCTGAAGCTGCCCTTGAGAGGAATCAATCAGATCGGAGGTCAACGTGGGCAACCACAGTTCGATGCGGGTCCCACCCGTGCCGAGGGCTGCATTGGGCGAACGGGGGGATATCACCCGAACGACACAGCCATAGCTCTCGAGGATCTCGCGAGAGATGGTCAGTCCTGCGACGAAATTCCAAGTCATGTTGTCCTCGACCATGTCATCTTGAAAGAGATCGGCTCCAAATGGGGTGAGAGAGTGCATCTGGGTCTGCGTTGAACAACGGGAAAGACAGTTGACATTAAGAATGGAATTGCCATTAATGAGGTTCTTGGGTAGCCAACCCACTGAATGAAATCATGGTTTCACATCTGGCGGCATGCAGTATCTGGGGTGGAAAACATAAGCGTGAGGAAGTATGAAGGCCTCCTTCCATGATTCACTCAAACCCTTTTGGATGCAATTCACATGAATAATTCCAGACATCTTAAGAAGCGGTTCTCATTCAGGAATCATTAATGAAAATTTTATCATTGCTGTTAGAAGTTCTAACTCGTAAGGAGATACTGTAAAAGACTGAGTGGAATTTTATCATTGCTGTTGGGGTAGCCCCGGTGCCTATGTTTTTCCAACAATTGAAAATGGGTAGTTTCTTTTGCTCTCTTACAGCACAATGAAAATAAGGTCAACGTGTGTTTCTTCAGCTCTGTTTCTTGGCTGAAACAGGGAAGAGTAAGGGACGGTTGACCAGGGCAGGATTTTTTCTGAATAACTGAAATCAGCAAATCTCCAGCAGATTCTATTTCTCACTTTCAACGGCTTATTTTAGTTCCCAGTCCGAAGGCTCTAAATTTGACCTAATTTCTCCATTATTGAACCATGAAGTTCTATGCTTCTGTACTTCACCAAAACAAACATTAACGTCAGATCCATAGCTCATGATGGCATTAAAAGGATTTAGGGATTGGAGGTATTTCTGATTGAGAGTCAACTTGACCGACATGAATGGTGCAGAACACCGAAATACATAAAATAGACCATTTCAGATAATGCAAAAGTAAACGCAAAAATAATGAATGCAAGTTTTTAAGAGAAACACAAATGGACTCAACCATCCAAATCTCAGAAAAAATAATGTGATGTTCAAATATGATGAAGTAAGTATCAGTTAACACTGAGAGTAATCTTGTTACCATATAATGCATGTCGGGGCCATCATCATCAATAACAATGAGCACCCCGCCAGCAGGTGCTCCCGTGGCAATAATTTCAACTCCACCACCAATATTTGTGCGCAGCAGAGCTCCTTCAATCAGGTTGCTAAGTGCTTGCCTCAAAGCAGATTCTTCAACAGCAACTTCTAGTGATTGCGAATTTTCAGCAAGCTTAAGAAGGCGCTCCTGCTTGTGAGCAAGTGGCGCTGCAGCGCTCACCAAATCAGCCAGCACATCCGAGACATTGCAGGGTCTGCCTGACAAAAAAAAAGGAACGTAAGTGATGACAGAGAGAACAAGATTTCACCGAAGTTGACTGGCATAGAAAGCATAGGAATCAGAGGTCAAGAGTGGGTCACGAGAATAACCTTTTATGAGGAGGCAGTGAAATAATCATGTAATTGCAAAAAACGATACTGCAGTTCTTTAATTACACAAGTTACCATTAAGCATCCATTTCTTTGTTCGAGATCCCATTAATTGGAGTAAATGAATCAGCGATCAGTTCTCTCCAAAATGAGACCAAAATGGTAGCATGATCTTATCATCACGGAGACGACTCAATCATTGGATTGCAAGACCATAATGTTAAGAATAATCTCGTATTAATTATGATGATTTTTTTTTTCTGTAATTACAAAGTTAGACTTTCTTGACTCGTTGCAAAAATTATGTCGAGTTAGATTGCCATATAACTTTAACACGATATGAGAGCCGACAGTTGCTCTTAAGTTGAACGTACCTCATTGAATACTGTCTACATGACAAAGCCCAAAAGCAATATTGATTATTGTAAAATTAAACATGTGATTATTAAAAGAAGTAGCTACTCCACTTATTGTTAACTGGTTTTTAGTAAGATGGACAGATTTTTTTAAAAACAGATATACTGCAAAAAAGATAGTCATTCTTTGATGCGGTCCTTAAAGATCCACAAAACGAAGTCCTATGACTGTGATCTATCCGTTTCTGCAAATGAATAAGAACTAAAGGGGGATCATCAAAATTAACGACTAAGAAGTATTTCTTGCACACACCAGGAGTCAATGGGGACACCAAGAAAAGTAATGGATCAAGAGTTTGCAACGTATGAGCTGCTGAGTTCTAAATGTAAGTGCATACAAATAGAAGGTTAACAAAAAAAATCTGCCAAAAAGAGAAATTAGTGCCAAAATCATATTCAAATATCCATGGATTCAAATAACAAGATTCATTAAAGTACATAACCGTCCATCATGCTAGGCTTTAGACTTTAATGAAGAGCCACGGAAGGGCATAGACTTAAATGAAAACGGACTACCAGTAATCCTTAATAATATTTTCAAAAGATAGACGTTTGTATGAACAAATAGATGATTGAACAGTTTTTTCAGAGTGAGACAGTTAAACCTTGATTTGAAGTCAAATTGGCTGATTCTGGAAAAAAATGTCTTGAAGAAGACTATACAGTAAGGTAACTGATGGAACATACATTTCTGAAAAAAGAGATGCGTTTAAGTCTCATAAAGTACAAAAACTTCTCAAGATAAGACGGTTGGATTCTGTTCACAGCACCGATACTCGATTCTTTTGATCACAGTCTAAATTTGAGAACTAAACCAATAATATTCTATTGAATAAAGTATAATCAGCAAAGTTGTCACTTTCCGTCCTAATTATTCTACTGAAAAAGTTAGATGCCATGAAATGCAGCCATTCCTAAAGGCTTCAGCAGCAAATCAGTAGACGAAAAGACCAAGAAAGATGCTCGAGTCAGGTTTCTGGAATTCAGCATATTTCAATCAACATTGACTGGATTTCTTTGATAATATACTGCAATAAAGCATCCTACTCTAGATGAACGACCGTTGAAACAGCCAGAAGAATCGACCCAAAGAAGAACTTGCTTATTGTTGAAGCATGTCCACAGAACCATGACACAGTCAACTGTCGATCAGCCTTTCAAAGGCCGCAAGCCCAATTCATCAACTAAGGTAGAATTGAGCAGTTACTACAAAATATCTAGTTGGGAACTGAAAGGTAATAAAACAAAATTCCGTAAATATTCTTCTGGCCATTAAGGACCCTAAAAATTTTATTCAAAGCCGTTGCATCATAAAAGTTCCCCCAATCCACCATAGAATCATAGAGAAGGTAGCTAGGACGTAAGAAGAGGACTTGTCCCTGCTATTCAACAGGCAACAACAAGCCTTCCCTATCCCTTGGCTTCCTACCACTTTCATGTCACCTCATCCCTTTCTCCCTATCACACCCATCAGAAGAAGCATCTTTTCCATTACCATGCCCTTTTCTTTCATCCATAACACGGCATGATTCATTTGTGTTTCAACTAATTAATAGAAAGAGTAGACTGAGGAATGTCTAAGATCTGATCTTTCTATGTAGTGGTTACAGAAAAAAGATTCATGTATAGGAACTCTCTGAAAAATTCTTTAAAGATCATAAAGCATAACACAGTCAATAATAACGATAGACAGATTCAAATTTTCATAATGAAGGAATATCCATGCAAAGCAACAAAATAGAAAAACCTTATATTTTCTTGTTCAGGTGCGAGTGCAAGAGGAGGCATAGGAACTTCAACATCCTTTGCTCCATAACTTAATGCAAGCTTTGAATCCATCTTTTGTGTTATTTCCTTCATTTCTCTCAAACTATAGTCCGGCAAGAGTGATCCTGCTAACTCTGGGTGTTCGTAAGCAGAATCATGCACTTTCTTAAGTGTTTCTTCATTGTATCGAACAATATTGGCCTATATATGATTCACAAAAAGGCGTCGTTAGCTTGATAATAGTACATGCAGACAGGATAACCTAAAAGTATTAAAAAAAAATCACCAGATATCAACTATATCAAGTAATCACAGAGACAGTCCAACAGGTGACACCCCAACCAGATGCAAAAAAGAATTCACAAACATTAAATAGAAGGTAACTTTTCTAGTCAGGACTTGGGTGACTTGTTATCAAAAGCAAAATTTATTGCACATTTTTTAAGCCATATAGCTTGACGATACAAAAGAGAGTATCAAGATCAAAGAGTTCAGAAGGACGTTAAGCGATCCAAAAAACAAAAACTAATCAAAAGGAAAAACACCAGAATCTACCTTGGTAAGGTAGACAGCATCCTGGAGCTGTTGTAAAGTATCTTTCATATGATCCCCTTGTACAAGAATGCCTTCAATTATGTCGAGCGAAACCTGACACATAGCTTAATATTAATGTGAAATCTAGGTCCTACCATAAAAATCAGCGATAAGAGCAGGACAAACCTCACTTCTCTTAAGTTGGACGGAAAGCATTTTGGTCAGGGTTCTCATGTTAGACAGTGGGCCACGAATCTGCACAAATTTTTCAAACTTAACAGATTGAAATCACATATTTATGGTCTACATTACAATACAAAATCTTTTCAGAACAAGATTGTATCATATTACCTGCTCAACCAGATTGCTCATTCGGACATTATTCTGCCAAGATGATTGCTGGAGCAACATTGCTTTCTGTTTAAATGAATAAAAAAGTTTAAGTGCTACTCATCGTTATGGAACGTCTATACTGAGAACCTTAAAGAAAAGTGATTATGTTATGCCACCTGATCCATTACATATGCCATAGCCAAAGAGCGAGAGATTGTGATAGCTCGAGCACTATGCTCTGCTGTAAATTGATGATAATATTTTGCTATATTTTTCTCAACACTTTGAATTTCCCAAATTCTTTTATCAGACTGGCGCAATTCATAAGCATCATGCGAAGATGAGCCAAAAGAAGAATGCTGTTCATTATCTTCAGTCCCCTGGAATGTTTTCCTCTCCAAAAATGGAAGCTCGGCCACAATAAATCCTACAACAAAGGGATGTTTGACCATTGGCAAAACAATAGCTCCACATTCTGGAATAAATGCAACCTGCAATTCGAACAATAATCAGAAACTCGTTACAGAATTGGAAGTTATTGAATGTCTATGGCGGTTAAATACTTGCTGATCAGAAAGATGTGCCTCTGCTGCACGTAAGCCTGCTGGAACAACAAAATTACCGATCAATACCACACAATCTGCAATTTCGGCACTATCAACCTGCGAATAGGAATTGACACGATGTAGTTCTAACTGGTCCATGACATAACTTCCAGCCGGTCTAACATACACCTGAAAACATAACAAAGTTAATTCATTAAATAAAACCATTTTATATCTTTTCGTTGCACAGAGATTGCAAGATTATAACCAAAAAGATACATTGTCTGGTAACCAAAAACCTTGCATGGGTTCTATTTCTTCCAGAAAACAGGGGAAATTGACATTCTTTTAAATGAATAATTCGAACATAGTCGGGGAGAGATTCATTACTGACAATATATTCCTGAGAAATTCCAAGAATGTGCTCTGAATTCCTACAAAGCTGTACAAAACTTGAGTGACAAACCTCAATGTATTGGATAAAGAGTAGAGCCTGGGTTCTTTGCAAGCTCGACAACCCCTTATAACACAAACAGCATAGTTCTTGCAAAGATTAGCACATAGAATGTTTTCCCTAGAAGACAAGTTCTCCAGAATAACGAATTTATCATTTCTGTTTGGATTCTAATTAAGTCCCAATTATTGTGGTCTCATAAACATCCAAGAAGAACCTCACAGCAAGAACTGTAAACTCCTGCATTTTCTATCAATTTGATCTTTGGGATATCTAATCCATCAAATAAGTCAAGTACAATAAGGCTAATTTAATGGGAAGGAGTAAAAGCATTATCTCTACCCGAATCCTGGCAACCTGATTTGAGCTTTAGGAGAGGTCCATGGAATCTACGAACTCTAATAGTTCCTCATGGATTAAATGACCTTGGCATAATAAGTGTAAAAGAGCAGGAAAACCATCTACAGATTTCCATGTCAGCTGACATCATATATGTTGGAAGTTCTAAGCGGAATATTGTAAGGCATTGAAGGTATTTTGGGAAAGAGTCTGTAGGGTTTGTTTCTACTTAAGAGCTGTTAGATGTGAATGGAGTGAGGACGTTTCTCCCGTTCCTCCCCTGTCCTCCGATACAGAGGAAATTCTCCTCTATGTCTGTCCATGTTTCTTAACAATATACACAGACGGAAGTTTCTCCATAAGCTCTAAGTTACCTATGTCACCAAGATTAGATGGCTTTTCAAACAAGATCGCATCACGTCCCATCATCTTATATATTGAAAAACAACAATTAAAAATATCATTTTGCCAACACTATTTAGGTTTTAGCAAGTCTTTTGAAGGAATCTAGAAGCAGACCAGGGAAAATAAGGAACATTGAGATGTTAAAAGGCAGCCCCCAGGCAAAGAGGGTGACACTCTTATTTTGTTACGTGGGAAAGTGTGCTAAAATTATTGAAAATGAGGAAAGACAGAACTCTGTGATTTTGGGTCTGGTCAAAACTATAGCACATAGTCTTCGCCATCTTTGTGTCAACCAAAAAGATTTTGTAAAGAGGGACTTTCTGTAACATATGGAATCTATACGTGTAAAGACAAACAACTGGATATTGATACTCATACGAGTTAATCTGACGCCAAGACAAACCAGACTATAATGTGGTCAAGTCGGGTGATCCATCTGCTGCTCAAGACTCAGCAATAAGAAAAACCAAGTTGCATTGAGTCAACAATGGTTTTCATGATCTGTCTGCAGAAAGCTCCGGGCTCTGCCAAGAGGTGATCAATCGAAAGTACTGAACGTAATTGGGTGATTCATATGCAAATCAAGACTCAGCAACCTTAAAAGTTGAGTTGGATTGAGTCACGGATTCAAGAATTTGGGAAAATAGAACAGAATGTAGAGTGCTTTAGATAGAAGTAATTTGTTTTGGATAGAACAGTACTACACGAGAACAAGAGTACCCCTAAAAAAAGAGGATTTAATGTGGACAATTTCATGGAGGCGGTTGCCTGCTTATGGCCTGGTTGCTATTTACACAAAATGTTAGGACTTCTACGAACATATATTAGGTATGAGTAACTCGATCACTTTGTTTTTTTATGGGCTCATTTTAATTCTTGATCTGCCGGATACTGTTATAAAGTAGGTAACAATGCATCGTGGAGAAGCTGTGGGTATGCTTCAATCACCCATTGGACTCATACGATGCATACAAAGTGCCATGCTTATTGACATGTAAATGAAAATAATTTGAAACGGAAGAATTGTCAAATTCTCGGGTAGGATACGTGGATTACAAATTTTTGAAATGGGTAAGGGGAATATCTATTGACTTGAGAAAAATGACCTTTTGACATCCTTTTACACTTTTGTATGGATTTCAACATTTTTCAAATACTCTACGCTGGAATCTATGCCTTATGAACAATGGTAACTTATTTAACAGAAAGGATTTATACAACATGGGTAGATGATGGAGATTATTCAGGTGAACTCAACGATTGCTTAAACTATTCAGGTAGAAATTTTAAGGATAAAAGATACGATCTTTGTAGCAAGTGCAAGTATGCTACAAGTTCAACATATACCCGCACGGCTTACATTTATCTTTGCTCATTGTAAGAAGTAGGAGCATTGACAAGCTTCCAAAGGAAAAATGTCGAAAATTCTCCACCCATGACGCATACCAGAGCACGAAGAATACACAGTTACCTCTGAAAGATACTAATACACAAACACAGAAGGCAATGCAGCTAAGTAGCAACTGGGAGAAATGTCAAACTTGTGTACTTGTGAGACTCACAAAGTATCTACGGGCAGTCACACCAAGATATTTACCTTCGTGCGGAAGGAATCGATATGGAGAATGAAGCACTTCTCAGAAAATCGAGAGGAAAATGTCAGGGACGGGGGTAGACTCGCCCTTTATCTATTGAGAAACAAGATGTATAGGTCGGGCCAGTCGACTATATTTCGATGTGAAATGGAGACGTGTGGACCCGTCACAAAGACTGGAATCATGTGTTTATCGCAGAAGAAAATATCCATTCAAAACAACGACTAACCGACAAGACGGCTTCCCTGTCGACGACCATACGGAAGAGATCCATCTGCTCGACGCAGAGCCTCAGGAAGTCCGGGCTCGGCCCCGCCGATCCGCCCCTGACATCCTTCTCCATCCGCAGCACGAACTCCACAGGGGAGGCAGCAGAGGCTCTCCGGATTGCCGCAGCCACCGCCCGCGCGGAGGTAATGAGAAAGTCCCCGCTCTCATCACCACCCGGGGCGGCGTCCACGGTGGATGACACAGGCCGGGCGGCGCGCCCCCGCGCAGAGAGCTCATCTCCATCAAATGCCAACGTCTCCAGACGCGGCGGCGAGCAGCGCACTGCCATGCTGCGGTGACCACCCTGGCTCAACTGTAGGGGGGACCAGTCGTTGCAGCGGCAGAAGATGAGGGGACGGTAGAGCCGGAGCTTGGCGGGGGCGGGTAGAAGCAGCATCTTCCCTTCCCGTCCTCTTCCCGCCGCTGGGCGGGGCCTGCGAAGGTCGAAGAGGATCGCCCCGTAATGCCCCGCGATTTCCAGGGCCGAGCTACGAAGTCGTCAAGTAATGGTAGTGATGGAAGAAGAAGTTGCACTGGATGGGGTTTCAACGGTCAGGAGCAGACCAGCGCCGAGTGAGCCAACTCGGATCGGATCGGACAGATCGGCCGATCCGCGGAGACGAGAATCGGGACGAAATTATAAAGAACTAACTGTTTTAATCCCCTTAACTATTTAAATTAGTACTCAGCTCCTCCCTGAGAGCTTTTGACGTCAAAGCTAATGGGAGGTAACGGTCCGATGCACGAGATGCTATTCGTGTGCCACGTGACCGACCCCTGTTGGGGGGGCATCCGCACGTGTCCGGTCGTCCTAAGGCGACATAAAGATATGGGTGTATTCTTTTTATATATTTAGTTCATACTATCGTATGTTTTCATAAAGAATATGATTTTTTTGTCTTTAGTCCCAACTTCCTTTTGTAATTAGAACTTAGCCCCTCGTTCATTTTTAAATACTTTAATCCTGGTCTCTACATGTAGAGAATTACAAAATGCCCTTCGCTCCACTTTTTAAGCCTTACCTCCATTCCCTTTTAATCCGTTTTATACCTAGATGGGGATATAAAATAAAATTTTAAAGTAGAGAATTTATTAAGAGAGAGAATTTTGGTAGGTATATCATGTAATTTGAAAATAAGCGTGTTAAATGGTGATTTGTGATTGCTGTGGCAGTGGTGATTTTGGTAGGTATATCCAAAAGGCTTGAAATGGCGGAGGGTTTTTCTTGAAATCTCCAGAGACTTCCGCAATGAGGGTAAACCAGGAAATGTCTATAGCAGGAAGGGTTATGATATAATGTTTGAAATGAGAAGCACTTATTAGTGAATTGGCCAGATTTGTTGAAACGGTTCCACCACCTCAGGAAGCGGCAGGAGAAAACAACATATATAATCAAGAAAGCGCGGGAGACGGACGACGACGAGAGCGAGAGAGAGAGAGAGAGAGAGAGAGAGAGAGAACCAGTTCGTTTGGCGCTCCACCGCCCCCTTCTTTTCCTTCTCCCACTTACCCCCCTGCACGTCGTCCCTTCAAATACGCCACCCCACTAACGACAGATGCTGTCACGTCTTTCTCTCTCTCTCTCTCTCTCTCTCTCTCTCTCTCTCTCTCTCTCTCTCTCTCTTTCTATCTCTCTCTCTATCTCTCTATCTCTCTCTTTCTATCACTCTCTCTATCTCTCTCTCTCTATCTCTCTACACTGGGAGTATTCTTTTCTCGCTGTTCTGTTGGCCTTTTAGAACAGCCGCTCCTCGTCTCCAGAGAGCGGGGATTTGAGTGGAAGTAACCGGGAAGAGCGCAGGAGAAGGGATAGGACCTCTTTTCCTCTCCTGTTTCTGGTTCTCTGGCCTTCTCCTTTCGCAGATTCCTGTTGGTTTATCCAGAAACAGTATTGCGTATCCGCGATGGATTTTTGGAAATGCAGCTAGATCTTTGTTGAGCACAGGTCCGCCTACCCACCTTTTTCCTTGTGCTTTTGCAGGTGACGCTACGACGCCTGTGATCGGTTTGTGCTCGTTGTCCTGTCGTATGCTGCTCTTCGCCTGTATGATTTTCTGTTCTGTCACCTGCTTTACCGCGTTTCTGCTGCGTAGAATCGGCTTCCTTTGTTTTGGTTAGTTACTTCTTCCCATGATTGCGTGTGTTATATGTTGCAAATGACATGTAGGCTGAGAAATACGTTTTTTCTATTTGCAAATTTACGCGGGTGAGGGATCTAGTAGGCGCACTGAGTTATCGCTGAGGGGATTTTCAGCGTAGTCCATCAGATCTTACTCTTGGATACGGTTTGTGAATTCACGTGACATTTGAACTTCTCTGGCATGGATGAGAAATAAGCCATTCGGTCTACTCGTCTTGTTTCATTGACATTGCATCTATGATGTATTTAAGAATTCCATTCGTATCCTATGTAAGAGTACCATTTTAAGAACGTACTTATGTTGTATGATTAAGCAGAAATTTCGTTGTTACCTCATTTCCTTTGAATCAGGTGGAAGTTATTATTCTGCATCTTTCCTGGATTCATGAAGCTTCTAACTGTTTTTTCAATGCAGTTATTGTGATGAGAATTTACTAGTGTTTTCAAAACATCCGGATCATTTTGATAATATCTTAGACGTAGAGGGCGCTCAAACGGTGGAACCTTATTTACTGCGTAGTTTCTCACTTGCAAACTGTCCTCGACTTTACTCATAGAAGTGATTCTACAGCTATAGAAGCTTCATCCAATGGATAACAAGCATAGTGTTGTTTAAATACATAGTCTCATGCATGTATGTAGGACACAATCATGTGCTGGGATAATGGTGAATAATTTCGAGACGAACTTCTTAATTTTTAGTGGTGGTAGTGAGTGAAGGATTCTTTTGAGCTTTTGGTATTGTGTGAAGGTTGAGCGGATGAAGCTTTTTGTATTGAGTGACGGATTCTTTTGATCTTCCCTAGGCTAGAATGACAAGATTATGTTACTAAAGGAGATTAAAGTACTCGAGAAAGATTATGAATCAGAATATAGGAAACAGTAGATTTTAACTGATACGCTGGTAACCTTGTGATCCCAATAACTTCATAATGTTAGGTCCACGCTTTCATATTTACATTAATGAAGGGAAATTATGGATTGATGCCACTAATTCTATATGGCCTAAATGAGTCAGATGAAGAATCATCCACAATAATTTTCTATCTCCTTTCATATCCGACTCCGACCTTGTACTTTCCATTTTTTATTTTAACTCTTAGAATTTGTTACCTAAGGTGCGTCGTAGTTGAAAGCCTTTGACAGGTTCGATATGAGAAATAAAAAATAAGGAACAAATGATACAGGCCATTCTCATTGCAAAAGCAGAAATAATTATTTATGCTGCCGAAATTGTTAATGTGAAGCTCTCATTAAATCCTTCGCTTTCAAAGCGGATGAGACTCAAATTTGGTGTGTGACCCTAAATAAATCCAACCCTGATGATGTCTACATCCACCGTACGTCAAGTAGACAAAGGAGATCTTCAAGATGGTAGATCTTCAACAACATAGAGCTGACATAATTTTGACAAATCAGTGCTCTAGTTATTTACACGTTTAAGACTACACTGTAGCTCTTTGTGACCTAGTACCCGAGATTCCAACTATGGAGCCACTATGTAAATTTTTGTAATTTTCTCAGTTGGAAAGCCTGCTCGACATCTGTATTTTCAAATATATAATGCATTGGGATGTCTGTCCCCACAAAGAATGTAGATATCATTGGAAACCTGTCATAGATATTGGACAAAGAATATATATACACAGCTGCATACATCTTCACTAGTGTTCCCCTGTGAAAATGAGATCATCGAAAGAAGTACTTCACTGGAGTTGAGCCAGGCTATAAGCGGTGGTCCGCAGTGGTAAAGTGAATAAAAAATTAAATAAAGGTCACGCTGGTTTTCTTGGTTGGCTGATGTCTTTTTTGTAGAATTCTACGTTTATATATTTAGAGCGGCTAGAAGAAAGAGGTCCGAGATTAGGAGAACTCCGTTTCAAGGTAATGAGTTACAATGAGCTATGGCATAACAATGAAACAATAAATATTGTCTAGAAATTGCTTAGTGGATTCCCATGATTTAATTAAACACAACAAAGATGGAGGACGGAGAAAAGGCCTGAATCCCTTTTTCTTTCTTGCACTTTTGTCCAATCTCACTGCATCATAATGTCAGGTTGTGAAAAATTTCAATTTATAATTTAGTGTCCGTCAGATGTAGGCCTAACCACTCTTTCGCATTGACATTTAACAAATATGGTGAAGATATCGTGGTTTTACTTTTTCATTATGTTAATCCCCAGAGGTTTGCAGTGAGAACCATCATCTAAAGGTCTTTCTACAATGCTAATGGACAAGCTGAAGTTCTATGACTGTGTAACTTAGACAATTTATAAAATTTCAGTTCTTGAATTTACAATGCTCGAGTCAAGCTCTCCTGCACAAATCTGACCGAAACTCATTCAAAATAATTCAGGAAACTGCATTTACTATCATTTGTAGGCTTAACCAAAGTCTATAGCATAAAGACATGTTTAATGTAGAGCTGCATTTAGATGTTAATATTAGTGGGATTAGCACGCGACATTCTTCCATGAAAATCGGCATAAACCTTTCTTGGAAAACTAAATGTGTTGGATGACATCTGTTTTTGTTGTAGTTTGATATTGCACTTTCAGTCAAATCATAGAGGTTATCTGCTTTCCCTTTAATATCATTACTATTCATGTATATATCAGAGTAATACTATGTAATACTATGTTTATTACTCAAATGAAAAACTATTTTTTTTGGTAGTTCTACTGATCACTTGATCTTCTGTTCTACTTCAGGTTCTGCTTACCAATAATTTCCTTTGAAGAACCATGGCATCTGCTTTCTTATTACATAAATTAGTTCATTGAAAAAAGTGGAGCAGCTTCTGGTGAATGGATCTTTTCACCCCTACGTAGAGTTTTATTAATCAGATAATCATGGCAAATCTTGGAATACTTGGCCGCAGGTTTCTATTTTATGGATCCTTTGGCCGACAATGCTATTGACCATTTTCTTGTTTCCTGTCATTGGTATTGAACATTGTCCGCTCTCTTATGTTCCAACTTGTTTTTGTGGTTGCAGCGTACTCAGAAAATCTAACGAGAGTGTGAGACTTACTATAATAATTTTCATTGGAATGATTTTTGGCTTCTTGCTTGGAATTTCCTTTTCATCAGTTACCATAACGAAGGTACAGAAGGATGAATTTTTTTTCCTTTTATCATTTTACGGGTGTAATTTTTTAAAAAGTTCTTAAGCTCACTGTATGGTGCAGCTTCGTATCCCATCCAGCATATTCTCGTATATTACAGACAAGAACTCGGTTATATATAATCACCAATGGACAACTGTGAGAAGCCAGAATAAGGATAGTTCATTTCTTAAACCCAGTGAAGCATCAAAGGTATGATTATCTAAGAACAACTATGTAGTGGCCCATTTTTGTCAATTTTTCATTATAGAAAGTGATATCGGTTTTGATACTTCCATGATGATTGAAAACTGTTTTCGAAAAAACATCATTTGCGCCATTATCACTTTCATGCTTTATCTTCAAAGTCTTAGGCGGGCTATGTAGGGGCATTTACACGTTTCTCGTTTTAGTTTGAAAGTATTTTAACAATCACCTGGTCAATATTGTTGTTAAAACCGAGTCATATGTGAACATATATACTGGCTGAAAGGTTGAAACGAAAATCATTACCAGTTTGTTTAGTGAACACTCTTAGACCAACGTTCATTTGTCCCTAGGATTGTCTTCAAGATTTATAGGATCGAGAAATCTAGTGATGCCACTGAACGCACGGTGTGTATACATCTTGCTTTCAAATCTAGTGACCATGCCATTTAACGAGAAATCTATTGATTCTCCACTGAGCATGCCGTCCTTTGGGGTTCCAAAAGACACAGGTTAAATACAATAGGACTGCCCACACTTGGAAGTGAACGGACAATGGCCACACCTCTGTCCTAATTGCGGCAGTATTCCCACTGCAAGGTCACCATAAGTAGGAGATCAGAAAGAATGATCATGACGTTCTAAAACAGAATATTCCCAACATTTGCACTTACCCTACTAAGCCTTGAGAAACTTCACAAACGAGACAACAAGTTGGAATAACAGAATATCATACAGATTGTCTGGTTATCACCGTCTAATATTAACTGCATAGACGCAAATCGGCTCGTCCCCACCATCCATACGTCAAATGAGTACGATGTCTGCACCCTAGACGTCAGCTCTGCTTGGAGGTACCACAAAGCCTCACCTGATCTAGATATCCAGAGAAGAGCCTTAAGCTCAATGTACATTTTACTAGGCTGTCCACCTCGTCACATTTTTTATGATACGATTTCTTCCGGAAACGGTATAAGGATTGAATGAAAAAATGATTTTTTCAAATATATTTCACAAGAAATTTAGATTTTCCTTTGTAATTGCTGGAATAACGTCCCAGTTTTTTCCGTAGCTCTTGTATTGTGGCAAACTGACCTTTAATTATGTCGTGGCCACAGATTCATGTTCCAACGAACCCTCGAGGTGCAGAAAGACTACCACCAGGCATCGTTTCATCCGAATCAGATTTCTTCCTGCGGAGATTATGGGGTGAACCAAGTGAGGTATGATTTTCTCACTGAATTCTTTACTGTACGAAGATAGTTTTTACAATTTATTCCCTCAAACGTTTGTAATGAAATATTGCAATCACCTCCACCCATTTCACCTCATCAATACGGCCCTATTAAGTGTTGCTATACTCAAGCAACAGTATATTATGCGTTAGTGGCTGATGGGCTAGAAAGAAAACTTCCGCCATTTCTATCAGTATGATACTTCAAGAATCTTATTGAAATTTCTTTTGAGATCCTCTACATCGTAGAATGCCATTAATGTCAATTTTCTTACTGCGGTTGAATTGTGGTAGAACCGCAATATAGTATATTGGGGTACAATTCCATTTTATACTGGATGTTGGAAGATGTCTATTTTTACTGAATGAAGTCATTTTAATTTCTGAGCAGTAAAATATTCCTAAAAATTATGGGAAACTCTATTATAAATGAAGACCAAGGCAAATATTCAAATAGAAAATGTGAATTGGTATTCCGATATTTTGTTTCTTCCATTTACTTTTACTTACGAAACCAAAACTTCATGTCTATGGCTTTAGGTCGGGATTGTAAATGGACCTTTGGTTTATCTGGTATCTGACACTACAGTCATGGGAATGGACATAGATTTCAATTTTTTTTCCAGATGATTTTATAAAATATAAGAAATTGGGGTTTCAATCTAGAAACTATAAATTATCCATAATTTTTAATTCTATTTTTTATTTAATACAATCACTTACAGGTGATTTAATTCCAGGTTTCAAAAATGCCTGATCCGCTTTTATTCTTGCCGATTTCAGTTCTTATGGATCTGAATATGAAATGTTACATCCAGATGGGGATAAAGACTCAGGACACCTTATATTTATATGTGCTTTCATTGGATGATTCAATGGGAAAACAGATCGGAAGGTAGCTTAATTTTCTTCGTATACACAATTGACAGGCCTTGTCAGACCCCAACATAAACCTTACAGTAAGTTCACGGAAGCACTGCCAATGTGGGTGAAAGGTGACTTTTATATCAAAAGCTGATAGCCTATGATTCTAGAGAGGTTAAATTAACCTGATCATCCCCTCAAGATATTTTACCTTGGTTATTAGTTTTGACTAACCAGTCGGTTGTTCTGTAAAATTGGTCAATTTCGATGTGGATTGGAATTGGCGACTTCTGACCGCACTCATGGTGGAACCTGATCCCTCTTTAGTGCTAAAATAAAGATGAAAAAGAAGAATTAGCTGGGGATTTGACCTATGTGAATCATTTTGGAAAATTTCTGGCTGGCTCGGCTTTTGAAAAGACCTCTTGTTCTTTTCTGTTAAAGGTAGGACGAAGAAGCTAGACAAGTTAACGTAGGATGGAGAAGGAAAGAAAAGTAAATAAGAGAAAGGATGAAAGATTAATTAGAGTTCTATAGCAGCATACAGAATATGGATGTGGAAGAAGAGTCAGGGAGAGGACGAAGGGGCGGTGGGAAAACCTTATTTCTTACTCTGGTTTGGCCCCACCTTGAGCTTTCAACCTTGTGCTATTGCTGGCTACCAAGGACCTCTAGGAAAACGATCAGGTAGAGGTGGAAAAAACGGGATACCCGTTCATTCTAAAATCAAATTTATTGTTTTTATCTAGCTTACAATTCAAAACCGTACTTGCTTAATTAGGGTCGGACGCATAGAATTCATCGTCAAATGTTGATTCTTCATTTAATGAGGAGTTAGTGTCACCATTGAAATCACATGGTGATCAATTGCCCTGACTGAGACCATGAATGTCAGGCACTTTCAAGGAAAAAAGAGTAGTGTACAGTGCATTTATCATACATACGAGAACCTGAGCCAAAGAAGATGATTAGATTAGTGTTACTGAAGAGATATTATAATTTCATTTTTTAATTTTATTTAATTTTCGACATTGAGGTATTTTACCTTGAGTAAATTGCCTAGACTAAGTATTACAGATAGGAAGGGTGGCGGTTATGGATGGAGTAGTCTGCAGAATCTGTTGCCACCAAGTCCTAGCATTCATATATAGAGAGAAAATTGAATTTAGTTTCAATTTATTCTTTCAACAATTTCATGTTTTTATTTTTTATTTTTTGGCCTACAGTTTCTAATTTATCTCTGCCAATGTTCTCATGGAAAACGTTTGATGTTTAAACCTCGAGTGTTCGATCCGTGATGTGTTTTATTTTTTTTTTTAATGTGAAGGACCTTCTGAAGAAGCAGAAGTACCTTATAACATTCACTGTGGGATACGACCAAAGATACAACATTGACGCAGCAGTTAAAAAGGTCAGCAGAGATCATTCATTGTGTTTTTCTAAGTCTGGTGGACTGAAAAGCGAGCGGAAATGCTGTCCTTTGATGTTCGTCCGTTGATTTGATTTGATTTGTGCTGGGATCTCGAGGAAGGAGATTCAGAGAGATCACGAAGAACTTACAAAATAATACGAAGCATTCCATTAGTGGAGACTAATGTTTCAAGAGTTTTCGTTTCGTGGAGACTTCTTCCTTTGTTGAAATTTAGACCCTAAACTCTTCACATATATGGGAGAGCTAACTAGCCAGGTCAACTGTTGTCATTATTTTCGTATTCGTCAATTGGGTTCATTTGTCAACCCGTAGAGTAAACATAAGTCAACTGAATGGAGAAACTTCTCATGCAGAATACCTTTAAACCTTCTTAATAGTTTATTCAATGGTTTTTTCTTTCAATAGGTTGTCTTTCTGCCAAGTTATTTTGTGAACTTGGCTGGTGAATCAAATGTGCCTAGTCTTCGCATGATCCTGTGGGCGCCTTTTCTTTTTTTATCTTGGTCATCTACGCATTTGTGGTTAAACATAACACACACGATTCCTTTATCCCATGATAAAATGTGTGATTTATGCGACATAGAGGAAACCCGCATTTGATGTCCGAGGTTTTTTTTTGTAACTAGGATATGAGAAAACACGACGATGAATCTAACTAATTCGGCTTGACTTTGCTCGTTTTAGTTGATGATTTCTGTCCAAAAAAAACGAATAGCCTCTTATTGACGTCATAGGGCTTCTAGACGTTGACTACGATCTATTTCGTGGATTGCCTCTCAGTTCAGTGACAATTTCACTATCCTGCTGTTCCACTACGACGGCCGGGTTAGTGAATGGGATGAGTTTGAGTGGTCCAAGCACGCTATTCATGTCAGTGCTAGGAAACAGACTAAATGGTGAGAACGGTGTTCTTCTCTCTTTCCCGATTGGTCATCATTAATTCTTTTGCCATGCGATTGTCTTCTAACCCTAGATTTATTCACCAAGGTGGTTTGCCAAACGATTCTTACACCCAGATATCGTGGCACCATATGAATACATCTTTATCTGGGACGAAGACCTCGGGCTTGATCATTTTAATGCAGAAGAGTAAGTAAGCACATTCAGGCGTCTCTCTCTCTCTCTCCCTCTCTCTCTCCCTCCCTCCCTCCCTCCCTCCCTCCCTCCCTCTCTCTCTCTCTCTCCCTCCCTCCCTCTCTCTCTCCCACTCTCTCTCTCTCTTTTTCTCTCTCCCCCTCTCTCTCTCTCTCTTTCTCTCTCTCTCTCTCTCCCCCTCTCTCCCCCTCTCTCTCTCTCTTTTTCTCTCTCCCCCTCTCTCTCTCTTTTTCTCTCTCCCCCTCTCTCTCTCTCTCTCCTGTTCGGTAAAAAATCACATTTTCTTTTTTTGAAAAAATAAATTGCGCCCAGGTATATTAGATTGGTGAAGAAGCACGGCCTGGAGATCTCGCAGCCTGGTCTTGAGCCAAACAACGGCTTGACTTGGAAGATGACTGAACGGAGACCTGACCGTGAAGTCCACAAGTTAGGATTCCATCCACCTTTCAATAATTGCTTTTACTTGCCCCACTGCTGTTCTTTTAACGTGGACCTCAAAGGGTATTTTTATTTTTATTTTTATTATTTAAACAGAGAAACAGTGGACAAACCTGGCTGGTGCAAAGACCCTCATTCGCCTCCTTGCGCCGGGTATGGCGGCTTACTACTGCGGTTATCATCCCCATGCCTCGTTACCATTTTCACTTCGTACGAATTCTTTTTTTTCTTTTTGTTAATCTGCAGATTCGTCGAAATCATGGCAACTGTTTTCTCTCGGGGTGCGTGGCGCTGCGCATGGCACATGATACAGGCATGTGGACCCCTTCCTTTTTCTCGCCTCTTTCACTTCTAATGGCGCCTGATTTCACCATCACTGACTGCGGCTTGCGCGTGCAGAATGATCTGGTTCATGGATGGGGGCTTGACTTTGCCCTTGGGAAATGCGTGGAGGTGAAAACCTTAAATTTGGTCAATTATTTGCTTTTCCATTGACCTCAGTTGGCAAAAGTCGAAAAGTATACGGATCTGTGTTCCTTTGGCAGCCTCCTCACGAGAAAATCGGGGTGGTAGATGCCCAGTGGATCATCCATCAAGTGGTTCCTTCTCTTGGGAACCAGGTAATGGTCGACTTTCAGTGTTTTCCGCAGGATGTTTAGCGTTTGGTTGACTCTTCGTGATCCACAGGGCCAGGCAGAGAATGGAAAGGCGCCGTGGGAAGGGGTACGTGGCTTTTTTGTCCAGCTCTAAAATTTCCCCGCTCACTAGCCCCGTTTACCATGACTCCAAGCTCCTATACGGGTAGGGGAGGGTATAATTTCGAACACGATACTAAACTAATTAATATTTTTACCCATAAAAGTTGGTCTGAGCTCTCCTAGTGCCACAGAGTTTAATTTATTTTTTTATGTATGATATTGGCTAAGTCCAGGGGGGTTAGATGACGTCTTGCTTTTGGCCGTTAGGTGCGGGAGCGTTGCAAAAAGGAATGGACAATGTTCCAAGATCGGATGGAGGCCGCGGAGGCGGCATATGAAGAGAAATCGTGGACCGCCTCGCGAAGTTCTGCTCAGAGCTAACAAACTGCTGCCCATCTTTGTTTCTCAAAGGGAACCCCGTCAGCTCCATCTTCCGGTCTACCAAAGGTGTGGTAATCTTTCTCTCTTTCTCTCTCTTCTGCCGATTCCGTTGATTGAGATGCTGGTGGGCTTTTCTGGTCCCAGGAAATTAATACGGCTCCAGTGCTCGAGGTCCGTGATGGAGGGTCTGTCTATCACATAATGCTTCCTTCACGGCTACTCCCTTGTCTTCACAATATCCTTAAAAGATTGCGTAGTTTGAGACCCAAAAGGACGGCATTTTCGAGTATAGGAAGGCCAATTGGCCTCTCTACTCAGCGGTTCAAGGTGCACACCGCTCACACACCTTATAATCTTTCTCAAGGGTGATTGATTACCTTTCATGCATGAGTTTCCCGCCAATCGATATCATGATCCCACGTGATGCTAAGTCACGATCACATCATCAGTTCCTGTGTCTTCATAAAAATATTGCCTAAAATAACAAATATAAGCAGTATTGCCTAAAATAGGAGTATTATGATCTAGTGCTGCACCCTTTCTGGAGCAGAGAATTAACAAATATCCTGAAGAAATATCTTGTGCTGCAAAAGCTATTGCTTCCCTTCCTGGTATTTATTTTTTGACTGTTTGTGGCTCATGGATAGAAGAGAAATCATTGATGTACATTTGAAGGCTTATTAGTACCCGTCTCAGAAAGATCTGCCCAAAAATCCAGGGCCCTCAATGTCAAAAAAAAAAAGAAAAAGAAAAAACATTATTTTCTTCTCTGAGGAAGAAACATAACGAAATTGCCGACTGAGATCCCTTCATTTTTGGGGGTTGGGCAACAATACTGGACCAGAGGAATTAGGATCATCATCAGGTGTAGGTTATGATGCCTAGGAATCTGATGATGCTGGGCTTCCCTAAGGTGATTTTTTCTTTTTTAACTTCTGGGTAGTAAAGAACTAGTATCTCTCAGCCACACCCTGTAGGGGAGGGAGTTTCCTCAGAGGCAGCAATGGTCGCGTGCTCAGATTAAAGGTATCCCTTGGTTATTTGGTCTTGCAGTTCTTGGAAGTCCCACGCATCATCCACCGAGTATTGCCCTGTGAAAGACAGGATAGAAGATTATTCACAAATTAACCCTCCAAAACACTGGCTAGAGTCCTTCACATGAAACACACAAGATCTAATTAATTGCATGAGATAATCTCTCTGAAGCAGGATCTCTTCTGAAGCTTCCAATGGTTTTCCATACATTTACTTTCTGATTATTTCCCAACCACAATCGGCATCTAGAGAGCAGGGTTTTTTTTTTTTTTTTTTTTTTTTTGTTGAAAGCTTTCTTACCAATTGAATCCCTTCGAAGAGCAGTCAGATGAGCACAGCTGCAGAGACAATTTTTTTAAAAAAAACCTGGTTAGGACTAACATTATTACCAGAGAATTCATGGTGCGAAGAAAAAAAATAAAAAATAGAATTTTATTATAAAAAAAAAAGGAAAGAAAGTAGGATGGAACCAGGAGGTTGACAGATGACTGATATAAACCTAGCATGACCTTTTTTTTGTGTGTTCTACCATGCCTTTCTAAGTACCATAGACTCTAATCACCTCCATAATTTTCTTTCCGTACCCCATAACTAATGCTGCCTGCTTGAATAGCGGGAAAGAAAGATTATCACATCAAAAAAAAAAAAATAAATAAAAACAAAAAAAAAAGCAAGGAACACAAAAGACATTGTAGTCCAACCATGAAATGAGGGCTCATTTAAAAAGAAAGCTTCAACAAAGTCGACTGGGAAAGAAGAAGAACAGGGAGAGAGCCCGATGAGAGACATCACAGTCACCTGCCAAGCGCCTTCCCAAAATCTGCACATAGAGAGCGTATGTAGGTCCCTTTTGAGCAAGTAACTCTGAAAATCAGATTCTGCCTGCAGATATTGTAAAAATGTAAAAAAAATAAAATCAAAATATCTTGTGAATAGGATACTCTAATGTAGAATTAATGATTAAAAAAAAAGAAAAGGGTACAGAAACAGCCGAGCAGAGGATTGAGGATCAGCAGAGTAGAAGACCAGGGACCTGTCCGCCAGGCTGCGCTCGATGTCAAACTGGAAGATCGATATGCGCCTCGGGGACAGTTCAACTGTTTCTCCCCTTCTGGCCTTCTCATACATCCTTTCGCCCCCAACCTGAAGAGAGAGAGAGAGAGAGAGAGAGGGAGGAGTCCCCTGGATCAGTATCAGCAAATAATAGGCGAATAGGCCATGGTGGACAAAGGATAGTTAACATTATGGGTATTGCCATGAATAGGACGAATTGGGTCAAATCCCACTGGCCGGATCATTAAGCATTTTCTCCCCACGGAATTGCCTCAAAACCTCAAGAAATCTGAGATCACAACGCCGCCTCTCACCTTGATTGCCGAAAACATGGGGGGAACTTGCCATATCTCCCCACAAAATGAAGCAGCGGCCTTTCTTATGTCCTCGTCTTTGATATGCTCCCATGGCTCCCGCTGGATGACCTGCGCACCAAGTATAATGCCATGAACTCTGTGAAAAGAAGAAGCATGGATGGAGCGACGTAGAAGCCATGAAATCAGTCTTTGAGATCATTGCAGTGAGCTCTCATGTTTTATTTACTTCTTCAATGCTCTCAGAAACTACTAATCTGAGATTTCCTTCATTTTTTGTTATGTACACACAGGGTGGATGAGATATTAATAGCTAGAATGAAAAACATAGGCAGCAGAGAATGCAAGAGAAAACAATCAGGCTGCTGTGGATCAGGATGCACCAAGTGGGCATAGTCAAATCAAGGTTGATGCCCATTCCACTCGATCTTCTTTTTCTTTTTTCTTTTCTAAAATAGTTTCCTCCCCAGTTTAGGCTCATTCATATCAACAATTAGTGGTTTAACCAGTACGAGGGATTAGAGTGGTAAGTATTTCTAAAAATGGCATTAAAATGGGTATGTTCAGTGGGAAAAAAAGGACATACGGGTGAATCAGCATCCCAAGTTGATGTCGCCTCTCCTAATCGGAAGACCCCACTGTAGCCCTTAAACATGGCCTGATATCTGAAGAAACAGAATATCAAAGGAATCAAGAAATCATGTACATAAAATATATGCCTTTATGTGATCAATAGAAAGGGCAGCACTCTTCTAGGCTTTCACTTGAGGGCGGGGTCCAGTGGCTATATATGGAAATTTTCTGTCTCCGTTGACCCGAATGGTGATGCATGATTCACACATTTTTGTGCTAGAAGATCATAACTGAAGGATTTTATCGTACAAAATTCTTCTTTTTGTCCTGCCCATGAGTCTCTTCTAGATAGAGCTTTTCGGGGTGGAGAGGAACAGAAAGGAGTGAAGTACCTGTCAACCACTTTGGTGGCCTTGCCCAGACAAACTATGAGCAATCCGGTCGCCATGGGGTCAAGGGTGCCAGCATGGCCGACCTGCAGCCAGGACTTTGACTTTGACTTAGAGACCTCTTTTTTTTTTTTTTTTTGCAAGACCAGGGAGATCGGGAGATTTCCAAAAAAAGGGTACCTTCTGAACCTTGACCAACCGCCGCAGCTTACCACAAACGGTGAATGAAGTCCACCCTGTTTTCAGGAGAAACAAGAACAGTGATCAAGTCAACCACGTTATCAACAAAATTAAAAATTAAAAAAATGAGGGGAGAGTTCATGGCAGATATTCCCATAATCCAAAATCTCCTTCTTCTCTTCTTCTTCTTCTTCTTCTTCTTCTTCTTCTGTTCTCACAAGAACAGGGCCTTCTCTCTCTTACCCTTTATGGAACTCTGAGTAGAATTCAACCGCTCACCTTTGGGTTTGTCCACCAAGAGCACGGTCCCCGAAGGCCCATCCCACCGGGGAGGAAGCCCCTTCTTCTTAGATGCCAGCCACGGCTCCCCGGCAGAGTCGGCACCGCCGCCGCTGGCACTAGGGACTTTCTTCAAACACTTGAAGAACTCCTCCACCTTCTTCTCTGAGACAGGATGGTCCGCCGGAGCCGCCGCCGCCCTCTGATCGAAGAAGACCAGCCCCCTCTCGTCCTTCCTCCCGCCGCCGCCGCCGCCCTCCTCCTCCTTCGCCTCCGCCGCCGCCGTAGGCGTCGGCCGTGATTCGAGGAACGCTTTCTCGAGGCTCTGATCAGGGAAGTACTTCTTCTCCAGCTGGTAAACCATCCTGTAATGCTTCTCCTTCTCCCAGGGGAAGGCCATGGCGTCGTAGAAGTAGAGCTCCTCCTCGCGAGCGTGGAGCCTCGGGAAATCGACTATCTCCGGCTCAAGCTCCACGAACTCCGACGGCCCTCTCGACCCCCCTTCCCCCTCCGATTCAGAGTCGCCGTACAGCCGCTTTTCCCTCTTCCGGTAGTACCTCCTCTTGGACCTGTCTAAGGCCACCGGCGCATCTTCTTCCTCCCCTTCTTCTTTTCCTTCTCCTTCATCTTCTTCTCCAGTGGGCAGGGCCGGGGAGGAGGCGGCGGGGGGCTCGTCGCCGCTGCGGCGGCGCCACCGCCGGGAACGGGGAGGAGGGCGGTAGGAAATGAGCTCGTAGTAGAGCGGGTAGGGGGTGGCCGAGGAAAGCAGGCGGGGGGAGGGGGAGAAGAGTGGACGGCGGAAGCAAGAGCGGCTGAGGAGCGGCGAAGAACCTCCGGCGGCGGCGGCGGTCCGGAAGGAAACGAGAAAGAGGGTCCTCGGGGTGGCAGCTCGTGAGAGCATTTCCCGGTGGCGGTGATGGAGGCCGCAAGCTTGGGGGAAGAGGTCCTTGTGAAGCTACAGCGTCGCCTACCCTTCGGGTGTTAGAAATGGTTTTCGGATAATAGAGCGGAGGGTAAACTGAGAATTCCGAGCCTTTTGGAAACTCGAAGGGCATCTACGTACTCTCTTCATTAACTTCCCGACCTCCTCCGGTCACATATCCCCATGGATAAAGCTTGCACCTTTCACAGAGAGAGAGAGAGAGGGAAATCGAGAGAGAGAGAGAATGATATCAAACTGATATATTCTCGTAATCCATCATCAGGGTCCAATTGGGTTACTAATGAATCAACACTTTTAATTTCTCTCACATGGATGGTCTCTAGAGAGTCTAATTGTTCAAATTATCTGAGACAACACACGGTAAACCCACCTTTGAAAAGTTTTGAACTTTCATCTCATAAAGGAACAAAGGGTTCACATCGGTGCATTTTCTGCCCTTCCTTTCATTGTCTTAGGCCTCTAGTAACTCGGTGTGTTCTTACTCTAGTACATTATTAGTAAGTGAAAGAACTTATAGATGTGTGATGTGGGCAGCACAATGATCCTTTTAAACGGATCATAGTTTCTAAAATTGATGTTTCTTTTAGTGTACTTGAATGATATTCTAGTCTTTAATCATTCTTTGAACTAGGGTTCAATGTAATCCATCTAACTTTTTTGTAGATTGGATTTGATAATCCACCTTTGTTGTTGGCCATATTGTTTGATTTTTTTTTCTTTGCTTCTTTTAAGAGTTTGCGTTCCTAGTTCACTTCAAGTAATGACATTAATCAAAATTTCCTTATACTTAAGGTGTAAACCTTTATGGATATACCACTAATTGGGATTCCCTAGCTCAAGAAAGCACTTTGTGGGTACTTGGGACCTCCATCCAACAAAGATCTTGTACACAAGTCAATTCCTTGACTTTCTTTCTATCTATTGAATTATTCTTCATAGTTGCACAAAGAACAATGGCTTTCTTATATGCAATTTAACAAAGGATGATCACCTACATCTTAAGATAATATTCATTATACTGCCCAATCAAAAATGACATGAAATAGCAAAAATAGAAATTAAATTCTTGAGGTCCGAAATATAGACATTGGGTTCGATTAAACTTGACAAAATTACATCCAACCTCAAAATCTTAATCAGATTATCCATTTACAACTGAGGTGAAGAAAAAAATAACGTATGCTGTATAGCTTCCATTTTGGACGGTTCTCACTCTTGGTCATGGGTGTGTGAGAAGGATTCCTCTCTTGTTGTCAAGTACTTGGCAATTCAAGGTCTATACCAAGGACTATTGACCCACGTCAGAAGTTTCATTGAAGCTTTACACTGTCCAATCATCCAAAACACTCCACCCACCCCAAAAAGGTATTGGCGAACCTACTAGTGAAGCTATTATCGTAAAATGAGCCGAAGGAAAGGTGTTACATTATGAATCCACGATGATATTATACCTTATAATCTCACTGAACATGGGACTCCCAAGCATCCTCGTTTCTCAAAATAGAAATTTCCAGCAAACAGTGACAATTAGGGTTTGTCAAGACGCACATCAATAGCCATAGTTGCAATGGTAACGAGCAGCTGGTTTTGGTTTGCATGAAGATACGGGAATCGCCTTCCAATCTCAGCAGCATTGCAGAAGCGCCAACGCAGCCCCTGGATGCGCATGGTGACTTATGGACCTCGGATGGTTAGAGAATGCGCTTAAATTGGACTACTTATTAGCTCGTTATTTGGGAGTAATCGCATGAAAGTGGATGATGGGATGAGATACATGCCAGAATTTTTATGACTTTATAATCCCTTTATAAGTCAGTATGTTATGTTGTTGATTACTAGATGTTAATGAGTTGCTTAAGATGTTGTGTCTGCTGTGGCATACGCGTGATAGATGAATTCCTTTGAAACCTTTGGGAGCAGTGAGCCCCAGCCTTGATGCCCGTGGGAGCTTCATCAACAGCGTGTGCATACAAATATGAGGATTCTCTTGGGTGGCTAGAACCAGTGGAGATAAATTTTGAAGACATGGCTTTCAGGGTGACGATAGTCCCGGTCGACGCTTCTCTCAGGTTACTTACGATCATCCACTCTCTCTCTCTCCTTCTCTCTATCGATACATCTGCCCAGTTCTTTGAATTGGCTAGCAGAAGAAAGTATATTGAACCAGCAGTGGCAGTAGAGAGGTGTTCCCTTCTCATGGATTGAGAGATGGAGAGCCGAAGATCACACCCTCTCTGTCATCAACAAACGAACAAGAAGCAGGAAAGGGAAACAAAAAGGCAAGGAAGCTCTTACACTCTGACCCCAGAAGAGCTCCGAGCCGTCAACTCCACACTGATCTCCCCCACATCTCAAAGCTAACCCCCGAGGAAACATCTCCCTTATTCACTCCCCGCCATTGCACCAGAGCTCGAGAGAAGAAAGAATAAAGATCGAACCTCGCGGTTCAGGCTGATAACAGTGAGAAGAACAGCATCGATCCTCGGTAATTAAGAGCCAGAAATAATGAGAGCATTGATGAGGTCGATCGTTCGGACCAGTCGGCTTGATTCCCCCGCGAGCCTCCAAGTGGGGAGTGCTTCAGATGGGCGACTTGATCCAGCTACTCCTCCAGAGCGAGCACAGGCGGAGAGAGGAGGGAAGGAGAAGGAGAGAGACGGCCATGGCGAGGAGGGGGAAGAAGGAGAGAGAGTGATGTGGGGGGGGGGGGAGGGGGGGAAGGGACAGGCAGAAGAAGGATTGGAATTTATTATGGGGGAGATGAATGGAAAGGAGGGAACAGGCGCCGCTGCTTTTGCTGGCTGTTAAAGGTGGGGAGGGCTGCTGGGCACGCCAACTGTGGAGCTCTACAATGATGTTCCCGCATGCAGGTCCCCTTCTGAAAAGGGCGTCCCAAGTGGGGTAGGATGTCGTCTCTAGTGTTTCATGTGGCCTTCACATTCACAGTTGGTGTGGCCCCCCTCTCTCTCTCTCTCTCTCTCTTTCTCTCTCTCCCTCTCTATCTATCTGTCTGTCTCTCTATCTATGTATCGATCTATCTATCGATCTATCGATCTATTTATCCATCTCCTTGTCCTACTATCAACAGTTTCCGACGATTTAACTTGGAAAAACAGGAGATGGCAAAGAGCGACGTCGCCAGCCATGTGGGGAGATCGGTGCTTGTAGCAAGGGGAAGGCTTGCAGTGCCGACCTCATTAGGTTTAATGCTTTAAATGGGTAGTTTTTTTGGGAATCAGTGCATGTTGAATTTTTATTTTCTGAAGTTAATACAAAGATATTGCAATAAATAAAATAATGCGTTTTTCGGGGAGCATATTTTATTAAAAAATATAAGCTATTAAATCTAAATTGTTATATAAACCTTTTTTTCTTGAGCTCATCAATTCAAACAATAACTCGTGTATCTCAAAAGTCACATACTAAAATAATAATGGGTATAAATTTTGAGATGGGTCACTTCCATAGTTACTAAGTGCAATGTTAAAGAAGAAAACAAGCAAAATACTATTTTTCTATGATAGATCATTAAAAATAATAATTACCCAATTAAATGGAATTTCACTAGACCAAGGTCAACTTGCGTCAATTATCTCCTCCACCTGATGAAACATTTGATCAGATCATACTGCTGACCAACCACTGTCTCAATGCGTTGACATTATGTTAGTAAAAAGATCACGTAATTAGCTCAGTAGACCTAATAGTTTTTGTCTAATTTGGCTGGCTTTGCGCACCTCACCGTGATACTTTGACCTTGCCTTTGACTTAGAGACCAGTCGAACCGCGCAAACATCACCTTTCCTATCCCACCCACACTATCGTGCGCTGCGCCGGCGGCGCCGGCGGTGAGAGTTCCCAGCGACAAGAGAACGAAGGCCCGGGAAAGGGCGGCGGGGCAAAAGCCCGACAGACCCACCTTTGACTCCCCCCGGCAATGGGCGGGGCCCACACCGAGGACTGGCGACTCTGTCAACTGCTGTGATGTTCTCACGCCTAGCCTCAGCCTTTTTGCTACCATTAAAAGATCAGGAGGATCTCCCGCGGTAGCCCTCAGGAATCCGAGAAGGGAGGCGGGCAGGTTCGGAGAGCCGTTAAAAGGCCATCGAGGAGATTGATTATCTACATGTTTACGAACACTTATTCGACTAGTGGTTTCGAGGGACCCGGGCAGGACCAATGTGAAGGTCTGGTCCTACACACATGGCCTTTGCTCTGCCCTGTACCAAAGAGGTAGAGAGAGAGACAGAGAGACAGAGAGAGAGAGAGATTATCACGCGGGGAACTGCCCGTGTCGATGCCTGAGAGGCTGGAGTCCATCAAAGCCAAAACCTCAGCTTTGACAAAGAACGGAACACATATCAAGGATAAGGGTCTAAATGTGGGCATGCCAGATCCGCTGGGCCGAACTTAGTAAGTGAGAGAGAGAGAGAGGATGCGTGTCGATGCCTGAGAGGTGTACAAGAAGAACAAGAACAAGAAGCAAATGAGCATCTTTGTCTCCCTTTGACTCCCTCCTTCAAAGCTTAAAAAGGTCTTCACAGATGCAATAGACAGCCAAATCACATTAGCCTCTCCCTCTCTCTCTCTCTCTCTCTCTCTCTCTCTCTCTCTCTCTCTCTCTCTCTCTCTCTCTCTCTATTTATCTATCTATTTACCTATCTATCTATCTATCTATCTATCTATCTATCTATCTATCTATCTATCTATCTATCTATCTATCTATCTATCTATCTACCTACCTACCTCTCAGTGTGGTACAACGGAGAGATTGCAGTGTTAAATGTACTTCTAATGGGTCGCCATGCTAAAATGAAGATATAATTTTGAAAGTTACAACGGTGGTACTCGGCCACACTAAATTAAACGGCATTATAGATCAACAAAAAGTCTAAATATTTTCGCAGAAAATAGCATCAGTCAGAGGCATCTGCAGCTCATAAGATCAGGTCACGTCATCTCAAGTATACAATCAATTATTCACCTACACTTCATGAAATCATATGCCTACTTAAGACCCAAAGTTTGACAAAAACATGAACCGAATGATAAGAGATACCGCCGATCATCAGCATGCACCCGATCAAAGTTGGTCAATATACAGAAAAAGTCAACCGAGCGATTCAAGATTCACAGACCCGACCACCGATCATCAGCATGCACCCGATCAAAGCTGGTTGATTTACAGAACAAGTCAACCGAGTTATTCAAGATTTACAGAGCCAAAGAGCTTCGATATGTCACTGTGCTTGCGGATATGATGCGGGCATTTAAAAAGCAGGTCCCGGGCCTCATCGTACCGACCCTGCTCGAAGAAAGACCTGAAGATCCTGAGATATGTAGAAGAAGATGGAGATGATTTCGCAGACATTGCCTTGAAAAATTCTCGGGCGTCTTCAACTGTCCCAGACTTTGAAATGTATGGAGCAAAAGGCTCCCCATGTGGGGGGAAATTGTGCCCCTTCATTGCGCCAAGGAGCTTCAGCGCCTCTTCAAACTTTCCTTCCCCAAGTAGACTCTCGATTAGGAGCTTGAAGGTCGCCTGCCATGGCTTCACATCCGCCCTCTCCAGCATTTCAAGAACCAGGGTGTAAGCAGCAGACACCCGGCCTTGGCTGCATAGGCCTTTGACCATGGCGTCCAAGAGATGCCCATCAGCCACATGGCCTTTCCCGATCATGTCTGTGAAACAAGTCAACGCCTGGTCCACCTCACGGACTGAGCAGTGCCCGTGGATGAGAACTGTCCAGGTCTTGAGGTCGGGGACGCTGCCTGCTGCTTCCATCTCATCTAGAACTCTGCGAGCTTCCTCCAGCCTCTTCGCCTTGCAAAGTCCATAGACCAGCTGGCTGTATGTGATGTTGTCGGGCTCAAAACCAGCGCCCTTCATCTTCTCCATGATCTGCTCTGCTTCCTGAAACCTCCCAACACTAGTCAGCGATCTGTGAATCCCGTCGTACACGGCTTTCGACAGAGAATGGCCATGAGCCTCGTACCTCTTCACGACTCTGAAGACTAACTCAAGGTCTGGCTCATCGGCCAGCGAGATCTGCCTAAGCAGCAACCCGCAGTCCTGGGGGGACGGCTTGTAAGGTCCATCCATCATGTATTCATAGAGCTGGACGGCTTCCTTCAGCATCTTACCCTTCTGAAAGCGCCGCGAGAGCTTGACGTAGGTGTCGATGTCCATGTCGTGCCCTTCTCTCTTCATCTCCCCTGCAAGATCCCAGAACTCCTCAATGGCGCCCTCCCTTCCGAGAACCCTCGCCATGGCATTGTACTCTGTTGAACCATGCTTGTAGTCTGGCCGCCTCGCCGCCCAGCGGAAGAACCCTAGAGCCTTCAGCGGGTGCTCTCTCACCTCCCTCAACACCTTCGCCACATTTGTCTCCGACAACACGAGCTTCACGCCATCCATTTCTCCCTCCAGGGCCTCAGTCCACTCTTCTGCGGCGATGAGAAGATCCACAGTCGTGCGGATACCTTCGTCTGCCATGGCTTCTTCGGAGGCACTGGACTGGAACTCAACCAGAGCGGAAGCATCTCCAGGCATGCCCTGCTTCTTGAACGAGAGAAGAAGGGTAAGGTAGGTGCCCCGATCGACGTTGTGGCCCTCCTCGCGCATCCTCTGAGCAATGATCCAGAAGTCCTTGGCCCACTCCTTGCTCCCTCCCAATATTCTCAGCATCAGATTGTAAACAGTGCCCGAGGGTTTGAATCCATACCTCTCCCTGGCGCAGTCCAGGAAGTCGATCGCCTTCCGAGGTGCTTTCCCGAGCCTTTTGAGGACGTAGAGCACCGATTCCTGGCTGGGCGGACCGGATCCCGCCGGCAGAAGCTCATCATGCTCCGCTGGCGCGATCGCCGGAGAGGACAACTCGTTGAGGGAGGAGAAGCGCCGCCAGTGGCCGGAGGCGGCTTGATACTCCGGCAAGGAGACGGGAACGGGGGCAACGAGCGGTGACAGGAGCGGTATCGCCCGAGGAGAAGCTCCGGCGGCGGCGACGGCCGCGACAGCGGCGCGGATGGACGGCGAGAGGAGAGTCGATCCTCGAGAGGCTCTGAACATTTTGCCGGCGACCAGGACAAAGAGGAAGGGGGAGAAGGAGAGGGCTTTAGGGAAGGGTTTAGACCGAGTTTGACTCGCTTCGACTCGGCGCCCAGGAGTCGAACCGGTCAGATCGTCCGATCCGGAAAGAGAGCGGGGGCACTAATAAAATAAAAAATGAAAAAAAAAATCGTCTTCTTGCTGAAACACCCCTCCTTCCTATCGTTACCCTCTTTCTTCATCGAGCCGCCACAGGCCGGAGTGGGCTGCTCTCCATCGCCTTCTCTCCGGCCGTCCGGTGGATCTCCTTCCGGCGAGGCCGCCGGCGCCGGCGATCGACGGTGAAGAACTCGTGCACCGTGGAATCGACCTCGATCGAGCTGAATCCAGGCGAAGGCTTCCTAATCCCCATCTCCTTCATCCGCGATCTTCAAGGCGTCCTCCATCCTGCCGGCGGCTGCGTAGATGCTCGACATGGTGAGGTAGTCCCCGCTGTGGAGCGGGTCAAATCTTGTGATCTGGTTCAGCGACTCTTCCCCGATCTCGACTTCCCCATGGATCTTGCAGGAAGCCAGGTGGATCCTCCACACGACGGCGGTCGGCTCGACAGGCATGGCGCCGATGAATCGGCGCGCCTCCTCTATCCGGCCTGCTCGGCCGAGACGATCGATCACGCAGCCGCAGTGGTCGATCCTCGGTTCGATGCCATGGATGCTCTTCATGGAGTCGAAGATCGAGCGGCCATCGGCGACCAGGCCGGCGTGGCCGCAGGCAGAGAGGGCGGCGAGGAGTGTGACCTCGTTAGGCCGAACGCCCGTCACAAGCATGTAGGAGAAGAGATCCAGCGCCTCCTCGGCCCTCCCATTGCTGGCCAGCCCCTGGATCAGCGCCCTCCATGAGAGCACGTTCTTCCTCGGCATCTCGGAGAAGATCGCCATGGCCGAGTCTACGCAGCCGCACTTGGCGTAGAAGTCCACCAAGGCCTTCCCCAGGGTCACGCTGAACTTCAGGCGGCTCCGCCGCACGAAGGAGTGCACCCACCGGCCGGTCTCCAGGGCGCCGGTGTCGGCGCAGGCAGAGAGCACGCCGACCATGGTGACCTCGTTGGCCTCGACGCCGGCGAGCTGCATCTCGCGAAAGAGATCGAGAGCTTCTCTGCAGCGCCCCTGCTGGGCGTACCCCGAGATCAAGGCGCTCCATGCGATGACATCTCTGTTTGGCATTTCGTCGAACAGTGCGCGCGCCTTCTCCAGATGGCCGCATTTCGGGAACATGTCCACCAGAGACGTCGCCAGGTTGGTGTTGCCGCTCCTCATCTTCTTCCTCTCCACGTACCTGCTGATCCAGACCCCGAGCTCAAGCTCCCCCAGCCTCCCACAGGCGTTGAGGACGACGATCAGAGTCGTGCTATCGAACGGAGCTATGGAGTCAACCATCCGGCGGAACAAGTCAACGACGGTGGCCCACACCCTGAGCTTCGCGTATCCCACGAGCATGGTGTTCTATGAGACCAGGCCCGGGAGGGGGAATTCTAATGGGTGCCACAAATTGGGGGTGGACGGCCTTGAGCTGAGGGCGGGAGAAGGGGGAAGAAAGGACAGAGTATTATTGTTGACTCAAGGAATTATGTTCTACGGAGAACTTGAGGAATTTAGGGAAAAGGGAAGATAATAGTGGAGGGTAGGAATAGAGGATTCTCGTAAGAGTTCTCTGATGGGTAACCTCTTCGAGATGGCAGATCTCTAAGGTCTTCTTCCTTCTTAGTTACATGGCTTCATTATTCTCCTTCTATCTTCTTATAATCGAGCACCTCAATTTGCCTTGAACCATTCCATCGGCGACCCTTCCTTGGTCACTTAACAGCCTGACTAGCCCTGCAAACGACTTCTTGGTTGCTTGACGGTCACTGCCCTCAGCTGTCATTTGCCCAAGATCCGTATAGATGATCCCGTCCTACAGCCAGGTCTGAGATCTTGGCCCACATGAGCATTTAGTTGAGGCTAATGCCTCAACAATACTCCCCCCCAAATGGAGCACCTTGCCCTTAAGGTAGAAGTTTGGAATGATGGAGGATCATATGGGTAGGCTCCCACATGTCGGTGAAATGGTAATTCCTATTAATGATTAAGAACCTCACTTCTCATGGAGTTGTGACAAATAGCTCGGATCTCTTCTAGTCGAAGAGTCTAGGAGAGGTCATCTTCCACATGGAGCAGCCCACTAGGGTCAAAACCATTGATCGCATGCTTTGATTGAGACACGTGGAAGACGAAGTGGATTCGGGCCATGGCGAGCTCTAGCCAATAGGATATTGGGCTGATCTGCTCCTTGATGTTGAACAGCCCATAAAATTAAGGAGATAGTTTCTCATACAGCCATCGAGCCACCAATTGCTGCTGGTAAGGCTGGATCAGAGAAATACTCGATCTCCAACTGAAACTCAACGTCTCATTGCTGATGATCTACATGCTTCTTTATGCTTGGGCTCATTTCAGGTGCTGCTTCAGCTAGATGAGAGCTTGATCCCTCTCTTGGAGCATCTGGTTCATTGTGTCCACCATGGAGGAACTTGAAAAATAATGGTGAAGTGTTGGGGATCTCCCATGTAGACTACCTTAAAGGGGGTCATGTCAGTGGAGATATTGAAGGTAGTGTTGAACCAATACTCTAGCTAGGAGAGATAATGGCTCAATACTTGGGATGGACACTTACAAAACATTGAAGACATGTTTCAAGCCCCTAGTTTACCACCTTTGATTGGTTGTTGGTCTGTGGGTGATACAAGCTCATGCATTTGAGAGTTACGCCATATAGTTAGAAGAGCTTGGTCAAAAAAATATTGAGGACGATCTGAATGAATGTTGGATAGCATTGACTTCAAAACCCCACGAAGATAGACAACATCTTGAATGAATATATGGGAGACATCCTTTGCAGAAAATGAGTGCTTTGATAGGGAGAAGTGGGCGTACTTGTTGAGCTGATCCACGAGCACCATTACTACATTAAACCCATTGGAAGGCAGCAGTTGAAGCAAACTAGCTAAAGACAATTTTTTTGACTTAGCAGGTAGTGACATACCTAGCAGGTGGAGACATATTGTCGAATTCGGCCCTTCATTCTCCTCTACATGAAGTTTTGCTGAATTCTCAAATAGATGTGGTGGAATCTCAAGTGTTTGGCTATGCAAGCGTCGTAGAATTCTTGGAGGATCAAAGGGATGACAATGGGCTGTTCTAAAATCAACATGTGTCCCCTTCAAAATATTAATCTCTATTGCATCGCATATGTTGGCCATTTTCTTGGATGTTGGAGAACTTGGTCTTGAATTTTTGATAAATAAGGATCACTGTAATATTCATGGTGATTTAGTTGTCATCCAGCAATTCTAGCTATGTCAATTGATTAGTTCTCAGCTCATGCCTTATACTATATTTCAAAATTGAATATCAATAGTTTAGGTTATCATTTTTGATATTCCAGCAGTACCTATCGCTGCTTTATGATAAACTTTAAGCTTTGCTGATCAGTGAAGATAGTAAAACATTATCCTAACATGTAATGCTTCTATTTAAGGTTGTCAAGATGATCACTACTAATTCATATTCATAAATTGTTGTAAATTTTTTGATGGATGACAGTCCCTAGTTGAAATAGGCGATTGGTTTTTGCTTTTGCATCAATACATCTTCAATGCCTCTACACGACGAGTCTCCTTTCAATTAGAAGGTTAGTGTAAAATCAAGTAGAGAAAGTATTGAAGTAGAAGTCAATACCTTCTTAAGTTATTAGAATGCCTCTTCTAGCTTGCTCTCTCAATAGAAGGCATCAAGTTTTAGCAATTGGGTCAAATTTCAAAGGAATTGGGTAGAGATCCAATGCATAAGGTAGACAATCCAGCACTACTCGAAGCTACACTTCTTCAAGTGAGTATGTAGTTAGTGCTGATTCAAGACTTTGAATACTTGGTTCAGGTAACCTCATGGTCCTCTAGATCTTTTGTTGTATATCAAAATATAGTCATAGAAGATTGACACAAATTTTTAGAGAAATTGATGAAAGATTTTATTCATCAATGCTTGAAATGTGGTAGGGGTATTGGTGAGTCCAAGGGACATTACAAAGAACTCATAATGTCCTTTGTGAGTGTGGAATGTTGTCTTTGAAACGTCCTCTACTTTGACTCAAATATGGTGATACTATACTTGGAGGTCTAACTTAAAGAAGATGTTAGTGACGTGAAACAAGTTCCTCCATATGAATTAAGAATTGATCATGGACAACTATTAAGTTGAGGGTTTAGTAGTCCATACAAAATCTCCAAGTGCCTTCTTTCTTTTGGATGAGGAGTGTAGGGCTCGAATATGAGCTTTACAAATGTTGTATAATTTCACCCTTGAGCATTTCTTTAACTATCTTATCTAATTCTATTTTCTCAAAGTATGAGTAGCATAATGATTGAATATTGATAGGCGTAACTTATAGATTTAGGTTGATTTGGTGGTCAACCTCATGATGTGGTGGTAGGTCATATCACTCAATAAATACGTCTAAAAATTCAGGCCTTAGTCATTCCTCCCCTATAGTTGAATTTGTGCTTAACTTTATTGTTGATAGTTGGAAGAGTTCGAAGCATAAGTCGCCAATTTTCATGTACCTAGACAATGACTTCAATACAATCTTTACCTATTCTTCTATTCACTTCACCTTAAAAATCACTTGTTCCATCCCTATATAAAAACAGAATATACCTTCTTCAAGGTCTACATCAAATTGTTATAAAGACTTCAACCATTTCACATTGAGGACAACTTCTATTGTGGCTAGTGGAAAGAAAAGAAAATCATTGTAGATGTGGATGTGTTCAAAGTCAATGAAGATTTAAGACACAAGCTCCATGCCATGCACCTACTCGCCAGATTTGGTGATGACCTTATACTATGAAATTTAGATGAGCAGCAGGTGTAGGTTATGGGCCAACTAGTTGTTGATGAAATTATGAGTTGTGCTAGTGTCCACCAAAATCATGACATGTGATTTCAATCCTTTCACATAATTTCAATGCTTCATGTATGTCCATGAGAGATTGTAATTTTCCTCCTTTGGTTTGGAACATTACTTTATGTAGCACATGTTATAGTGGCTCCAATCAACTAGTCTTCTTCTCATCATCTTGTGAGGCTAAGGTCTAACATTTTTGACTAACATGGCTCTAGGGCCACTTCTAGCTCCTCTATGAGCTTGAGGCATTGAGGTTAAGCTAGTGTGGATAGGTGAGACAAGATGTTGAGTAGTTTTCCTCACTAGTTGGGCCATCTTCATCATGTCTTCAAACCTTTGTGGATTGAGCACATAGACCTCGACCTATATTTTGTCTTTGAGACCATTTAGGAAGGTATTCTCCAACATCAGGCTTGGAATATCTTGAATGATATTGGTGAGGAGCTCAAAATCTTCCTTGTATGTGGCCATGATATTGTGTTGGTAGAGGCTCAAAAGCTTATCATATAATGAATTTGATTGGTTGAAACTATACCTTTTTAATAATTGATTACGAAAGTCATCACAATTTAGATGATAGTGCATAATCCATTGAAACTAGTGCAAAGTTAGCTCATCCATGTTTAGCCCCACCAATATGAGTTTCTCTTATTCTAGAACCCCATACGTAGAAAAGTATGGCTTCGCTCTAAAGATCTAGCTTTTAAGTCCCAACCCATAAAAGGTCAATAATTCTAATCTTTGTCCTCACCACAATTTAAGTTGTTGCTCGTTAAAGATTAGGTTTGGTTGACCAAAGGGAGCCCTATTGGTTGGTGAGTTAGAATTATGATGTATGGGGGCCTCATTGTTGTTTCCCTTGTGAGAAATTGATCTTCTATAAATGGGCTCCTCGAGATTCTAGTCTCTAGAAAATAATCTTTCTTGGGCCAGGGGTTAAATGTTAGGGAATTTTATTATATGATGAGTTGGAGGGATTATAAGACTTTGGTGATAGTACAAAGCTAGTTGTTTATCGTCATTTGTTATTGCATGAAGCTTTCCAATTGTCCTTTGAGTTCAACTTGTTTAATCTTGAGAGCTTCTTTGTTTATTTTGGCTGCTGAGTTGTTGATATTGATCGTTGTAGAGTTCCTCAAACTCTTTCTCAAAGAATTCAAATCAGTTGTCATGGGGCTTAGGCAACTTGGTGGAATGGTCGATTGGGCTTTGACACTAATGTGATGAGTGCCCTAAATTGAGGGTGGATGGACTTTGAGCCAAGGAGGAGGAAGAAATGACAAAGTATTGTAATTACTATTGACTTAGGGAATTACGATTATAATAAGGTCCTCATTCTCTAAGAAACTTGAGGATTTTAGAGAAATAGAAAGATAAAAATGAAGGGTAGGAATAGATGACTCTCACAAGAGTTCTTTGATGGATTACTTGCTCAATATGACAAATCTCTAGGGTCTTCTTCCTTGATTGCCTTGTTTCATTCTTTTTTTTCTGTCTTTTTATAATCATTTTTTCCACATGACAAATCTTCAAGATCTTCTCTATGGTTTGCCTTAAGTTGTTTTATTGTTTACATTTCCCTAGACGCTTGACAGCCAAATCGGCCCTATCAACCATTAGAAAAATGTTATTAGTCACCACCCTTGGTGACGAACAATTGACCGATTGTCATTTGCCCAAGATCTATATACATGATCCCCTCTTGAAGCTGAATCTAAGATCTTGGCCCATGTGGGCATTTAATTGAGGCTAATACCTTAACATATTTGATAAAAAAGTTGGTGGGTGGCATTAGCTCTACTATAGATGGTGTACATGTGGATCAGAGAGTTGTGCACAAATTCTCTAGAGTAAAGGATGTAAGGATGTAGTTCACCACCATGGCATGGATCTACTCGTTGAATTGTAGGGACCTAAGCCTAAAGTAGGACTTGAGGGTGCAAGAAAAGGTGAACTGATTGGGCAGTGCCGCCAACTCAGCCAACATCTAGAGGAAGATGGCAAGTGCTATGCGGGGGGAGCCACTAGCAATTAGGCCTCGAATTATGATGTTGCAAGTAATGGCATTGGGGGTAGAGAGGTGGCGGAAGGCATTGAGGCGTAGCAAAGCTTGCCGAGGATAGAGAGTGTGGCAACATCAAGGAGGTCCTTGACAATGGAGTAGCAGGAAGGGAAGAGGCAAACCTTGATGAGGAGCATGTGTGTTTGGCAGAGCTCCTCAAGGGTTCGACATTGGCGAAGAAAGAGGACGAGCTAGTGGGAACACATTGACAAAGATGGTTGATCGGCAAAGGGCAGAGTTTTCACCATTGGAGAAAAAATGGTAACAATGAATGATCTCTTCTTGCACACACCAAGTTTTTAGACTCTATGATTTGACATTTTTACCATTTATACTCCATTGTTTTTGCATTTACTATGTTACTATGTTTTATTGAGCCATATGTAATATTTCTACAATCTTAGCATAATTAATTAGTACATAATATTTTAACTTTGTAATATTGACATTAGAGCATTGTCTTCAAAAGGTAAGATGCTTATTTTGAATAGGAGGATCACCAAAATGAAGCTTTCTCCTACCCAAAATGCCATTATTTTTCTCTAAAAAGTAAATGCTAGCATATTGTACATCACTAGAAACATCATGTAAGTATGAGTCTTGCACCATTATTTATGAGCACACAAATTCAATTGAAACCATCATCCAAAAGAAAAAAGGCAATAAGAGAGTAAAAGAATAATTCATCAACTCTATGTCACATTTAGAAAAAGATTGAGGGAGAAATAGAGTTGTTGAGGGCATATTAACCAAGATAAAATTTAAAGTTGATATCAATGTATAAGTAATAGAATATTTGAGGATATATTGAAGAAAAAAAGTTATAGAAAATATTTTTCATCATAGAAGTATGAAGAATGAGGTAAAAGATAAACTTAGTAAGTTACTATATTTTAATATGCTTGTACACATCAGCAAATAGTCTAGTCGAGGTGGTGTACTTAAAGTGAACTCAAAAATATATAATGAAAGATATCTTGGGAGTATATAATGTTGGAGGATGTGATGAATCTATCAAAAGATGTTATGTAAGAAGTGTGTGTTGTAGGGAGATTAGTAGTAAAGAATCTGACATATTGCTCTGCAACTTAAGGCCTCTTGAAATCACATTTGATGAATAATAACTATTTTTGTTAATATGTGTGTGAGTTTCTCTTTTTAACAACAATAAAAAAAAAATCTATATTATGCAGTCCCATACATACATTAATTGTTTTTACCATCTTATCCCATAATACTCGTGCATTGTTTATTATTATAATATTCTCATTTACATTACTTTATTTTATTATTTTAATTATATATTATCCTTATAGTCTTCAGTTTGTACATTGTCTACGAGGCTCGCTTAAACCTTTTGTCTTTCTATAAGCAATATTCATTAGTCCCTATAATGCTCAACTATGCCTTTTAGATCAACATTTCTATTGTAATTATCAATTTTTCCTTGCTATAAAAGTTCCTAATGTACATATATTGATATATATCTATATATATAGATATATAGATATGTACAAAATATTTTTCTTACAACCATAAATACAACCATATTTGCAATATGGATTGAAAGTGTCCATGAAAATATATTGTACCAACAATATAATTTTTTGTAATATCTTAGACATTTAGGGGTTGGATGGAACATAATATCTTAGAAAATTAGGGTTTGAATGAAACATAAGATCCTAGATGGTTAGGGGTTGGATGAAAGTTTTTGTATAAATCATTCAACATGAAGTATCTAGCTTTTCTCTAGCATTTGAGCTTCGTCAAGCATCTTTTTTATGACTTGCCAACTTGAGCACTTAAACTTTATGACCCTTGACGATAGAGCATTCCACTTTAATACCTTTTTGGCTCTAATTGAAAAAGATAATGCAGAAATATACTTTTGTGGTTCAGTCAAAGGGAATGAAGTTCACCAACAAATGAAACATGTTCACGTGTCTCACAAGGAATTAGAAGATACTCAAGAAAGTTACATGGAAAAGGAAAAGAGAAGGGTATCAGATTCCTTCTTGTCTTTTCAACACTTTTGCCACCAACTTTCTACTTCTATTATTTGAATGATCTAATTTAAACTTTTTAAAGTTATTTTTATTAAATATATTTATTTACATATACTTATTCAAAATAATTGTTAAGATGTTAATAGGTCAAACTAATGCCACATGCTTCAAAAGCTAAACATGTCATCAAGGAAGGGAGGCATGAGATTTGTAGCTAGAGAGAGAGAGAGAATCATAGATATGAGTCTAAGTTCATGATAGTGATCCATTGATGGGCATAATTAGTCAAGAAGATCACATTGAGTAGACCATCTTGAAATTATAGTGGTATCTTAACAAAAAAGTTACCAAACTTTTTAAAGCATCCTCTATATAAAGGTGGAGGACTTGGAAAGACTGGCAAAGCATTAGGTTGCAAAGATGGTACCTCGCCACCAACAACGTGTTAGGTTCCTTGCCGATAGCCTCCCAACTAAGAGTGAGAGATCAACAACTATAGGTGCATCTACTCATCTATCTTCAACTGAGGTGGTGAAACAAGGCCCTCACTTCCCCAACCTTCAGGCCATATTCATCCAAAGTGTGATCCCTCAAGAAGACTTGTCAAAGACTAACAAGGCAGCAGAAAAGAAGGCCATTGAGGAAGTCCAGAAGAAACCCCCTCATAAGGGAATTGATGAAGAAGCTGAAGAGTTCATCCAACGAAGGAAAAAATTCTTGGAGTTTCAAATGCTTCTATCTACCAAGACAACCTAAGTCAGAAGGATGGTGAAGACTACTATTACTCACCAACTGTTTAGCTTACATATCAATAAATGTACCAAAACCCTACAAACTTGTGCTTGCATGATGTGAATAATTTGCTTTAGTCCATCATGGATTGCTATCTAGCTTTTAGGGTGTTCTAGACTCCATATGCTTGTTTCATGAGATCTTCATGAAAGAATTTCTTCAAGTATGATCCAAGGTAAGAGTCAATTTCTAATTGTGTTTAGATTTCTATTGTACTTAATTAATATGGGTGTACTTACATTTAATTTTTAGATTCACCTTGTGCTTCATAATGGTCAACTTCTATGCTCTTTATTGAGAAAATCTCACAAGTGGTAAGATACTTTACAAACCTACATAGCCATATAACTTTAAAATTCATCGATGGTTGAACTCATGGTTGATTTTTTTAAAACCATGGCTAAATTGGGTAAGAGCCAACATGAAAAACCATAGCCTAAGTAAGAATAGAGCTTTCCCAAAAAATTTAATGAATATCTTCTTTGGGTAGCCTTGATCTTCTTATATGCAAAGGGTAAACTCATCTCTAGTAGACAACTTCATATGATAGATTGCATGTGATAAAAAAAGGTGACCAAAAACAAAATCACCCAAAAAACTCTTTCTCATATTCTTGTTCTGCATCTTCCTTCTTCTCTTTGACATTGATTTTTACCTCTTCATGTCATTAGAGGGCTTGATTATTAATACCCTTCACATCTCTATTATGGCCATGACCCAAAACCAATAGAGAAACCTTATAATACCCTTCATCATGATAACCATGCATCACTTGAACATAAAACCCTATAAATGCTTCTCGAAAATCATTGAAGCCATAGACATAGGGAGAAATGTGATAGTTACTATAAGATCCCAAATATAAACTACTTATTACACCATTGTGAAGCCCACAAGGCTATCTCACAAACACACCCATCTCAACTAATCTCTCTCTCTCTCTCTCTCTCTCTCTCTCTCTCTCTCTCTGCACATATATATACATATATATATATGTATATATATCATAGCTGCATAGTTGACAAGGGTAGGATGTGGAAGTCATTTCATGTGTTGTTCTTCATTTTGGGATGAAGACTAGGCCTTGTACGAGATCCGATCTATAACCTTACATGAGGCTTGATCTGGCCAATTAATATCCTAGTGAACTTTGCATTAACCCCAACGTGACCAACCATAGTGACCCTGAAAATCACGTGATCAGTATGATGCCCACCTAAAGTTCATTTGTTATCTTATTTTTTTTCTTTTTCCTGCAAAACATTGGGCTTGGCTCACCCAGCTAGCCAGCCAGCCAGATATAAGACCGGATGGCAGTAGCCCTTAAACGGGCCTACTAGCCACTGCGACTCGGCCTCCCCAACCTGGCTCGAACCACCCTGGCGCATATTTTCATCGGACTCGGTTTTCTAAACTTCTTCTTGGGCCCATAACCAACCTCTTAGGCCCAGCCCAAATAAGGGTAGGAACATAAATATCCCCATAATAGATAAATAAATAATACTATTTATGAAGTGAGTGGGCTGATGTCGACGGTTATATTCTGGGAACCACCGTTAACTGTCGGGCCGCCGCCAGGACCGCGTCAACGCCTGACAAGTCTCGAGGAAGCGGCGTACGAAGTCACCACCGCCACGTCATCCATCGCATGGCGTCATACCGCATTTGACCCGCCTCGTGAGAATATTTCAATAATTTTGCGCGTTAAACCTTGTTATTGCAAAGTTTTACGTCATCGATAATTTTGAATATCTCTCTCTCTCTCTTCAGGGAAGCGCTGCACGTCTCTTTTTTGGGTTCGATGGAGAGATAGAGAGAGAGAGAGCTTCTGGGAAGGCTATATTCTCTCTCCTCTCTTCAGGAAAGCACTTCACGTTTCTTTATTGGGTTTGGGTAGAGAGAGGGAGAGAGAGGGAGAGAGAGGAGGTCTTCTGGGAAGGCTCTATTCTCTCTCTCTATCTCCTCTCTTCAGGGAAGCACTTCACGTTAGAGAGAGAGAGAGAGAGAGAGAGCCGCACCAGGTAAACCTGGAGGCGGGGAGTAAGCAACCGCGGAGCACAACAGCCCGCAGCGACCGGGATCACCAGTCAACGTCGGAGACGCGTTGGCGTAAGCCGCTGGGCCAGGGACAAGCGAGTTGACCCCGTCGCGGAGAACCGATCCCGGTCTCAATCTACGAGTCCACGGCCCAAAGATTGCGTTTACTTAGCCCTGCAACTTGTCCTCGATAACCGCGCCCGGTCCTGCCATCGTGGTACGACGCGGTCGCGACCGCGAAGCTTTCTAACCCGCGCACTCTGAGGCGGCGCCTCGCCGGACCGTCTCTCTCTCTCTCTCTCTCATGCAGCAGCAAGCCCGTGGTTTGGGGAAAAAAAATCCTGACACAGAGATAGAGAGAGAGAGAGAGAGAGAGAGAGAGAGAGAGAGAGAGTCTCTCTCAAGAAAAAAAATCGTGGGTTTTGGCTAAATTTGCGGTCTTTACGCTTTGAATGTTTCCCTATGTAACGAGCCCCCTTCTCTCTCTCTCTCTCCGTGGAAGAGCGGCGGAGGACGTGAACAGCTTGTGAGGGCAGAGAAGAGGATACCCGCGGGGGCCCCTGCCGCCATTATTTAGTCTCCAGAATAATAGAAACAGCAGGGAGCAGCAGCGGCGGCGGCGGCGTCTCCCCCGGGAAGAAGACGAGCGACGGAGGAGCAGCAGCAGGAAGAGGGCATATTCCGGCCAGCGGCGGCCGCATCGGCCATCCGATCCGGCGGCGCCGCCGCCTTGGTGCCCGGAAAAGGACGCCCTTTCAGTTCCTGCTCATAAAAAAAGGGGCGCAATCGAAGCTAGGAGCCCCCCCGGATTCTCATTCCCCTTCCTTTTTCTTCTCCGAGGAACATCCCCAGGGGATTGGGGAGGAAAAGGGGAGCAGATTCTTGTCTCTATCAGGATGCCTGAGCCCAGTGGGTACTGCAATTCGAAGAAGACCGACGACGTCTGCGATGAAGCCTGCGGCGACGTCTGCGGCGATGTAACTATGCTCTCTGTCTCTCTCTCTCTCTCTATCTCTCTCTCCGTCTTCTTGGGAGAAATATCTGGGCCCGGTAGATCTGCTTCCTTGGATTGTTTCCGGGTTGCTGGGTCTCTTCCCCTCCGATTGGTGGCCGGATTTCTCGCCTGATCTTGGGGAGCCATTAGAGACGATTTCTCCCCGTTCTCTGCGTATTCGGGAGCTGCGAATCCCAATGCCTCCCTGGTTTCTGCTTGCTGGCATTGCGGCTATGGGTTTCTTGCCTTGATCTCGTCTTCTGATTCTGCGGATGTTTGCTTCTGCGCAGAGGTCGTCGAGGAAGGGAGGGATGAACATGACGAGGAGGCTGCGCTGTGTTCTTGGGGGATTCGATCTCCGCGCCATTCTTCTGCTTTTCGTCCTCGTCCCCACCTGCATCTTCGTCATCCATCTCCACGGCCATAAGGTCACTTTCTTCCTCCGCCCGCTCTGGCAGAAGCCCCCGAAGCCCTTCAACCAGATCCCCCACTACCACCACCCCAACGCCTCCATGGCCGAGCTCTGCAAGCTCCACGGGTGGGGCGTCAGAGAGACCCCCAGAAGGGTCTTCGACGCCGTCCTCTTCAACAACGAGCTCGATATCCTCGCCATCCGCTGGAATGAGCTCCTCCCCTACGTCTCGGAGTTCGTCCTCCTCGAGTCCAACTCCACCTTCACCGGCATAAAGAAGCCCCTCTTCTTCGCGCAGAACCGGGGGCGCTTCCAGTTCGTCGGGCCCCGGCTGACCTACGGCACCGTCGCCGGCAGATTCGTGAAGGGCGAGAACCCGTTCGTGGAAGAATCCTACCAGCGGGTGGCGCTGGACCATCTCATCAAGATTGCCGGAATCGCCGACGACGATCTTCTGATCATGTCCGACGCCGACGAGATCCCCAGCGGCCACACCATCAATCTCCTCCGCTGGTGCGATGAAATCCCTGAGAAGCTCCATCTCCAGCTCCGGAACTACCTCTACTCCTTCGAGTTCTTCCTGGACATGGAGAGCTGGAGAGCCTCCGTCCACCGGTACCGCTCCGGCGAGACCAGGTACGTCCATTTCCGGCAGAGCGACGAGCTCCTCGCCGACGCCGGCTGGCACTGCAGCTTCTGCTTCCGCCGCATCAGCGAGTTCGTCTTCAAGATGAAAGCTTACAGCCATGTTGATCGAGTTAAGTTTTCATATTACCTGGACCCTGGAAGGATTCAGAGGATCATCTGCCAGGGCCTGGACCTGTTCGACATGTTCCCCGAGGAGTACACCTTCAGGGAGATCATCAGCAAGCTCGGGCCGATCCCTCGGTCCTTCTCCGCGGTTCATCTCCCTGGTTATCTGATCCAGAACGTCGACAAGTTCAGGTACCTGCTCCCTGGGAACTGCCAGAGGGAAGAAGGGTGAGATGGTCTGGGATTGGCGGCACCGCCGTCTGAAACCTGTGATTATTTATGGTAAAAGCTTGACGTTCTTGCCGATACAGAGGGAGTGCAAGAACAGCATCATCGACTGTGGGAAATGTTGCTTCCTACTCACTTGGAGAGCCGCCATTTGCTCTAGCGTTGACGCCCCCTCCCCGACCCTCCCCCCCCATTGTATCTATCTTCTCCATCCGCTTTCTCTTCTCCGATTGATTATATTGCCGAATTATTTTCATGGGCTTGTGCCGTCGCATGCTCTGCAAGATGGGTTGCTCTTTCTTCCATCAAATCTTCTCCATAATATGTATCTATATTTATATAGATAGGTTCAGTGATTTTTCAGAGGGTACTCGGTCTGATCCTGCATGGCTGTCGTTGACCATGAATAGAAGTCGTTTGAGATGAGAGATTGCTTCAAGTGGGTCGATCTCATAATATGGTTCTGGTCAACCCCAATCGCATGGATTAGTTCAATCAAGATGGAAATAATCCAAGACAGAGCACGAAGATCGCGTAAAGATGGAAATAATCGCAACTTTTCAGATGGTTACAGTTTGATATGAAGATTGGGGTCAACACCCCCCCCCCCCCCCCCCCATGGAGATAATCTGAGATCGGAGATCGCGTCTGGCGGGAGTCATCCCCCCATTTGATTTTGGTCAACACTTGTAGAAATTAACCAAGATTTTATACTCGTTGACCACAAATGGAACAACCCGGAATATCGGGTATCTCCACCCTACCCTAAGAAATATCAAATACCCGTAAACGCCGGAGCACGAAGAACAACGCTGCGGCGGTCCTCCAGTGGAGGACAGGAGGGGGGATGGGTGACACGCTTCTTTTTCTGTTTTTGTAAGCTTGACAGCTGTAAAAGTCAACGCGCCAAGAAACGCCAGCTAGGTATCCTCTCTCTCTCTCTCTCATCTCTTCATTCGTTCATATAATCTATCTGGTGTCTGGCCGTTAGCCATGTTCCTATCACCTTCTGGGTGACGCCCGGAAGGGAGGAGGAAGCGTATAACACTTGGAGCCAGCTTACGCATTCCTATTTAAAAAATAATCACAGTAATTTAAATGTATTATTAGGCCAGTTGGGTGGGTTTCCAAAGGATCAGTTGACCTCAATTACCTTCGAATTGATTATAAAACCAGAAGCTGAAGCTCGCTCCAATGCTGTTGACATACAGTCTGGTTTGATGTCTGAATTATCCAAAGTCAATCGTTGATTGATGGATTTGACCCCGAGTAATTCTCCCAAAATGAGCCGTTGAAAGTACGCCCAGATTTCTGTATTCCCTAAAATCAATCGTTGACTGATGGGTTTGATCCCCAGTAATTCTCCCAAAATGAACCGTTGAAAGTTCGCCCAGATGCCGTTGTCATACATTCTGGTTTGATGTCTTAATTCCCCAAAGTCAATCGTTGATCGATGAGTTTGATCCCCAGTAATTCTCCCAAAATGAGCCGTTGAAAGTTCTCCCAGATGCGGTTGACTTACAGTCTGGTTTGATGTCTGGATTCCCCAAAGTCAATCGTTGACTGATGGATTTGATCCCCAGTAATTCTCCCAAATGCCCTAAATTTGTCTGAGAAATCGAATGAACCATATGTGGTCCTAGTTACCTCTTTTGGGGGATGCTGACTCAAGGAAGCGAGAGCGAGCGAGCGAGAGAGAGAGAGAGAGAGAGGGAGAGAGAACTTCTTGAATTCTATAGCTTGGAGGGCAAGAAAGAAAGGTTCTGGCAATGTCGGAGGGTATCCGAGGCTGAAAACGTTTGACGATAATACCCTCAGGACGAGGCACGTGGCATGATCTCTTGAGATGTCAGGTGGCTTCCGACCAGAGGCGGAAGCGCCGCCAGGGAGTTACGCTGACCAGGTGGGGTCCCGAGCCTCCAGGCTCGGATGAATGTTCCATCAAAACGCCATCGGCTCCGGAGATCACGGAGGCTCGGGTGAAGACCAGCTCGGCTTCGGGTATCCGAGGCTACTCAAACGGCCTCCGAAGCTGTGTACTGTCTCGTTTCCCGCGCAAGGATTACTTCGCAAGGTAGAGAAGGCCGGCTCTGCTCACTCTCCTTCTTCTTATTACTGCTGCTGGTGGCCGTGGTCGGGGTGGAGATCATTCGTTCGGATCTTTTCCATTCGCCGGAGGGAAAATGGCCAAGTATGTGCAGTAAACCGATCATTATCGACGCCTTTGTTAGCAGTCAGGGTGATAGTAACGCGGAGAACGATCGCCTCCTCTCGGAATTCTGGTTTCAGGCGCCGTGGTTCTGGTTTCGTTTTATTTGTAGCTCTACTAGTAGACGATAATCTCGCTGTAGAGCGGAGATTTCACGTGCGCGACTGAGCTTTCCGTCGTCCTCACTGCACCCGCTTTACCGTAGATGGTGGAAATATTATTCACTGGACGTGACGGGTTTGAGATGGCGGGGCTTGTAAGTTTGTGAGGCGAGATCGCTGAAACTGTACTGTCACTGTTTGTGAGGAAGTCGAGTATCGTTTTCTCTGTGACATCTTCTCTGCTGCCACAATGCTGTGAGGGTGCGACTGAATGCCCTTTGGGGATTCATAGCTTCGAGGCCCTTTAGCTTTTCACTGCGTCAACGCCACACCCCTCATTGTTATCTTTATGAAACTGACTTGGTGTTACATGGGAATATCGGATGGTATTGGTTGAGGTGCATTGTTTAGATGATTACCCTTTGTTTATGAGAAGGGAACCCTGTAATTCTGAAGTAGACCAGTGCGTCTCTCAGCACTGCGATCTTAGCTCTCTCTCCGAGAGATATTCGTCCATTTAAGTTTCTGTTTCTCCCAATGCTCTTAAGCTTGGAGAAACTTGATTTGTCAGCGTTGCGTGTCAACATCTTTCAGTAGGTCGAGTTGTTGTTCTTCTGGGTCAGATATGCTCTTACCCCTGGTTCAGTCCCAATAGATAGGTGCTTTATATCGGAGGTGGTAGATCCTTTCTTAGTTTTCCCTTTTTCATGGCCATACTGTGCTAGTTATATGGATCGTTTATGGAAGTTGGAGCCTGATGTACGGACCAACAGTCGAGTGTGATATTGCATGATATTGGATCACATGGATTCGTGGAGCTTTAGTTGTAGTGGATGAGGCTTCCAGAATATTGATGGAAGAGTAACTTCGGGATCATGTTGGGTAATTGATGAGAAACTATTTCTTCACTATTTCAGAAGTGAAGAAACATCAAATGCAGAGCGATATGGAAGTTGTTGTGCCACGCTGCTTCTTATATTAGTTAATGAAAATAGTTTCTAAAAGCTTCATTCACATTTAAACTAGCTTGATAAGAACTTGATTCACCTTAATTAGTCGCATCAAAATCGACTTTTAAGAGCTGTTTCTTTTTATTATTTTATTAATCAGTTATCCATTTGCTCGTCCTGAGCTTTCTTATGGTTGAACCTGCGCGTAATATTGACCTTCCGTGGGAATTTCATGTGATGATTACTTGCATAGAATACCATTTGGAAGAGCCATTTTCGTTGGGTGTTTCTTTCCCTTTAATTTTCGTACTGAATGTAGAGATTATCGGCTGGCTTAATCAGTTCTAAGTGCGAATGTCGGATTTAGAGGAGTTTTAATCATTAGATGCATTGTAGATCACCAGACTCGATGATAACTCTTAAAATAATTTGGAGAAATTTCAGGCTTTTAATGAACTATCCCGTGATCTCCTTGGATATTTGTCTTTTAGTGTCCAGTGTCATTCATCTTGGATCAGATACAAAGCGAGATCCTTAACATCGCCCATTCCTATGTGTGGATGCCTTTTATTGGTCCGTAGATCATGACCTTTACTCAAGCTTATCCATTGAGGCTCTAGGCCCGCCTTTCAACAACACCACTCTTTAAGGAGCAATGGTGGTTTTGGTGACAGAAGTGTGATGGAGGAAACGAACTGGGCATTAGGAATATCTTTTGAGATCTATCTTGGCTCTCAGCAAGATATGTTGGATCCTATCTCGACAGACAGCAATGTTGCTCTTAATGTGTTGCTTTAAACTTTTAACTGAAAATTTGCATGGCCTATATGCTTGGCTTCTTTCCAATAATATTCCTGGTTTTCGCTTTTGGAGGGTGATTTCCTTCAGATCACCCTGAAACTTTGATTATCATCCCTATCATCCCTATCATCCCTGACAGGATAATGAACAACATCCTTGGTGGCAGGAAGGTAAAATTTTGCTTTTGGATACTTTAAATAATCATGAACATGATGATACCAACATGTGGGCAAACAAATGGTTACTGTTTGAGACAATTATAATGTGTCTTTTCGGAACCCATGGCATCATTACCATCTTGCACAACATAGCTGACATCAGCTATCACCTGTCAGTTATTTTTCACAAAATTCCATGAATTGTTGTCATTGTTTTCTACGCCTTTGGAAAGAGTACAATGAACCTATCATATTATAGTGGAAAGTGTTGTAACAATTGGAATGAGGTAAGGGAGGAACTTGTGAGTGTAGAAGTCCTTTTATGATTGAAGATCAATGATAATTTTCAACTTAATTTGATGTAATGTGTCAATACATTTGTTTCTAAATTACTGTTTTGTTTTCTGGTGTAATCTAATGAACTGCTGATTTGTTTAGTTTATCGAAATGTCTGTTCTCTTATGTAGGTGTCTGTTTAATTCTGCTTTGCTCATGTTGAAAGTGAAGATATAATTATTTTTAAAAGTTCATTTTGCAAACAATTCAAAGATTTACATATGATAACTTTGCAAGCTGCGTTTTGTAGGGCATGGCTAATTAACAGTCGGGGGCTTGCCAAGAAAGTGAAGAATGCTACTGTATTTTCTAAATGTGCAATCAAAGATTTAGGGACCCAAGCTATTCGTGAATGCCCAAAGTGTAAACATCGTGTTGATAACAGTGATGTAAGTTCAGAATATCTTTTTTAGTTTTATTGCTCTCTCTTATTGCTTTTCAAATTTATTAGGTGGTGAAAATGCATAGTCCCTCTGTATTATCTTAATGTTTCTTGTTTTAATTCAGAATTAAAATCAGGGTTGTGTTATATTCTTCCATTTAACGGATTACCTATGGGTACTACAGTTCCAAAATCATAGAATTGAGTGAAAAATTGCTTGATATTTGATTTACTGGCTAAATCGTCGCTGAATTGTATTTTTTTAAGTTTAGCTCTGCCTAAATGTATCGTGTAACTTTAAGCCTCTGTGTCTTTGTTATAATGCTTATAACACTTAAAAATATTTTAACCCTTGGACGTTAACCCTTTGTTAGAATGATAATCGGAAAGCAGCCATTGTTCTTTGGACAAGTAGTATCTAATGTTCATGTGAATTCAATTTATTAAATTGATGAAAATGACAAAGTCCGATCTGACTCGGGAAATGGGACTGAAAAAGGAGCTGGGTGCCTGCTGTTTGTGCAGTACGAGTAAACTTTGTCCAATTTGCTTTAGTGATTATTTTACATGCTTGTTGTTGGCTATTGGTTTGCTGTCTGTTAACTTGTTAGATACTGCTGAAATACAATTAATCTTTCTAGTCAAAGGGGGAGGGTTGTGTTCAGTTTATGGGATTAAAACGGCTTTGCAAGTGGTAGAATGTACCAACTTGTTGCATATGTTACTCATTGCATAATTTCCAGGAAAGCATCAATAGTGGTGTATGGTGTAGTAAGGCATGTGTATGCTATCTACATAATCTATCACTGAACCTACATACGTTGTTTCTAATGAGATTTCTCATTCCAGAACATCTGGCAGATGTAGATAAAAACCAGACGATGACATAAGTTGAAGGTACCTTGCTATTAGGAACAATTTAGAAATTGTAGAGGATATTTTGAGCAATTGATGTCCTTTCGGTGAGGATATGCGATGCTGGCCATTTTTCTTTTTCTTTTCAGTAATGTAAATAACATTATATCACTTTTTAGAAAAATATGAGATTCCTATGTCTCACTAAGAGGATGTGATCAATTCTGTCCGAATCTTTGCTGGTACGGTTATTTTTTTGAAACCAAATTCAGAATTTTATTTCATCCTTGTAGAATAGCAACGTTCTCCTACCGAAAAAATGTCCCAAGCTCCTTTGTTTCCCAATGCATATTTTCCTCCAGATTCTGGAGACTGAAGCCTGATGAACCGATTCTTGGTTTTTATGAATCTGGTGGAGCATGCATATTTCTTAATTTGTATCTGCTGATCCGGAATTTCATCATGCCGTCTCTTCCTCACTGCTATTCTCAGTAGATGCCTTCTTTTCCATTCCCCCTTTCAACATCTAATGATCAAAAAAATTCCTTACAGACAACTGAGGAACCCATGTTTCACTCTGCACCAAAATAGTAGTTGTGGATGATTCTTCTAATGGCAACATGAATGTGAAAATACTAGTCTCATCATATGGGAGATCTGGAGGCATTTAGAAATGAACCAGTTTTTTCTCCATTGGTCATTGCTATTGTTTTAGCACGTGTTCTACAATACAACACGAGTTGCAATGAAGATAGTTTATGTAGGGACTGCATTCCTAGGATTTAATTCCCCTCTTGGGCAAAAGTTTTAGAACGTGCCTCGTCCTCTATGAAAGAGGAACCGTAATGTCATCAGATTCACGTGGTGATCACCAGCGGGAAATGATAAAATGTGTCACGATTGTGTTCTATTCGTTTCTCACCCTTTGTTTTTGTCTCCTGGTGAAGAAATCATTCATTAATCTGTTAGTTCGTGGTCGTCTACCAAAATTAAGGCAGACTTGTTAACCTTCTATGAACTTTTCGTAAGTCTGTGAGACCAGCTGCCCTGAACTGGTCAACCTCTGATAGGCGCTGACTTTTTTGCACAGGTCTCTCTTGAATGGCCTGGGCTGCCAGCAGGTGTGAAGTTTGATCCCTCGGATTTAGAGCTTGTAGAACACTTGGCTGGAAAAGTTGGTCACGGAAATTCCAAGGCCCATGTGTTTATTGACGAATTCATTCCAACGCTTGAAGAGGATGAAGGGATTTGCTATACACATCCTGAAAACCTTCCTGGTGAGGGAGCTTTCAGATTCCAGAGGGTTTCTTTCTTTCTTTCTCCCCTGCATGCACAGGTTCTTATACTCATGCTGCTTGCCTCGAAGCTTTTCAGGGGTGAAGAAGGATGGAAGTAGCGCTCATTTCTTCCACAGGACATCAAATGCGTACTCGACTGGTCACCGGAAGCGGCGCAAGATCCAAAATAGGTTTAATTTATCTGACGATCATGTTAGGTGGCATAAAACTGGAAAGACCAGGCCCGTCATGGAGAATGGCGTTCAGAGAGGGCTCAAGAAGATAATGGTTCTCTATAAAAGCTCTAAGAAGGGGTTTAAGCCGGTTAAAACCAGCTGGGTCATGCACCAGTACCATCTTGGGACTGAAGAGGATGAAAGGGAAGGTGAATTGGTGGTTTCAAAGATTTTCTTCCAATCCCAGGTGAAGCAAACAGAGGAGATCGCCGTGGATGCGGCAGCGCAGGATGACCTTGAGAAGCTGACAGCTGCTGTTTCTCCAAGGACTCCCAAGACAAGCACTCCATATCCGCCCCGGGCGGCCAAAAAATGCAGATATGATGAGGGTGATGAAGATAACATCGAGGTTTCTGCCAAACAGGTAACTTTTCATTGATTTCTTCATATACATTAATCCAACTATTCATGTAGACAGTGTTGGGTTCTTAGAGATCAAAACCCACTTTTTTTTTCACCTTCTGATAGTTCAGCTCATTCATCATTCAACATCCATCCCTTTATGATCCTTCTGAGATCTGACGGTCCAATGTTTCGAGTTGACCTTTAGTTGTCTTACGATTCTGTCCAGTAACCGAACAAAAATAACAAAATTATTTAATTTTACTTTTCTTGACTCAATCAAACATGGACTTAATTCCACAGGGATAATAAACATTTGATTTACCTTTCTGGTAGAATTTCTATGCTTAGTGTGTGACTCGTTGACTTGGTTTTTCTTTAGAGTTAAGATAAAAAAAAAAATAGACTGACTCTTGCTATGAACTAGTACCCATAGAAACTCATAACTATAGAAACTACTAACCAACTTATGAGGTATTGATCATATAGTTGTAGCAACTGGAAAATTTTCCATAGAAATAAATGGGATTCCGGGTTTGAATAAATGGGTTTTTATTTCTGAAAAACACCGATCTAGCTATGATAATTTTGCGAAAAAACATAACATAACATAACCAGTTCTTATTTCCCCAGCCCCCAGCTCGCTGGGTATGCATTGGAAGAACATGTTTCTTCTTCTGGTACAAATAGATGGCTGATTGCTGTTGATTCTTGGTGAACTGGACAGGGCAAGATGTTGGAGGAATCTCATCCACCTTTCTCCAATGCAAACACAGTCAGCGCCCCTGCAGTGTTGGCAGGCGAATCCCAGGTCGCCGAAAACCTGGATTCAGACGATTTGGTTATCTCATTGATCTGTGATGAAGTACTGGACCCGCTCTTCCCCCCTGAAGAACCAGGAGGACGGAGGAGCCATCCCCCCTGTTCTTGGAACGAGGCCCTCCTTGGAAGGGACAACTGGCTTTCAGATTTCCCCGATCTTGAGAGCATAGACACCAGCACGCCCCCAGACTTCAATCTCGCTGTAAGGGATCTCACTCAACGATTGCACGGTTTTTTCTCTCTCTCTTTCTCCTTCTCTCTCCCCTTCTCAGTCTGAAAACCCTAATCGATTCCTGTTTCTGAAAATAAAATAAAATAAAATAAAATAAATCTGCAGGATCTGCAATTCGGTTCCCAGGACAGTTTCATGAGTTGGCTTGACTGGATATGAGGCCTTGGCTGGACTGCAATTCGGGCCTTTCTTTTGTCTTGCCATGAGCAGTGGTGAGTGAATCTCTCAGGGATCTTCCGCTCAGACCCATCCCCATGTTCTTCAAGAATTCCGTCTCCTTCAACCCCGGGATCTTCGAAGACTTTTTGTCAACATGCAGCCTGCTTGCAGCTCCTGTGGAAGCTGCCTGGTGGATGAATGACTCAAGGGAGTTGATGGATGGGTGGACGATGAATATGCACATCTATAAATAGAAACCCTAAATCTGGTGATTGTTCATGCTGTTCTTCCAAAAAGTCGCCTCCTTTTTGTTATCAGAGCCTCTGCAATGATCAAGTTCTTTCTTTCTTTTTTTTTGTGCTCATCCCATGCTTGTGCTGCCGTCAATGCCATGGATTTTCCATGGCTGAGCTTGCTTTGGGGGTACTGCTCTCACTTTTGATGTCGGCCAGTAGCTTTGCTCTCCTGCCGGCCAGCCTCCAAGGTGGCTCTTATGATTGACCTTCTGCTCCGAAGTCAACTCTCACCCTCACCCTCCTGAGGATGATGAGTTGGTTCCTGACACTAGCATTGGTCAACGGCGTATACCATTGGCTGAAAGTCAGCTCTCCTTGGGGGAATCAATGGGTGGATGGTTAACTGATGAACGTAAGAAGTAGGCCAGTAGTTTTGATATCCTGTCAGCCTTCAAGGCGGCTCTTGTGATTGACCTACTACGAAGTAAAACCCTCCTGGGAATCAAGAGTGTTCCTCCTTGACACCAGCGTGGGTCAAAGGGGGTATACTATCGACTAGATGACTAATAAACTCGCCACCAGGGCCGCTAGTCAGCTCTCTTCTTCCTTAAAAATCTGGAGTAACAAGCCAACAAAAACAGCCGACTTTCAGCCTTTGCCACACCTAGAACTTGCTCTCTCCCTCTCTCTCTCTCTCTCTCTCTCTCTCTCTCTCTCTCTTCCTTCCCCTCGCTGACTTCCATTGGAGATTTGAGCTCTCATTCGTAGCTACGACCGATAATCAGTCGGATGGAGGGGAATGGCAACACAATGGAGAACGCAATGGAATGAAATGAATGGCAAACGCAACAAGGAACTTATGAAAATAATCATCAGACCAACCAAATACATACAGATTCAAGAAACCCGTGACTGGAAATGCCCATTATTAGAAATCAGCCCAGCTCCCATCGGGTCGATTAGAGCATGAAAAGATTCTCAACCATGAGAGAGATTTACAGAGGGAATCAGTTCAGGCAAAGCCTGCGGGACATTGTGCGAGGAAGGGATCTCAGTAGAGCTTTATCCTCGTTGCGATCTCGCTGCGGCAGATGGGACATGTCTGAAGACTCTTCCCGCACTCACAGCACGTCTGCAGGTAGACGATGACGGATCCATCAGCAGGGGACTCGCTAGGGCAAGGAAAGGCAAAGAGGAAGAGAGGGGGGGGGGAGGCTCCTCTCGGACGTTACCTGGTGACCGCAGCCGAATGCCATATCCTTTGGGTTCGTCAGACAAATGGGGCAGACCTGTGCGTCCCACAAGAACAGACAAATCATGAAGGTACGAATGTATATATAGGCCACAAAAGTGGGATTTTTGAATAACCCATCAAAGAACGAGGGATGAATGATCAAGCATCTTAAACGTTGCACACCTTCACGTGATTTTCTTCCCATAAAACGGGAGTTTTTGTGGTTATTGCAAGAAATAAGAATTTTATAAACCTACCCATGCATGGATGATGAATTAATAATTTTCACATGATTATGACAAGAGATAATAATTTTATAATCCCATCTAAAATCATTGCATTTTTCTCATGATTATCGCAAGAAATAAGAATTTTATAAACCTATCCATGCATGAATGACGAATGATAAGCCATAATTAAGATTGGATCTTTACATGATTGTCCCATGAAGCACTTAAAGGAGGAGCAGAGCTTGGCGCAGGAGCATCAAATGCGGGATATAACGGTGCACTCTGTTTGACACTGGTTGACTGAGAAGGTTTTGCGCGGTCGGAGGTCACACCATAGCCTCCAGTGGGTGGGGGGAGCGAAACCCTAGCTGGAGATTTCCCAGTTGGATGTCTGAGGCAGAAAGATACAAGCAGTGCTCATGAGAAAACCCGAGATATAATCAACGAAAAAATATAGAAAAAAAAAAAATGATTTTACCCCAAGATTCCAAGTTCCAACGTGGCTTTGTACTGTGAAGGGATCTCCATTAGCGCTGAAAGAGCAAACTCTGTCTCCTTTCTGGACTGGGACACTCTCTTTGACATGATCTCTGTGAAGTTCACAAACTGAACGGGGAAATCATCTGTTTAGTCACCTTATAAGGAGAAGGAGCACAAAATGGCATGCTAAGGCTTGAAATAAATGCTCAGAATTATATTCCATATGTTACCTGAAAATTGTCAAAGGTTCTAGCTGGGATATTATCATCGAACTCCTTCATCATGTCCCAGGGGCCATCTCCAACGCCAACTAAGATAATTGACAGAGGAAACTCACTGCAATGATGAAAAAACCTTTTTTGAGGATAATGATTGAGGATAGATTACCACCAAAAATTAGTTTGTAAATGTATAACATTAAAAAACTTAAAACTGGGCATTCATTGAGCATCCCTATAGTTTGTCGAATCGATCAATTATGATCGAGAAACTAGCCAATCAATGTCCCCAGTCCAAAGGGAAGAACCCTATCTTGCTAGTTGTCCTCATTCACAATACGATTGCAATTGCGTTCTTTCGTATTGGGTGTTTATATGTTTTCAAATTGTCCTTTCGTTTTGGGTTGATTTTGGATTGTTTTTCTCCTCGAACCAGCTAACATGCCTGATCCAAGCTGCTTCTACCTCCGTTGCTCACACTCTCCATTCTTCATCAACCAGACTCCCTGATTCTCCAAACCCCCACACCTGCCCCTTTCCATAGTTAACCACTATACCACCAAGAGAGAGAACCTGATTCATCATACCTGGCTTTTACAATAGCCTCTACGGTGTTCTGCTCCTGGAGACTTAGTTGACCAGCCAGAGTATCTACACTTCTTGTAACCTGCGAACATCAATGCGAAAGGTAAGAAAAATAAAAGTACAGAGGAAAGCTAACAGGTAACGAACGTTATAATTGAACACATTCGCATCACAACATTGTGCCCTCTCTCTCTCTCTCTCTCTCTCTCTCTATCAGAGTAAGCCTGAAGCTTGCCGACCAGATGAGTCATTGTCTTGCTGGAAGGATCAGACAATCAAGAGGTCTAATTGACTTCGAGATGTGACAAAAAAATTCAAAATCAAAGGAAAAGAGAATAAGATGCAACTCATATTGAAGTTCATTGAAGCACATAAAGGAGGATTGACTGATGTACGTGTTAAGAAAACTCCAAAGAGTTTATTGAGAAAAGTTAAAAAGACACAGCACAATATCCCTGCACCATCTTTCTAATGGCTCCCCCTCCTTCAAACATCTAATGTACTGATGTTGAGAAAGTGAAACCCCTTAGTTGCCAACAGGTTTTGAAGTGAACGCCCCAATAATTTTACATGATATCAGAGTTTTACGTTTCTGCACACCATATTTCTATTCATCATGTGACAAAGCACAAATGATTAGGGTTACACATGGGGGGAGTGTGGAAGTAATCCCACATTAGACAAGTGAGCTAAAATCCTATAGTTTGATAAGATAAGCTATTCTGCTCATTCCCCATTGATTGCGTCAGAACTAGACCAACATTGGGCGATATTATTCATTCACACTATTCACTATTCTCATTCTATATCATTAGATGGATTCTATATCATTAGATGAACCTTGTATGAGGATCAGATGTTTCACTCTTTTCACCCTTGTAGATGGCATTCCCGAGATGGCTGTCAACTTACCACCACCCATGCCCAACCTAATTCCTCAAAAACCTCCAGTGTGTTATAAATTAGAATAGAACCATAACAGAAATTGTCGCAGATGAGATGAAGTACCTGTCCATCAGCGATTATCAACAAAACATGATACTGCCCACCACTCTGTTCCACAATTGTCATAGCCATCTCAATTATTGGAGCAAACGATGTTGGCCCTGAAATTGAAAAAGATGAATTTAATAAAAAAACTACAATCCCATGTGCTCGACATAATCAAGAGATATATGTAACTACCAGCCAACCGCAACTGGGGTGCTATCTCCCTGTACCGCGACAGAGCCTCCTCAAAGCCATTACAAGGCCTGTCATCCGGGTAGAAGCTAAAAACGTCCTGATCATGCGTTGATGCTGCCAAAAGGGCAAAATAAGGAAGTAAATAGCCGTTTCCAAATTTGATGATCATGAAGGAAAGATGTGAGGGATCAGAGATTCCTACCATCACCAAACCCAAAGCATGGAATGTAATTATCCTCATCAAAAGCGGACAAGGTTCGTCCGATGATTGATATTGCATGCTCATATGGATTCTGAACGTCTCCAATGCGATGTAAGCTTTGACGGTTGAACGAAATCTTACCTGCAGACAGAATAAAATCAGCGCATATTTCTTTATGCAAGAATCCATCACATAATAACCACATAATTTGAGAGTACAAACCCACCCGTCCACTCGTTGCTCTTTGTAAAGTCCACACCGACAATGAGATTTGAAGACTCAAGCCCAGCCCTCGCCAGCGCCTCGGTCACCTATAAACGAAAATAGAAGCCAACATTTTCAAGAGCCAAAAAGGCCAACACAGTTCACCAAGAGATGAGATCAACAAACAATCATCAAAATACGGTAGAGTACAGATGCAGCAGTGACCACCCGAACACAAGCCCAGCTCCTCATGTCTCAAGAGCTATGGATAAGGGCTATTCGCTTTTCTTAGAGGAAAAGAAACATCCATGTACTCGCAGTACATCAAGATCCCAACCAGTTTAAATTAAATTATATTCATGAAGAAATGGCAAACAAAAATAGCAAATAAAAGAATATTCCTGTCCATAAATCAATATCGAACCTTTATGATTATCATCCACACAACAGTTCTACGAATAGACTTTAAATGATATCTACGTGGTTGTTTCACTTTTTTAGAAACAGATTTTATTCATAACGCTCATTCATTTCTTATGGTAGTAGCATCAAGAATGACAGAATAGGACATGAAACTACTTCATCAGAAATTCACAGCTATCAGCTTTCATGTATCTCAGGCTAGCTCCAGCATATGTCAGATGTATAGTTCTTTTGACACTCTGAGCCTTAAAGAAAATCAGACTAATTGGCGAAGTCTATATACCAGGGTTAAATAGACTTCACAAGCAAACTGATTAGAATACCTGCAGAGCAGAGACTGATTTGACGCCAGAGGTGAGAGGGAGAGCAGGGGGGCCCACTAATTACAAACTAGGAAAACACTGACTTTTTAAAAGGGGCCCCACACCTTTGAAGAGGGATACCGACTTTTGAAGAACCATACAAACTTGAGAGAACTTTGGGGCGACTGCTTTTAGACACTTGGAAGGGATGAGTGGTAACACAACCTTGAAGGAAACATTTTAAATAACAGAACGATTCCGTTTTTCTGGATATCATCCACATGGGACTAGAAGGAGGCCATTCATTTCCTATGCAGCACTATTGATCCTTTCAACTCATAAATATTGTACAAAGAGAAAGATGATTCCTGCGAGAAGTTAAATGTCCAACTTCTACTGCTGAACCGATTGATACACAAGGGGAAACAGATGATGACGGTAGATGTCTGAGACTTTGTATCATGGTTACCAGGAAGGTTTCAAGGAATAAGATAATGGTTCATAAATAAAACAAATCCTTCATTATAAATCCTATTAGTTAGTTTCAATCGGATATCCTCAGCTTCAAGTATAAGAGCTCAATTTGCCGATTTCTTAGATCACACAAGTAAATGAGAGAGCCTCGACATAATCTGTTGCCAAAGGAATTTTCATCTCGATCTCACATAAAATCCCATATAAATTTTTTTCAACGGAAATTTTTCTCGTAGAGAAAACTTCTATTATGCCCACAGAAATTGAGCACATAATATTTCAACATTAGGTAAATTTCCTTCACATACCCTTCGTCTCCCTCATGGTACGTACCTCTTCCAGGGAGTTGTAGTCATCAGCAATCCTCGAATACTTCCTATCCAGCCTGCGTCTAGGCTGAGGTTGATGAACTGGGTAGCTTGTTGTAGGCGCGGAGTATGGCACTCCATAACCCTCATGCTGAGCCTGAGATGACCGTTCAGCGGGTTCATATGGAGGAGCAGGCCATGATGGACGATCCTGTGGATATCCCCTACCGCCAACACTGCTGTAAGATGGGAAAAAGTTGGACCCGGAGGACCTCCTGCCAGAATCCTCCCGGGAGCTCTTCCCTCCCATCAACCCGAGAAATCTGAAAATATCCTTCAAGAACACCAAGAGAGAGCAGACCAGCACAATCCACAGCACGCCCACCTGGTAACAACGATGACCGGCACCAGAGGTCGAAGAAGATTACGGGATGAAGCAGCGGCAATGGATCCCGATTAAACTACTTTTACCATGAGATTATAAACAGACGGTGTAGGTATTCATGCGGAGCCCTTCAGGAGCCCTTGTTCGTCGGCGTCAAGGAATGAAGCTTTGACTTCGCTAGAGTCCGTGGAAGGGAAACTTAAGGAGGAGGGGAAACCCCCGACACGCTTGAATAGGTACGAAGATGGCGGCGACGAGGTGAATTTGTACTTGCCAACTCCGGATCAAGACGGCGGGAAAACGCGGCGACGACAAGACTGAAGAACCGCCTGGAGAAGAATCTTCTCAGATGTCATGAGCTTCTCCTGAATGTGAAATCCAGACACGTTGACGGTATGATGTTTCTCCCTTCTGAAAGAAGGAAAGAGACCAAGAAAGGAGGGAAAATTCGATTAAAAAACGTAAAATATACTCGATCGAAAATGTGCTGACTTTCTGATGTGACGTCTAGATAAGGTGAACCCTCTTTCCTGATTTCGTGAGCGAGAATATAAAAGTTTGAGCAATGACGTAATTGATGGATATTGGGTCCGTCACCTCGGCAAAACCATGGAAGATGTAGGACTTAATCCACGGAAGACCAAAAACGATCTCAAAGCGCATGAAATGATTCTCAAGGAAACATGATTTTTCTGTGTGATTGAAAGCTCGTAGAAAAACGGAGATTCATCGCTAAATCCACCCACTTGTTCAACGTTTTTTTTTTGCAGGCGAAGGAGGACGAAACTCCCCCCCTTCCCACGGATCTGGGCCTCCCTGCTCAGAAAAAAGCCGGCGGCGGGAGATGAAAAGGAAGAAGACGGAACGACAGAGGGTGAAGCAAGCAAGAGACGGCTCCAGTAGGGTTCTGGCCGATGCCTTCCTCGAGCACCTACCTTGACGAAATCTCCGATTCAAGCTCCATGCGCCTGTGAAGCTCCGCTGGAATCCATCCCCCACGGCGGAAAAAAAGTTGGAGCTTTCCAATCCCTTTTACCCCGCCGCGGTCGTTTGCTGCTTCGCCGGAAGGCGACAATGAGGGAAGGGAAGGGAAGGGAATTGACCCGCTGTCGGTCGTCAAAAGAGAGGACTTGACAGAGGACGAAATCCTCACTCCGCCTCGCCTATACAAGAAATAGCCGAACTCCCCCCCGCCCCCTCTGTACTCCAGCCAGCGGTAGCACTACTTGAGAGAGAGAGAGAGAGAGAGAGAGAGAGAGAGAGAGAAAGGGGGGCTGGATTTCATGGGGGCCACTCCAAGAGCCCCCCTTCACGACGCTCCTAACCTGGCCCGAGCCCTGTGCCTGCCTGGAACGTCTGTATCTGTCTGTCTATCTCTCTCTCTCTCTCTCTCTCTCTCTCTCTCTCTCTCTCTCTCTCTCTCTCCCTCCCTCCCTCTCTCTCTCTCTCTCTCTCTCTCTCTCTCTCTCTCTCTCTCTCTCTCTCCCTCACTCTCCTCTCCCTCTCCCTCTCCTCTCCCTCTCTCTCTCCCTCTCTCCCTCTCTCTCCCTCCCTCCTCTCTCTCTCTCTCTCTCTCTCTCTCTCTCTCTCTCTCTCCTCTCTCTCTCTCTCTCTCTCTCTCTCTCTCTCTCTCTCTCCCTCTCTCTCTCTCCCTCTCTCTCTCTCCCTCTCTCTCTCTCTCTCTCTCCCTTATAGAAAATGAGATGCTCGACAAAATAGGAAGAACTGAGGGTCCTGGTATAGAAAGAGGGATTTTTTCTGGGCTCGGGCTGGACGAAGGTCTGCATAAGCAACGCCCAGGGCCCGGATCAGTCTTGGCTCCACCTGAGGGCCATTGAACTTCACATTCGGTCCATTAAATACCGGGCCGGGCCATTGCGTTAAAGCGGCCCTAACACGAGGGCCATTGGACCAAGAAGTAATTTTCACTACCTTGATGATAATGATGATAATGATGAGCATGGGGACGGCCCCTTCTATTGTGCCCTTTATCATGTTAGCTATGTCCAACATACGATAAGATTAATACTAAGATTATATACACCATAATACTCCAAGCTCTTTATTCCTTCACTCAACTCTATTTATGGTAGTTGCCCACATCCAAAAAAGTTTAAACCTTTTAGAGGGAGAAGCAGGTGCCCTTTTGAGGGTATTTTTAGGGGATAGAGAGAGAGAGAGAGAACGGTTCTTCACCAAACTCTCAGATGGTCACTCTCTTGATGATGATGATGATGATGATGATGATGAGTATGGGGAAACATAACATGAAACACTTTCAACTCTATTTTTGGCAGTTGCCCACATCCAAAAGTTTTAAGCTTTTAGAGGGAGAAGCAGGTGCCCTCTTGAGGGTATTTCTAGGAGATAGAGACTATACGTATATATGAACTAACCTTCACGAAACTCTCAAGTTCTCCGCTGATGGTCACTCTCATGCAGACTGAGAGCGTAACTGGTTCTAACCCTAATCCTCTTCCTGTCTTCTCTTCTCCTACCTCCCCCTTTGATCCATTTGGCTCCCTAAAACCGAATGAATCATGTTTTTTCTCCTCAGTTAGCGAGGGCACTAGCGCTGATATATACTTTTTATTCCTTTCTTTTCCCTCAAATCCTCATATAATCGTCAAATGATCATCATTGGTGTGTTTTATGACTTGGACGAATTCCAATGATCATCATTTGACGCATAATAAGGGGAAATATTTTCAGTTTTAACTACTAAGATAAAATCGTTGTCCAATAAAAGTAGGCCGAATAATATATTTAAAATTAAGATAAAATAATTTAATGGTGAACTGGATGGATTTTCTTATAACATTTCAAAAAATAGGTTTTTAGTCCTCAAGCTCTATGATTTGGTCGTCCAATTTCACATGAGATGATCCCTTGATGCTGAAAATTTCCAGTATGGAATGATAGGGGGATTGAAGAAACAAGAGAATCCTAAGAAATCATTGCATAGTAGAAATAATCCGGGAAATAATAGAAATGTGCATGAAAAAATCGTAGCATTAGGAAGAAGAGGAAAAAGTATGCTAAAAACAGCATAAAATAAACTTAATGAGATTATAGAAAATCCTAAGAGTAAGATACTGAAAAATTCATGCATATAATGCGAGAAAGTATCAGCAAGAAAATTAATGAGATACCACATAGTCGATCGAACTAGGATATAGCTCATCAGGATCAGTAATACTTTATCTAATTCTTGGAACCCAACCGTTGATTGATCTGATCCAACGAATCAGATTTTAAGATGTAAGTTGCTGGATTCAGCCGAACCAACCCATTTCAAGAATACCATCTGATATTCTACCTTGTTTATGTTCATTCTAATGGCGATTACCTTTGGATATACATTAAACTGTTGTGCATGTAGAATTTTGATTAATTTTTGGGCCCGGGTCGTCATTTCCGCTGAATCGGACGAGTCAAACTGGGTTCAACGATTCTGTCGAAGAATCGATGAATTTGCTTCGAATACGACGTTTTTAACCTTAATATAGCAAAAGATCTCGTCGATTCTGAATCATCCACTCGGGGTGTAGATGCCAATGCCGATATTCGAATCGGAATCAGCGGCTTACGCAGCCCCAGCTCGAGAACCGGGAAAAAAAAATCTCTCCTTTCATTCCGGCCCCGCCGCCACGCACCCCTCTCCTCCTTCCTTCCTCTCTATAAATATTTGTCCCTGGGGAGAAGCCGAGGAAGACGGAGAGAAGAAGGCGCTGCGAGAAAAGAAAGGGAGTGGAGATGTCGAGTGTGGTGGATTCATGGCGGAGGAAGATGCCCGAGCTTGACGGGAGAAGCCAAGCGGCGGCGGGAGGCGTCATGAAGGCTGAGTCGAGCCTGCGGGAAGGAGAGAAGAAGGGAGATCAGGAGCCGCCGGGTGTGTCGCCGCAGAACAAGGGGCTTCGCCGGCAGTCCACACTGTCGGAGGTCACGATTTCCATGCTCATGGACCGCTTCGCCCCCTGCTAAAATACCCACCTAGAAAATTATTCTCTCTCTCTCTCTCTCTCTCCGTTTCCCATGAGTATGAGCGTTTGCATGTACATTTGAAGGTATAAACATGAAGTATGTGATGAGATTCTCTCCGTGACTATCCACCACTTCGTTCCTTTATGAAGAACACGGCTGGGTCTCTCTCTCTCTCTCTCCTGAGCTCATGAGCTTCTCCATCCACACATGCACGAACGCCTGCCTGCGTCAGTGACAACATTAATACAAAATACGTGATGAACTCTCCCATGCTTATGGATCTCTCTCTCACTCTCTCTCTCTCATGAGTTTCTCTAATTCCCACACCCACGAAATCCTTGGGGGGAACGGCCTGGTATTGTTCGACAGCTCCGTCACGATCGACAAGCCGCCATTTTTTCTCCGGAGATCCATCCGGCAGCTTGGGAGCAGGAGACGCTGTCGGTGTAGGCGGAGAACCGGAGATCCCCGGGGGGTGGAATATCCTCGCGGAGATGCCCAGGGAAGTAATGCTGGCGGCGGTCCCACTTTCGAGTATAAATATATCTGTGCACTGAATCAATAACTGCTAAATTTTGATTCACAGATATTTCGTGTGTTGGTAGGACCAGGGATGCCGATGCACTTAGTAACCCCTGGCTGCATTTCCGAATTTGGGCTTTCTTTACAATCAAACCCAAAACGAAAATAGTGTTGGTATTTAATGTAAAAATATTTCTCATTTTTTGTCTTTATTAGGCCTTTCTTTTGTTGCTTAGTGGGCTAAAGTTGTTGTGTATTTAGTGGGCCATAAGTGGTCAGTTCATTTAATATATGTGACCATAAATACTAATATAAAATGTTTTGTCATTTTCTAAGATTCATGAGCACACAAATCGTCTTTTTTTCCTCACTCTCTCATTCATTTTTCTCTCCAAAATTATTATTTTTATTGCAGATTTATTCTTTTATTTCCTACAAGTGGTATCAAAGTGTTACATTTGCATATTGGGCGTTGTGTTCTTTTGTGGAGAGACCAACAACAACAGAATAAGAGAAATTTGAGATTTATGCAAAGTATTTAGGGTTTTTTGAAGATTTCTTACCATAAAAAATATTTTGAATATTAAAATCATCATTTACATGGAGAAAAATCATCATAGTAGTGAGATGACGAATGATAATCTCTTAAACTTATATAACCTCTTGTTCTGTTTTATAATGGAGAAAAATATCATTTTTAGAGTATTAAAATAAAGATATTTTTTATTTCTTAAGAGTTATGGGAATTAATTGAGAGTGAAAATAAGGAAGAAGAGACTTTAAGACAAGAAAATAAGAAATTTTAAAAAAAGAATGCTAAAGTATTATCAATTTTACAACAATCAATTTCAGAAGTCATTTTTCCACGAATTGTTAATGCATCAAGTTTATTTGAAGTATGAAATTCGTAAAAAAATAACTTATAAAATTAATTGCTGTAAAATTAATAACGCCTTAACATCTTTTTTTTGAAATTCTTTATTTTCTTGTCTTGAAGTATCTCCTTCCTTATTTTCACTCTCAACTAATTCCCATAAGTCTTGAGAAATAAAAAATATCTTCCTTTTCATACTTTAAAAATCATATTTCTTTTCATTAAAAAAATAGAACAAGAGGTTGTGGAAAGTTTAAGAGATTATCATTCGCCATCTCACTATTATGACGATTTTTCTCTACGTAAATGATGATTTTAATGCTTAAAATATTTACTACTACAAGAAATCTTCAAAAAATCTTAAATACTTTTCATGAATCGTCCCCTTTCTCCCTCTTTTTCTTGTCTATTTTTCTCTCCAAAATCATTATTTTTGTTGTAGATTTATTCTTTTATTTCCTACAAATAGAGCCTACATGGAAGTTCTCTCTTTACCTCTCTCCCCCCCCCTCTCTCTCTCTCTCTCTCTCTCTCTCTCTCTCTCTCTCTCTCTTCTTGGGGACCTCTTTGGAGCCCGATTTCTCAGGTTTTCTCCATGGACGATGTAAGACATCCCTAATATCAGGTTGGGGCTGCAAGGACCCGCAATGAACCAGAAATAGAGAGCAGAGAAGATTGGCATCAAGCATTGGGCAATCCAAACAGCTTTTCAATGCCAGAGTAGTCCAATATCATGGGTAGAAACTTAACATTTTATAAGACCGCTCAACCATAACCAGTAGTCCTTCTAAACTACCCATCCCAAATGATTCCCACGGCACACAAGACTCAAGTTCTAGTTACTCTATTAGTTGTTTAACGTGTACGAATCCTCTACTAGTTGTCAACTAGTTTCATAATCTCAAGAACAATCAGTTGACTTTTCCCTTATGGAAAAATCTAAAAATTTTGAGTTTGATCGACAATCAGATCGTAGAATTATATGGCGTTAAATTATTTGAAAGTTTTAGTGCGGCGGCGAGCTCCCCATCGGGGAAGGGCTCGACGGCGGTGGCGGCGATCAGCATGCCGTGTCGAGGTGGGCCCCCTTCAGGGAGGCGGCAGGGATGTGCAGGGGGGGGGAAGAAGGCGCATAGCAGCTGCACGGCGGCGCCGGGGACGACGAGGAGCAGCGAGAGGACCGTGCACGCGGCGGCGGCGGCACAGCCGAGTGCGAGGACGCGCTTGTGGCCGCGCGAGGAGGTGCTTCCTGCAGGGCGGGGCTGTGCTGCCCGGCGCGCCGGCCATCTGCCCGGCCTTCCCTGGGGTGTGGAGGTCCTCCGTGCAGTCTCCTGCCAGCCAGAAAACAAAGAAGACGAAAGCAGTAATGAGAGAGAGAGAGAGAGAGAGAGAGAGAGAGAGAGGCGTATATATATATATATATAACAAGCGCCTTGGAGAAAAGGAAAGGAATAGAGCGAAGCGTCTGCATGTTTCGACATCAAGCAATCATCCGATACTCAGATCCTCCGGAAAATTTTTGAGGACCAGAGAGGAATCCTAACTCGACGTCCATGAAAGCGAAGGGAGGAAGCTCGAGGGCCCATGGGAGAGGGGCATAGAAAGATGGCATCAGTTCTGTCAACGCCGTTCAACTCTCCAGGGTGTATTGAATAAGATTCAGGCACGACCTCTTTCAGACTACATTCATCTGATAAATACTTAAAGTCAACGTAATCCGTATATCGTCTAAAAATAGCCACACACCAGGACTTCATAAAGTCAACTTCGGTCAAAATTTCCATTTTTAGTCAAACCCACATATACATGGGCCAAGGAGAAAACCGCAGACAAAACCGTGGGGATTTCACAAAAGTCAACTTCCCTAAAAATTCCCTTTTTGGTCAAAAATTCCATTATATACATGGGCCTCGGGGAAAGCCGTTGACCTGGTTCATTTGCGGTGAAGAACTGTGGGGATGATCTCACTAAATGTCGTTGTTCGATCTGAGAAGGGAGACGGTCGGCCCAAGCGCACTTCTCCTCAGAGCTCGAAGCGACCATGCGGCGCCGCCCGTGGTAGGCCGTTTCCTGTCCCAATTGTCCCAACCCTTCTTCTGCGACAGCTCCCCCTTCTTCTCCTCCAACGCCAAGCTTATCTCCTCCCACACATTCCCTGGCTCTTTCTCTAAAAAGGAGAGAGAGAGAGAGAGAGAGAGAGAGAGAGGTGTGAGCAATGAGTGAGAAAACTACAGAGAGGGAGGGAAAAGAGGAAGATATATCACACCTGCCAGCTCGTTAGCGGCGGGATTGGGTTCATGACTGGAGCTCGAGGCAAGGGCTGGCCTCCGGCCACGGACTGCCGGAGATGGGTCCGTCGGTTCCAATTCTCCATTGGCAGCCTTTCCTTTCTCGAAGAGGCGGACATCATGAAGCGACGGGAAGTCGATCTAGAGAGAGAAGAGAGCAGAATAAGTGAAACCCGAGAGATTAAATCAGCACCCGATGCCTGAAAGGAGCCTACCTCCAAAGAACCGTCATCCTTATATAGTGAGGTATCAGGAAGCAGTTCATCTTCTTCGGCTCTCTCTCGAAGGGTAACTGGATACCCTGGTACTTGGTCAAGAACAATCGTCGTGGATGTCGGGTCAAATGATGCCACTTTCCCAACCTATAAAATTAGTCAGCGGAGATCACAGGTTGACCCAGAAGATTTGGGTCGGAGGATGAACACAGGTTAATCTGAAAAGAGAAAAAATTGGCACCAATAACTAGATTAAAAGCGTACCCTGAATGAAGAAAGTTCAGGACACCATGACGATGAGAGCTCCACCACCTTATATGCAACCATATCACCTTTCTAAAACCACCATCAGATTATGTTATCAGTAAGATGTGAGTGATGACGCCATCTCTATGTTTGGATGTATGAGAGAGAAAGAAAACCTTGGGGGCCCGCGCTAGGGGGAATAGCTTTTCAAACACTGTCAGATGATCTGGGCTTCCATTTCCTTGTTCAACTAAGGCCACATCCGGCTGTTCAAGGAAAGCATCAGTATTCATTCTTCCACTCAGATCTTCGTCTCTGCCCCACCTTTGTCCCTTCTTTTTGTTGATAGTGCCATTCCATTTAAGGGTTTCCTGGAAAGGATTAGAAAAAGCGGCTCAGAGTAAGAAAATGCAAAGAAGAAATGCATAAAAAACGTCATTCAATCTCAATCATTCAGCAATCCAGTGACTACTCAGTCACAGTAACAGACGTTAAAATCATTCAATGGATAGAGCTTATCTATTATATGCATGTGTAATCGAAATATCAAATATATACATCCAATCACAGTGGTGGAAGGAAGATGACCATAGAAAACGTCTGCCATGAAAGGGTTCCATGCAGGAGTGACTCGTAGTAAGAGCAAGATGATGAATGCTTGCAATGGTTATGGATATTAGGACAAGAAGTGAGATAAAAACTAGAGGCCACATCGTGATTTAATTTTCATTGATGTATTTTATATTTTTCTATATTTATTTCCAGGAAGTATATGAGTCGTGCTGTCTGATTGAGCCACCCAAAATTCACGAATCACTCTCTTTGTATTTAAGGTAGACATAGTTTCCATAATAGGTAATAGTGCCTCAGAGAATCTAAGACCTTCCGCTTGGAGGATGTGGAGGGAAATCTGAGCAACCCACCTCTCCTTCACTGCTGCCAGACATCTCTCCTGCTCCCTGGTGTATACCTCACAGAGAAGTAGGAGTCCTTATCCTAATCCAAATAAGTAGGAACCCCATTTTTCAGTGTCTACAGCCAGATGAAAAATACAGATCAAGCCCGCCTAAAGAAGTTGTAATATCCGAATTAACTGGGCCTGTTCTAATGATGAAACTATACTTGCTCCGAATTCACACGCAATAAGCCTGTGTATAATAGCACAACTTGCAGAAGGGGATGATGATATCCTCAATCACTTCAACTATTAAATTGACATAGACACGGATAATTTCATTATTCCGCGGTCAATGAAGCATCGCCACCATTGAACCAAATCATCAAATGTAGGTGGAATTACTAGAGAGGGAAACTATAGCAAAAGAGAATGTGAACTACAGTCCACTAACGAGACGATGTGATGATTGGAACACAATCACATAGTTAATCAATAGGGAAAACATTTGCATATGTTTCACAAGGAAAATAGTGGCGACCCAACAACGGTCATATGAAAATATAATCAATAATAAAGAACCACTTAAGAATCTAACTTACCACAGGCCCATGTGACGGCTGTTCATCCTCGCCTGCATTCACCAAAAGTCAATAATCTATCATCATTTGCAGGCATTTGACCAAAAATAGATTAAGCCCTTTTCTGGATACAGGCCTGAAAACTTTTGGAAGAAGACAAAAATATACAGACTCTGGATCTAGATCCTTTCCAGTTTGAAATTAATGACTCCTTACAATATAGGCGTACATATAGACTCGATTTGATGCGTTTGTATTTCAATCTAAGAGTTTGTAAAGATTTTCACGTGGCAAACATATACAGAGAATTATCGATACAACCTAAGAAGTTTCACATATAAAAAATAATCTTCAATTAGTACGTATTGATGTTTAGAAATTGTCTGTGCAGTATTACGTCATAACATAAAATATTTCCTTATTTGGTCTCAATGGTATCGAAGGTATAGTAAAGCAGAAATTCAGCTATATCATATGCAAGCAAAGTTCACCTCACTGGTGGGATCCCTTCCTGCAAGGGTGGAATTCTCAGGTTTTTAAAAGAATTTCTTCACTTGAACATAACAGGGTTTATGGCTTGCGAGATTCAAATAAATATCAGTTCATTAGACCATGACTGGGGAATGATGTTTGAAAATTTCCAACGATAAAATAATTCCAATCCTATAATAAGTAACAAAAGATATGGATCGAAGGACTGACAGAATTATTAAGGGAAGCAAAATATAGAGTAATAAAAGAAAGGACAATAGGCATTTACCAGGAGGTCCAAACCGAATATGCCCAGGTTTAACTACAACAGGGACAAAGTCCTCCTCAGAACCGCTGTCTTGATCCTCATGATGGGCAGGAATCTCTGGGTGAGCATTATTCTCTAGCTTATCACTTGCAACAAGCTGTTAATGAAAGAATCATATTATGACACATGTGACAATATAATATTATGTTTTTGTCCAACGTTTTCTATTGTTAAGTAGTATCGGTATTACAACTAAGCAACAGAAGTCGAATCTTGAAAAGCAGAGCGAGGAAATGCCTAGGAAAATCAGAAAAAAGGTACCTCTTTCTTTTCAGAACCCTTTAGTTCACGCAGCCACAGTCTTTTGGCCTTTTTACGTCGAGCACTTCTGCTAGGCATCTGAAAGAAAAAAGATAAAATGAAGCAAGTTAATATTAAGGAAATAGATTGCAATTAGCAACCATATTACCAATCCCCACCAACCCCCAGAGAAGCATTGAAAGAGGCATGGTAGAAGCCGAGTAATCATTATACAAGAATGTGTACTATAGGAAAATAAACATTAAAAAGTATGCTCAAATATTTGAAAATAGTTGGAGGGGGGGTGGGGAAGAAGAGTCAATGTGAGCTAGATTTCGAGAAAAATGCTAATGAAAGTGCATAATTATACCATGCAAAAAACTTTAGCATTTATGTCCTCAATCATCACCAAAAGATTTTCAGGAACTCGAAAGATGGTTAGACATGAAGTTAACCAAAACGGGATTAGACTTTAAAAGACAACAGAAAACCGTGAAAGAGCGAAACCAAATAATTAATTACGAACAAGGAACCTTGGTGAAGCCTATTTGATTCCAATCTGGATTTTCTGACTCGGATGGGAACTGGGAGTCAATCTAATTTGCAAATCATAACTCTTGTTCACAATAAACAACTAAGAAAAAGGAAAAAGAGAAAACGCAGAATCAACTAGAAGCTGTTAAGTCTTAGATTGAATTATTCCTGGCTGGAACGGACATTTTAATAAACTTCCAGCCCTTGAAACCCTGATGAAGCCGAAGGAATAACAGCACATATTTGTGACTCGCAGGGAGGAGAGGAAGAAGAGGGTGGGAAAGACAGTTGCCCACGAAAAGAGCAAGAGAATAGAACAGGAAGAACACGGATATACTAAAATTCCATATTTTCTGCACACTGCTGACCAGACAAACCCTGATGCTTTCTGCTAAAATGGGAATTGCTAGGCCAGGGGGGGAAGGGGGACGGAAATGATTAAGGATTTGGTGTTTGTCATAACTTAAAATTTTCTTCTCAATGTGCCCTTTTTATTCAAAATATTTACAGTTTTGCTCTTTAAAATTGTAACCAAATTTCCTATCCTCTTGCACATAAGCGTAGCACAGATGGCTGATTCACCTGATATAATCCCAATTAACGTCGGATTACATCATGATTTTACTCAATAACACGCGAGAAGCAGGATAGACAAAAAGCAAGAAGAAAAAACCGTATGTGCCACAGAAATAAAACAGCAACAAAGTAGCTTATCAAAGTAAATTAGCATTAAAAGACGAATAGAGCAGAATAGGGGTATTAAAGTAGAAGGAAATCGTAATTTTGTGCAGTCTTTGACTTTCCTCCAGTGTAACGTAGACTTTTATCACTAGAAATCCTAGTATTTCCCTGTTATTCTCATATTTTACAGTCGTTTATAGGCGTCAGATGACAGTCAATACAGTTTTACCGTTTTCCTTGTCCATCTACGTTTGTTCACTCATTTGATCTTCTGGATTTGGCCTGTCCAAATAAACGCCTATGACAGTGAGTGGTTGGAGTGACATTCCTATTGGAGGAATGAGGACATTTCTGCTTGCTGTCAAACCTTGCAACGAAGACGAATAGTCGGAGCCCTTCTTGTGAATTGAAGGAACGTAATAAACTAAAAATTCCGCCAGCAACCTCTCCACATCATTGCAAAAAATGAGTTCTCCTGATCTATATATCATACATACAAAACATCTATATGTGAAAGACATGGCATACAAACGCAACAGTATGTTTGACTGAATTATGTTAACAGGCTTAACAGGTTGAATCCGTCTATCATCTCAATTGATAATCACCATTTTACAAAGTTTAAGAGATATTACACCCCATGAGGCTGCACCCTATTTCTAGGATACAATCACAATGTAAGACCACATTATGTAAATGTAATGCTACGAGAAGATATGCGCATTCCACAATTAGTCCAATAGGATAGTTAAGCGTGATGACTCAAATAATGTTGCTTTGTCTGCACTCTGAGGATAGAGATAAAGAATGTACACCACCCTTTTTATAAAACAGTCTGCAATAATTTATCAGTTACTTCAAGTGCTTACAAGGAGGAAGAAGCCACAAATAAACTTATGCCTACTAAGTCAGATTGCTCATTGCCCACCTACTCCAATGCAGCATATTAGGAAAGTCCACTTAATACTAGAACAAGTTCTTCCGCACCCATCTGTCATGAGCCTAGGATGTTCATAGAAAATGTCAAGACTATTTATCTAAGAAATGTCTGAAATTCCCAAAAGTTGCTTTATTAATGAAAGTTCAACAGACGTCCTAGAAAAATTGGCTCTTTTCAATTCAGGAAGTAGGAGGGAAATGTTAAGTTAATTCTTAGCCTTTTAGGGCTACGTCAATCAGAACTTAGTTCAGAAGGAAACTGCCTGACAAGTTTCTGAAATAAATGTTATAACTCTAGTTCGTAAGACTTAAAGACAAGCCTTCACTTCCTGTGAACTCCCTATACTCTATGCAAGGATCTCCGCCTGTCTTAGCCCTCAAGTATGCAACTGTGGATATACGATTTCCCGAAGCGTTTAAGCATTCACATTCTCCCCTAAACATGTAGGGGTCTACCTTACACTGCACTAAAACTTTGGAGAACAAGCGGCCAAGCACAACTTCCATCATATAATCATAATGAAACAATAGGATATCTATTACTCCAGAGAAATTCAGAGAAGAAATGAACATGTAATTTGATGCGCTTTAGTTCCCAGGGGATCTAAGCTAGCAATAGACATAATAGGTGTCTTCATGGGATAAAATATCAATAAAACTTTTTTCTAGTCTGCACAGCACCAAATTTAGAAATGAACCAAAAATTCTACGTTTATAACAAGTTTAATATTTTCAAATAGATGGGCGCTTTACCGAATATAAAAATCTGAAGTACCGTACCAAACCTGGTCAAATCAAGAAGATCGGATACCATCTGAATTGCTGCTCAACAGAGAGGAGGCACCTATATCCCCAGTATCTTATCCATAGAGCGTAACTATTATATTTACTCAGGAAAAGAGGGTCCTAGAGCCCTAGAGCCTACTCTCTGATCTTATCAACACGAAGATCAAATGTTTCACCAAGGGTAGTCAACAAAGAACACATCATCCTTTATCAAAAATCACAATTCATTCAACAGTTTACCAATGTCATGTAATTGGACATATATGGCATCATTATCCTTTGCAACTCCAACTGTCTGGCTATAGAGATAGTATAAAATAATTTTATAACATATAATAATAACAATGTAAAGGTTGTTATAGTAAAGACTCAAGTACCTTTTTGTCAGAAACGCTCGCATTAACTTCTGCTGCCTTGATTTGGTGACTTTCCTGACCTTCAATTTGCCTAGAACAGATACTTTGGTCAAAGTTGCTCTGAATATGACAGTCGAAGACACAATGCACACAATATTTAAGAATAGCTACATCTAAAAAAGATTATAGTTTTAAATCAATATATCACCCGCATGAACAAGAACAAGGAAAGCTTAATTGGAACGATAACTTTATGACAATGTAAAGTTGCACTTAAAGTGATGTCCACATAATTTGATGCAGTTCAGGACCTAAATGCCATTATTTAACTTGGATTATGTGGCAATCCATGTCTTCCCCGTAGTGAATTTTCGGGAACAAATCTCAATGATTAAACATTTCGGAAATTTGAAACATGATTCACTGCCAAAAGTTCCTTATACGCTAGCACTTGAGGTAGGCGATTTGGCTACCTTTTTGGTAGAGCAAAAAATGTGGCAGTGGAAAAACAGGCCGATGGAAATTTTCTTCCAAAAAAAAAGTTGCTACAAAGATGGTTCATCGGAAACAGGTCTGTAAGGGTCTGCCAACATCATTAGAATAAATGCCTACAATCAGTGGGCACTAGCGATTCCAAAAATAACCTTTTGAACAGCTGCATCCTCAGAAGCATCAAACCCTGGAAATTAGCACCAGCCCCATTTGACCTCTGTCGTTCACTGCCGTTCTAGAAGATGGGGGGGTGGGGAGTTCTATCGATGCCCTGATCTATGGTGGGTTCTATGGTGAGCGGTTTAAAGCACACACACACCCAGAAGAGAGGAGGTGGCAGAAAAAGGACCCAAGGGAACAGTTATCGGGCACAGTAGCAGACTAGGACGTCTCATTTCCTCTTTGTCAAAGCCTGGTTTCAGTATTCAAACAGGAAAGGAGACAAGAAAGTAGATGATCGCCTAAACAAGGCCCATCCAACTCCCAGTTATCAAAAAGGAAGGACCAATAATATTGAAAAGGCCGAGACAATGACAGGTTCACAAACATTCACAGAAGATATGTCAACCACACGTATAGCCTGGGGTCATGTATTTTCCGCAGACATGAAAAACTACTCCGCGTAGGACCTTCGCAGATAGAGGTTTGTTTCATTCATCACTGGAGAAAAATTGAAATGACCAAAGAAGATGGCACTTTGAAGAAAGATACTGGAAAGTCTGTGCTCCAAAACTGAGAAAAGAGAAGTTTTTGGTGGTCGAAACTTTAGGCCAAGCGAAAGAAAAGCTTACAGGAAGATTAAGCATGGTAGCCCAAATGAGGTGAATCTTCAAATGGGCCCTCACAGTCAGTTCACCCGGATCTGTCGAAAGTGGGCCATGGCCCATCAAGATATGAGTGCTATTTTCTTAACGACTGGAACTTGGCCCATAAGCAAAAAGTCCCTCACACATCAACAACTAGTTCCTGTCTCATCACTAAGTGGGCTTTGGCCCAGCAGGTCTAATGAGCTCCCACGAATGTCACAAGGGACCAAACGAATTGTTACTCGCGTTCTAACTCGTTATCATCAGGTTTTGTTCTGACTGCCCTCTTCCAAATTATCTATCAATCTAACCTTTATTTCTATGGTTCACTAGCCTACCATACCCTATCCCAATTCCGCGAAAGCAACAAAACGCCCACCCCAAAATTTTCCAAGCATACTTTGTTCACTGCTTGGATATCGGCATAAAACGTTGTCAATAACGAGGCATAATTATACAAACGTGAAAAGACCTTTTTCCTTGCTCAACAATCGTTTGGCTATCTACATCAGCATCTATATCAGCCTTAGCTATTTGGCTCTCTTTCGCTCTCTACCAGCACATCCCTTTTTATCTCAAATAACAACACAAACTTTGCGTCTCACAAACATTAGGCATACTATCATATGCCTCCTGTCTTGCCCTCAGGTCAATGAGCTGTTGCAAAACATTACCCTTCAATTTTTGACAAACTTGTCAAGTAGATATTCACTATCATCCTTGTTTCGGGTGTTTTGGCTTCAGTTTCCCTGCATCTGCTGGCTTTTAGTCCCCAAAATCCATCTAACTAAGACTATCAAGTCACTCCCTTTTGTAATTTGTGTAACCGTAGTTAAAACCCTTCTGTAATCACTGGATAGCGAATGATAGTATTACCCTCCAGTCACTCCTTTGAAAGGCTGCAGTTTGCTGGATGGGGAGACGGGCTGAACAGCCAAGAAAGAGGGATGAGGTGTGATTGGGAGAAAGATCCGTTCACCCAAGAAAAGGGAGATGGGGTTTGGAGTGTGAGTCGCCAAAAAGGGAGAGAAATAGGCACCTAAGGGGACTGCCAGACAGAAGAAGACAGCAGTGATAATAGGAAGGCAGGAGATGTAGGCCACAAGTAAAAGATAAGGGAAAAGAGCTGAGGTTTCCATGTGGGAAGAGGAAGACCATCCTGGAAAGAGGGATAGCGACATGAAGGTGGATGCAGGCTATTTCATAGGGAGAGGGGGGTTATGAATGTAGCTGGATGAGGAGATGCGAACTCTGAAGTCATAGACAGCCCTTTTTTTTAACCAATCATCTCAAAAAGTTCTAAGAAGAGAGACAAATGAAGTCAACAGATTTTGAGTTGCCCCAGCACTTTATTTCATATCAAGCTTTTCCACAGCTTACTGCACCAGAATTTATTTGCATCTTACACAAAATACATCAAATTGATCTTCTCACCACCCTGCACATGCATCATGCGAGAAAATAGAAACTCCAAACTAGTTTTGTGGTTTTAGCTTTCTGATGATGTTTCATCTTTCATTCAGAGTATTATCTGCTTCCTTCTGTAACCATCAGCTCCACTTATTTCTTAGCATATCCGGATGAGTATTGCCATAGAAAATCTACAAGAAGCACCAATAAATACACATACACTTCATGCTGAATGCACCACAAAACAAGAAAGGGTAACCGATGTCTAACTATGTTTTGACTGGAAAGAATGTTAACATATATTAAACCCTTAACTCGAATTCAAAGTCATGGTCGTCCATTCAGCCGTCCAATCTAAAACCGTGAAAAAAAATAAAAAAAATAATCAAAGTTTGATTGAAGGTTGGTCAACCATATCATATCATCACATGAAAAGCTGAAAACCGGATCCCAACATACCAACTAAGTCAGAATAAATAGCATGACATATCAACTCAGATCTGAACACATGTGCACGGGACCAGAACTATTTAAAAACAATCCATCACTTAGGAGCTAGCAGCAATGGCTGGATCCTACTATGGATGAGTGGAAAGCGTAAATGAAGAAGAGAAAACCAGATGTGACTCTACATTATCTCAAAAATATCAAAACTCACTTATCCTCTGTAGTGTAAGCCGCATCCTTTAGAGTAGCATCCTGCTTCTTTGATGAAGAACGTTCATCATATGATCGGTTTCTCCTAGATGAAATTCCTAGTCCAACATCATCTTCTTCTGGATGGACCTCTTCTAAAATAGCATTTCCAGGAGCCTTAAGAGAAAGAGTTGGGCATTCATCAGGTCTGGTTTTCTTCGTTTTCTTTGACCTGTCGTACAAGATAAGACAAGAGCATCACAGTGGATGGAGATAAATAAAATTTTCATATCCAGAGAAGGAACTTTGACAAAGAAAATCATTCAAAATGACCAAATCCTTATATTACATTGAAGATAAATGTTACAAAGCAGTCCACAGATGTTGAAACGACGAGAAAAAGGAATAGGACCACAAAAAGCTGAAACGATATTCAACTGAATGAGCAGTCCCCACTAATGGTGCTTGTAAAGTGGTGACACACATGTATGCATCACAATCCCAGGAAGAAACACGGAACATGGGTTGGTCATATTCAGTCAGCCTCTTGTAAGAGCCAGCTAAGGGCGTGCATATGCAATGGATTTCTCGTATTCTAAATATTAAGTGATTCTGTCCAGATGGACTAAAATAAACGATGACCAAAGAGGAATACTATTTCCAAAGAAAAGATGTAAAGAACTTTATCCTTACAATTAGAGAGAAAATTATCTATCAACAAAATATTAAAGATGGAATATGATTTTTGAAAGAGGATGACACGAGGTACTTTCAAATATTAAAAAGAAAGGAACGGATATACAGATATGTTTTCAATTGGGTCCTCAAAGCTTTCATAAAGCAGCTCTCCCTCCCTCCTATAAGACTCAAAAGTATAACATGAAGATTTGGACAGTATATTTTCTGTCCCCCTGCCTGTCCAATCTTTTTCGCAGGCTGTCCAGAAATTTTCCATTGCTTCTAGGAGATGTCATTGTATGCCTACTACAGGGAGTTGCTTCTGTAGATACAGCATCCAAAGAAATACTATCCAACAAGGACTCCAAGCTTAGGCTCTAATATGCGCTAATGTCATATATTTGAAGAACAAGCTGATCAGTAGGATTCAATATGAAAAAGATGAAAGCCTTTTGGCTTCAAACCTGAGATTATTCCGACAAGTGCGGGGGTTTCATGGTGTAAAGATCAGCCGTTCATGGAAAATTTCAGGTATTTCAGTAAAATTGTCTTCTGGATTTCAGAGTTAGTCAGTAAATAGGATTCAATATGAAACAGACTTGCGAGAAATAACCCTCCACCCTGTGGGCAATCAAATTCTAGTCTAACGTGAACATTGATAGAAATTTGAGATATGTTTTCAATGTAGAAACCCCACTAAGTGCCCCTAGTGTTAGCCAATAATAAAAACGTACGGGCCATATTCCTTTATTTTCAAAACATATGTGACACGAAAATATTACACGTGAAAGGAACATACAGGAATAACTTTGGAGATTGTTAATAAAAGGCAGAGATTTTCTAACAAATAAGGCCCAACATAAACTTTCTGTTTAAGTTTAGGGTATGGACATGAGATCAAACAAAAGTTATAAAAACGAAGAGATTACTTCGAGCTTGAAGGCCGGCTAGAATCTCTCTTTCTCTTTGAGCCTGTCTTTCCATTTAATGGAGTTTCATGGCAAACCATTTCTGTAGCCTGATCTCCCACATTCTCTTCATCTTCACTCTCATAACCGCCTGACTCCTTTACAAATTCTTCGCCCGCTACAACATCATCACACAAGAGTAATGCTTGTTTGTCTATGATTTTTGAATCTTTGATATGATTTGCATCATGACTGAACATGATGGCCTCTGTCAGCGTAGCACCTCTCTTTCTAACCCTGAAAATCAGACAGCTTTGAGTGCAACGCAATTTTTTCACAAAAAACGAATTATGTAAACTCAGATTGTACATAAACAAGCCAGATATCTCTAAATGCCAACTAGAGACTACTCACTATTAGAAATAACAATGCATCAAATTCCTGGTTAGTGGTACTCCAATGAAATTAATGTGTGGACGAGTAACAACACAAGACTCGCTAATATTGGAAAGGATGTTCGAATAAAGATGAGTCCAAAAATAAAGGGATCAAAAATAAGAAGAAGGAAATATAATTAAATCTCCACCAGTTAAACCTTTTCTCCTGTCCATTTCCTATAATACTAATTCATCAACAATTGATAGAAAAGCCTCTTTGAAACACTATTAGACCCAATACTGCAGGAATATCGCTACTTCTGATAGAATGGATAGTCAGAAAATGCCATCCTAATTTACTTCTGATAGAACATTGTAGATTTCATCGTAATTTACCGTCACTACAGACAGTACTGCCAAAGCCCATCCTAACCACTAATTTTAGGCATTTAAATTTCAATAGTATTAGGATTGGCCAGTATAAAAACATCTATACTAATCCACGCCATCCTTTGGAGTCAAAAGAGAAAGTCATTGCATTCAGCTCTCTTCTGCTGAAGGTTAATGGATCTACGTCATACCCCCAGCTGAGGTGACTTCTGTCATTCATTTTTTTAGAAAGGAGATGCCAGAAAATAATGAGGACCACCTTAGGTGGAAGATGATAACAGACGCTACCTAACAAGAGTCATTTAAAAGATTAACAGTAAAAAATCCAACATCTAACGCTCGTGGTTCATCGGCAATGCCTCTCTCTTTTGAAAGGGAAATAATTACGATTACAACAAGCATAGAAGAGCAGTTATATAAAAAGAACGACAGCTTGTGCAATCTGCCTTGAAAACATTAACAGCGTAAAGGAGTACACTGACCCGATGACATCCTTGTCCTTGAAAATTTCAGTGGATTCAAATGGTGGTAGAACGAATTGATCCATCTGTAACAAACGGTGCCATGTCAACGCGTTGATCAAACCAAAGAGGCACTCTGAATTTGAAACATGTAACAAAAGGGCATTGGAAGGGCCATTGAGGCTCAATCAGACGTAGTAAAGCTGAATGCACGGAATGGACACTTTATATAAAGATATGAATTGGATTCAATAGGGGGCAGTTCTACAAAAGCTCACACAGCCAAGCACGGAGGAGTACAACCAGGAAATCAATTCTCCCCTCTTCAAGCAGACGAAATAAGAAGGAAGGGAACCAGATACGGGTGTGCTACTCACTGAGAGAAGAAGGCCTCTAGGGCAGGTTTCCTGGAGGTCGAAGCTTCGGATGATGTGAGAGGCGAGAGCCGCGACGGTGTCCATCTCGGGGCGTAGGAGGACCCAGCAGCGCCTCAGGCCCTGTCTTCTCTGGGACTTGCTGAGCACATGGCGGTCCTCAAACACGACGCGCACCCTCAAGGGTTCCATTCCCTCGCCAGAGAAGAAAACACCTTCTCTCTGGGTTTTTGCCAGGTTTTAGACTCTCTCTCTCGCTCTCTCTCGGGGAAGAGACGGTCGATCACTATCAACAAACGTACTCCACGCGGGACGTAAAGCTGAGACCTTTCTTTAAAAGGTTAGCCTTCTCTTATTAACAGAATATATCCATAAATTCCCTTGCCACATCTTGTAAATATCAGTAACTTAGCTGAAATCACAAACAATAGGTTGACTTTCGTTAACGTTGAATAGCTTTAAAGCAGAATTTAGGTCGTAGTGTAGAACTCGCCTTAAACTTTTCTAAAAAGTGTGAAAAAATTATTATTACCATATGACAATATTTTATAATAGTTCACGTGTTGGGACAAAATTTAAACACTTTTTCATTATTTTTTTCAAACGTCATGATGTCTGCTGTCACAAATATGGTCTATCTAGCCTCAAGGTGACGCATAGTAGTTAATGAATTTTCCCTAATTTTACTATTTTATTGTCCTCTTTATCATCTCACAACTAATCAAATACACACACATATTCATATATATATATATATATATATATATCACAATTTTCCTAAATCCAAACTTCAATTAATAGAAACTTAGTTATTGAAAAATGCTTAAGAGTAAAAAAATAAAGTTATTAAGAAAAAATGTTATTTGCCCTTCTACATGTGACTGTATGGACCTAAGAATCAAAAGTTTAAGAAAATAAAATTATATCAGCAAAATATCAAAAGTAAGATGCCAACAAAGACACTCATATATACCTTTTGGGAAATTGATAATATTGCACACTAGTTATCCGCAATTAGATTTCAATGAAAATACTTCTTTTCTTAATGCAAAAATTGATTTTGATAGGACCCCATGAACAATGGAGCTCAGATTATGATGGCATGAAGGTAGATGAGGTCAAAAAAACTACTTGTAGGGATAAACCTTGCCAAGCCAAGGTTAAAAGGCAACATGGCCAAATTAATGCAATTCTTTAGCAAATCAAAAATCTCAGCTCAAAATTTTGCCAATCTCACACTATCCTATGCCTCCTCTATTTGGATTGATCACCACATTTATGTTCTCAAAGATTATTTTTTTACAATCCTTAATTCCATAATGATCAGAAAATACTCTTGAAATTACTAGCACATAGAAATCTCACAAAAAGAACAAAAATTGTAGTATTTATCACCTCTTAAAGTTAAAATGTAATAGCCTTTAATTCGGGTAAATTTTAATTGTGATGCTCTTAGAAAATTATATCAATTATGAAAAAAGATCAACAACGTAATAGTTACTAAGATTGAGACTATGACACATTATTCACATGATTTATTTGGGCTGAATTTTATTTTGGATATTCTAATCTTTGTAGCCTATGTTTACATTTTCAACACATTTGGGGCCCTAATTTTGGGTTTTTCTTGTTTCCTTGAAAATTAGATCAACTATAAAAGTAAATCAATAGCAAAATAATTTCTAAGTTTGAGACTTTGACATGTTATTCACATGATTTATTTCGTAAAATTCTATTTTGGGTCTTCTAATCTTTTTAGTGTAAGTTTTACATTTTCAACGCAATTGACTCACCAATTTTGGGCATTGCTTATATCCTTGATTGATGTTTTACATCAAAAGGGCATATGATGGCATCCTATATAAGTGGCCTAGTTTAGGCCCTTGATTGCTGTTAATGAATTCTATTGACCAAGACTCCACCTTCCCTCCCAGCCATGAAGAAGGGTCCCTTGCTATCGAACAATCTTTGATGAGTGAGGGACAAGTTGAGTGTGTGTGTGTGTGTGAGAGAGAGAGAGAGAGAGAGATCTACCAATATGGTCTTGTTTACTCTACCATATGCCATTGTGACCCTAAGATGAGGCTCTAAGATTTTCAGAATCTTTAGCACCACCCCGATAGAGGAGATGCAACATAGATGGAGTACTGACATCTTCATGTCCGGTCACATTTTTCCAAGTTTTTTAAAATGTTTAGAATGGTGAAGGATTTCCAAATGATTGTGATTGTGAGAATTGGAATGAATTCCATTTGACTTACCCATTTATTTAAATTTCATGAAAAAATTGCAAGTAATTGTTTGCTAATTGAACTAACATTTGAACATATTACAACCAATAATGGAAATTTCATCAACACAAGAAGGTTTTTTCCCAAGAATTAGTGATTTCAAGCATCGATGGGAATGTCTACCACTTCATAAGTTGATCATAAGAGCAATACTTATTCCAATATATGGTTCAACTATTGGATGTATGAAAATATGGTTTTCCTAAATAATGAATCTAGCAGCTTAATTTTTAGTTTAAACCTCTAGAATTCTCTCTAGAATCATTTGGTTGCCTCATATGATTCTCCAATATTAAAGATATTAAATTTTAAAAAAAATATATCCATTGTTATAATTACATATACTACAGTTGCAAAAGTTCCACTATGTTCTTGTTACTTTTGATAGTGTTCTTTTTGTAGGACAATAGGACTCTATTTGATGAAGGGGTTGAAGGGTTGATGGTCTCAATTATTTCATCAGTTCTTGATTCCTCTTATTAAAATTTAAAAGTAAAAATAAATACTTGAGATCAACACTACTGCAACTTACAACTAGAGTTTAGTCAATCATGTCTAAGTTATTAGTTGGAGAGGGTTATGTTAGGTCCTCTCCTAGTCCCTCTTTTGAACCTCTTATTAGGTCTGCACAAACCCATGGCCCAACCCCGTTTGAGAGGATCACTTGGTCTCATAAAGAGAAGAGTGATGTAAGGAAAGATTGAGGCTAAGTGGGCCAAGGGTCCAATATAGGGTTGAGTATAAATACCCTTAAGAGTCAAAGGAGAGTCACTTTTGGAAGAAGTTAGTGTGAGAGTGGGGAGCTTGCGAATTCATCCCCAAACTGATCTAAAGTTTTCTTTAGAAATCTCCTTTTGTTCTTTCTACCATTTCTATCTTAGTTATGATATTCCCTTTATCTCTTTCAAGTATTTTTCTCATTTTTTTACCCTCATTTCAATCCTAGTTAGAAGACTCTAACAACTAATATCATAGCTATGGTGTTGAAGACTAGTGACAAGAAGTTTGAAAGCCTAGAATAGGATATTGGAGATATAAAGGAATGTATTAATTATCTATTTGAGTTATTTCATCCTCAAAGGTAATAATGAGTGAGCTGACACATGTGATGATGTAACACTTAACTTGAAGGAACGACATTCCTCCACTATTTATGGTGAGTGGGCAAGGAGCAATAGCAACAAGAGAGTCAATTTTCAAGTCATAGGATGAAGTAGAAAATGTGAGTATTGCAATCTTACTACTAAATGACATGAAGAAAACATCCATGGACATGTAGAACTGGCAATAGTGGGAAGTGGGGGATCACATTAATTGAAGATAACTTATTTTGGTGATGAAAATCCTAATAGTTAGATATTTCATGTTGAGTTATACTTTAAATATGGGGAATCAATGGTTGATGTCAACTAAAGATGAATACATCCAATTTGGATGATGAGATGCTAATATAATTCAAATACACAAATATTTTAGACTTGATGTGACTTAGTCGTTGTATAGTAAATCATGTAAATTTAAAATTTATAAAACTAGAAAATACGAATTTTTGAATAGTTAGAAGTATTTCTGAACAAATATATCAATTATAATTTAATTAAACTTCCAAAAATAGCAGTAATTTCCCAGGTCGATCATAGAGATGTAATATAATATCAGATAATTATTCAGAATTTTCCTCAAAGAATACTATTTTCTATAAATTTTATATTAGGAAATGAAAAGGAAATATATTTAAAATTCACGAAAAAGAGAAATAAGGGTGCGGACGTCAAGATGACGTCAGTGCTTGGCGAATGCGAATCGGGCGAAAATAGAGTTCTACCTGGCAATTCTTATATAAGCGATTATGGACGATTTAATTGATCAAATTAAGATTTGTAAAAGCCGGAAGAATCGTAATTGAATGAAGTATATCTTAGTAAATTTAAATCACACAAATTATCACTAAATGAAGTGAAAATTAAGTTAAAAGTAGGAAAATAGAGTTCCAGTGTCGTGGCAGCGATGCGTCGGCGATGCACCAGAATCTTGAGCATTCGGGAGGATCGTTGTGCAATGTTCACGGCCTCGAAGGCTCTCCTTAGACAAAGATGACGTGGGCAATCTCTAGATCTCCTTGCGAAGTCTAGAGATCAATGACATGGGTTGTCGAATCGTCTCCGACGGCTGTCACCCGGTGGAGCGGAAAAACGGTGACTTTGCGGCTCTCTGGCGGCTGTCACCCTATGTAGAGGAGCTGGATGAAGGTAAGGCGCGTGTTAGGGAGCTTCATCCTTAGATCCGCGCAATAAGAAGAGGCTCTTCATCGCATCCGATATGCTCTCAAGAGGTGGCAACTCGTCTCTCGGTGGATTGTCCTCTTTTTGACGACGACTTATTCGTCGATCAATCGGAGATGCTTTATTCGATAGATTTGCGATCCTTTTATCACGAATCGTTCAATAATTTTAGTAACAATGCTCCGTGAATCGTGTTGACAAGATTTTTGTTGATGATCTAGTGATTCTGGTTGCTTAATCCTTCATTGGCGATCTGCAGGAAAGTCACGATAATTAGATAAAAAAATATGAGTTTTGGCTCTGGGAGGATTCGAACCCACGGTTGCCCGCCCCTTTCTAGGGAAGGTGTGACACGGGTTTAGTCCCACATCGCTTGTGCATCGAAGTTTCGGATGAATATATAGTAATGTTACATCTCAAAGCAAGTCTCATTCTCACGCGTGTATGACTACTCTTTGCCCCACAGCCGACTGGCCACTGGAGACGTGGAAGGGGAGTGGTGCACACGTGCCCTATCGGTCTAAGCCGCTCGAGCCACTACTCGCAGCTACTCCCCAACTGCGCTTCCGACCTGCTTGTGGGCCCGACTAGCTAGTGAGTCCCCCTCATTTTGTTTTAT